GGAATAGGGTCAGAGGAAAGTGAAAATTCTCTAATAGATAAATTGCTTAATTAGTACAGATGATTCTATGATCGCTTTATTTCTGAGGGCAACCAAAGAGCCGAAGAAATGCTTTTGGGTGCCACCAACATTAACCTCAGGGGGTGCTAGGGAAAGGAAAGAGATAGGACATCTGCACAGAAAGTCTGGAGGAGGGTGAATGAAACATGTGCACTATGTGTGAAAATGTAACCCCAAAAGATGTAACTTTGTCAATGACTGGCAAATAATAAAATTTGAGGGAAAATAAATAAAAATTATTGGTTGAAAACTCAAGTGCAGTTTGACCTGGTTTGCTGTTCCCGCAAGTTGGCAGGGAAATTCAGAGACTTGTTCAGGTGTAAGTTCAATCCCTTTGACAAGGCTGCTGCTCTTCCCGATGAGGCAGACACCTGCTTGCCTCTCCCTTCTTGTTACCAGCAGCTGCTGCTATTCAATGTCTGGATCCCTTCATTCACGAGCTCGAACTGGTAATAATCAAATGCAATTGTTTCTTTTCTCTGCTTAGAATACTTTAGGGAAAAAAGTGATTCCTTTCACCCTCTATTTGATTATATAGTAGTACAACAGGAATAATGGTCAATTGATTTTTCCTATTTGCCAGTTGTAGGGTAAGTATCAGGCTTTTCTGTCCTCCCGCCATTAGGATTAATGATGGATCCCTGTGATCCTGAATGCAGGCACCTGGAGTGGGGTGTGGGCACACATAGGTGGGTACACCTGGGCTGAGACTGGGCTTATAAGGGCGTCATCACGGGAGGAACCAGCAGAAGAGGGCAAGAGAACGAGCAGGAGAAAAGTGAGCAGTGGGAACGGAACCACCAGCAGAGAAGCACAGACCGGGCGAATGAAAAAGAGAAGCAGAAGAGAGAGAACCAGACCATGAGTGAACGTCGGAGAGCCAAGAGTGAAGATTCGCGGGGGCTGGGAGGTCTGCCAGCCTCCCGGCACCCTGGCCCCCCGCCTGCCATGTACCTGGTAAAATCCCAATAAAAGCCTGAAAAAGCCACCAAGGGCTCCAGGGCTGTCCTTTACCCATCTGCTGGGATCAGAGAGACCCTGCACTGTGCTATCCCTGCAGCTACACCAGTTTTCAAGGGAGTGAATTTGTTCTCATCCTCCAAAGGCAATGGGTAGATTTAAATAGATCTTCAATATTTGCCATTTCCTTTCTAATCTTTTTTTAATCTCTCTTCATTGATTTTAAGATTTTCCCGCTCCTTTTCATCTTTCACTTCGCTTAAGTCATAATCAATTGTGTTTATTCATCATTAGGTTTATTTTTCATTTCTGAAATAATTTTTTCTCTCTGAATTCTGGTCTGAGCTTGTTCATTTCATTTTTGATGTTTCTAATTCTGATTTAGTTTGTTCGTATCCCATTATTTTCTTAGCATCTTAGCTCACTTTAGAATTGTGGGTGTTAGCTCCAATCTGCTTTTGGACAGCTTTCTGCCATGCTTTGGTCTGTAGGGGTGTTATTCTGTTATTATCTTTTTGTTATGGTCATTTTCTAGAGGATTTGACTTCCATACTTTCCTGTTGCCTTTTTTTATTGTGAAATTAGTTTTATTTTTGATAGTTTTCAGAAAAGCTTTTCTAATTTCACAGAGAACCCTTTTGTTTTTACAGTGTAGTATTAAAAAGAAAATTAAATCTGATTAAATTTGGAGATCTTTGTCCTCCATTTTTATCTAGACCTTCTCTTTCCTTTGTGTTCATTGGCCCAGTTTTGTTTCCAGGCCCCCCAGCATTTGGTCCTTTCCTGGCAGGAAGTCCTAGTAGATCAGCTTCAAGAATTTCTACGACTCTTATTATTCTAGTGCCTCCAGACCTGATGCTATTGAGAAGGCAGTGTCTTCTCTGAGAAGGGAAAAACTCAGCTGCTGTTCTCCACTCCACAGGCTGGGCTTTCTGGTGAACACCTTCTGGTTATTTTGGACTTTTCCAGAGGACTCAGTGATTCCTTTTACTGATAGCGCAAAGGTCTTATGATTGCTTTGGGTTTGATTCCACTTCTATTCTGCAGATTATGGGGATAACATTTCACTTAGATTTGTTGCAGATGTTGTCCATAGGATTTTGGTTTTGCTTTATAGTTACTTTTTCTGATTTTGTGTAGCAGTTAAACAATTATGCCACTGCTGTCATCTTCCATAATCCCCCACCTTGGAGAAATGGATTTTTTTTTTTAAATGTCTTAATAACCATCTTACAGGACCACATATTCAGAGAGCGGCACAGCTGTGTAGACATTATCCATACCACTTTTAACCTTTTCCACTGCTACCACCCTCACCTCCTTTCATCTGGTTTGTTCTAATAACCCCCACCTTGTCTCCCAGCTTCTACAATGCTGTAGCACGACAGTAGTGGGAATGATTATTTTAAAATGTCAGATCACATCACTCTCTGCTCAAAACATTACAAAAGCTTTCAATGTTCAGCTTGATCTTTCTCTCTGACCTCCTCTTCTACTGTTTCAACTGCACTGAGGCAACTCTCACCTCAGGGCATTTGCACTGCTTTTCATGTTTCCCACCAGGCTTTTTCCTCACAACTTTTGGTCTGGGCACAAATGTCATCTTTTCAAAAGGGCCTTTAAGATCTCACCCTACCTCCCACTGAAGAGTGGAATGCTCATTCAGCACTTTTTTTTTATGGCACCTGTTATCTGAGATGTTATCGTTTTTAAACTAGCTTTCTACTTATGATGAAAATGCCATAAAAGCAGGAACTTTGTCGTCTTATTCAGTGACCTGAATAAGTCCTTGACACAAGTTAGTATGCAATACAAATCTGGTAACTGGATGAGTGAATACAAAAGTAGTTAGAACCAAATTGGTATTCAAGAAATGTTAGCTCTTTTTCTCTTCACAGGAAATGCTCTTTCTGGAATGCCACCATTCCCAATGATAAAAGAAACAATAATGGAAACAGAAAAATAGCAGAAGCAGAATAGTGATGGTAGAGCCAAAAAGAAGGGCATGGTCAACTACTCCAAGCTTAGAGTATCAAGGTGATGAGGACTGCTAAGAGGCTATAAGACAAATGTTATAGACTGCTCTGCGTCCTCTCAATACTTACATGTGAAGCCCTCATCCCAATGTGACTGTATTGGGAGATAAGTCTTTTTAGGAGTCAAATTAGCACTCCCATAAGAAGAAACACCAAGCTCCAAGTTCCCCCCAAGTCCGTCAACTTCCCCTTGGCTGTGTGACTATTAGTCACTGCCTGCAAGCTAGGCAGAGCACTCTTACCAAAAATGTACCTTGTCTGTACCTTGATCTTGACCTGCCCAGCCTCCAGAACTATGCGGAATAAATACCCATTGTTTAAGTCACCCAATCTATGATATTTTGTTATGACAGCCCAAACAGATTAATACAATGAGATATCTGGAAATATCGTAACATTTGGTTAGGTCAGTGACAAACCTGGAAATCAGAGTTTTTCCTCTTCAATTGTATGGTTACTTGTTACAGTTGTAGACACTAAGAAAACCTGTACAGCAAACCTAAATCAGAGTAAGTCATTAAGTATAAAGAACAACCCACATACTATTTAAAAATATTTGTGGGGTGAAAATCCATTTCGTGTACAGAAATCACAAGTTAGTCACTAAAATGTATATGCCTGGCCTCCCTGGTGGCACAGGGGTTAAGCACAGCACTGGAAATGTATCCGCAGCCTCTGTAGCACTGAGTTCTATCCCCTGCTGGCCAGGGAGTTACCCACATGGCGCAGCAGACCTCTCCTGTCTCACCTGCTGCTCCCCTCAGCAGTGTATTTCAGTCAATCCACCTGTTCCGTTCCCCACTCTGTTTCTGGTGAATCCTCTCCCCCCACAACTCTGGCCTGTACCCCAGTTCTTGTATGCAAAAATAAATAAATCTTTAAAAGAGTAAAATAAAATAAAATGTATGTGCCAAGCAGTGTTTTTAACATCTATACCCCCATGGATTGGATGTTCTGAAGCAGAATTGTGCTCCCTGGGCTTTTCATCATTTATCCCCCCTGTAGAAGACGGGCAAGAAAAGAAGGACGGTAACTTGCTTAGTTACCTATGTCCACATTAAAGTCTAGCAAGAAGGGCAGAACTTAACAAACTAAATCGAGGCCGGTTGCCTGCCAATGTCACCTGCCCACAGGTCCCAAGTCTTAGCATCCCATGGAAACCAGCAGTCAGCTCAGCTGGTAGGACACCCCGCCTCAAAGATTTGCGCTTAGAAGGGAAGATGAAGAAAATCTTCCCCAAATGTGGAAACAACACCATTGAGGGACTATCATCGACGGTACGGACCGCGCAGAACCAGTGGCCCTGGTCACTCCCGGGCGCCGCGAGCGTCCCTAGCCGAGTCCCGGGCACCAGAGTCCCCTTCCCTCCGCCCCGGGTCCCCCTCGACGACTTAAAAAATCAAAGATCGGACGAGCCGGGCGACTAATGAGGCTCGGGTAAGGGCGCTGTCCGAGGATATGAAGCCCTCGCAGCGCCGGGTCGCGGCCGCCGCGCGCTGCCGCCATGGCCCCTGCGGGCCGCCGTAGACCCCCGCGGGCCGCCCTGGGCCCCGCCGGCCGCCGTAGGCGCGACCCGCCCGCCTGCCTCCTTAAGATGGCCGCCGGGCCCCGCGCCCCGCGGCGCCCTCGCTGAGGTTCCGGCTGCCCGCGCCGGGCGCCCGCCTTTCATTCGGGCGCCAGCGCGGCCTAGAGGCCGGAGAGGCCGGCCGGCGGCCCCGCGCACCGTCTCCCTGGGCGGGGCGCCGGGCCCCTTCCGGGGATGGGCCCCGGCGCGCGCGTCGGCCCGACGCTGCCCCCGCTCCTCCCCGCGCGGGCGGGCGCTCCGCCGCGTCCCCGCCCGTCAGTCCGCCGGGCCCGGCCGGCAGCAGACGGGGCCTGGGCGGCCGCGCCGGGAGCACAGAGCCCGCGGGCGCCCGGAGGCGTCCGCGCCGTCGCTGGCCCGCGGCGGGTCCAGGCTTCCGCCCCGGCCGCGGCGAAAAGGCGGCGGCACCATGTTCTCCCTCAAACCGCCCAGACCTACCTTCAGGTCCTACCTCCTGCCGCCGCCCCAGGTGAACGGCCCTTTCCCCGCCGGCGCCCCGGGCCCGGCGCTTCCGGGGAGACGCCGGGCGGCCCGGGGGAGCCTCGGGGGCACCCCAACTCCTGCGCGGAGCCTCCGCCGGCTCGGTGGGAACTTGCAGAGCTCCGCCGCGACGCCCGACCCCGAGACCTGGGCCCGGGGTGTCGCGGAGGCACGAGTCCCGGGGGGGCGCCCCGAGCGCGGCCGGCTGCCCGGGAAGCCGGGGTGCTGCGCGCGGTTGGGGACCGGGCGGAGGAGGCTGGCGCGGGCGCTTGTCTTGTTTTATTGTGAGATGCCAGCTGGAGAGCGAGCAGGTCTTAGAAGGGGCTTGGTCTCGTGGGAGCAAGTGTTGGTGGGGAGTTCCTTGTCCGTCGCTTGTCACTTGTGTCGTAACTTGGAGAACCACATTTGCTGTAGTGTCTCGCGGGGGAGGGGAAGGAGTTTTGACTTCTTTTGCTGATGTTTTTTCAGGCTGACGATAAGGTGAATTCGGAACCGAAGATCAAAAAACTGGAGCCAGTCCTTTTGCCAGGTACTAGCGGGTACTGGAGTGATGCGTTCTGGTCTGAGATTATGGTGCCTCCTAGAATCATGTGGTTAACTTTTCTCCTCTGTTGACTTTAAACTTTGTCCAGTTAGAAGTACAACGACTGAGGGTGGAAAAAATACAGTTGGTTAAAACTAAGCCAAGAGTAATGATCGATTGATGTTTGTGCTGGAAGTCTTAAGCATCACAGAAAAATCAAGGGTATCGCTACCTCGTTTCCTTTTTTCTGTTGAATTTTTTTAAGCCATCTTTAATTGCTTAGGCAGTGAAAGTATTCTTTGTGTCTGTCTGCAACTTGGTGACTTAATGATTAACAGATTATCATGTTAACAGTATGAAAAGCAAATTTTATCTATGTCTATATGCCAATAACAAGTTTAGTGAACTTTTAATTACTTGGCAGTTGTTTTTGAGGGTGTAGGCTGTGTTTGCAAACTGACTTGTTTGGGTTTAGAAGGGGGTTTCCCAACAGGTACTATTGACATTTTGGGCCCCAGTACTCCTTTGCTGTAAGGATTATCCTGTGCATTATAAGATGTTAGGCAGCATTTTTGGCCCTACCCACTAGATGCCAGTAGTACCCTCCTCCTCCAACTGCTAGGTGTGACAACGGAAATGTCCTCAGATATTATAAAATCTTTTTCTTTCTTTTTTTTTTTTTTTTTTTTTTGACCTGGGGGTGGAGGGGAGACATATTTTTTCCCAATTGAGAATCACTGGTTTGGAACAAAATTTATGTTGGAGGACCTCAGATGTAGAGATAGGGCTTGGTGGCAGATAGTTTAAAGTATATAATATATTATTTGATTCGTATTTCAAATTGTTCGATAATTAGGAAGAGTCAGTCATTTGCTATGATTATGGGAGAGGTAGGCAGAGACTCAGGAATACTTGTTTAAACCTGAAGTATAATCAAATACCCGTTTGTGTGTCTACCATCAACATTTGAAAAGTCTCAGGCAGTACTTAAGGACAAATCTAGTAAAATGATTTGAACTTTCTTTATAGTACTGTAGTAATTGGGCAAATATTGAAACTGCATTCTGTGCTTTGTGAAAGTTTATTAAGAACAAATACATTAAAGATGTTAACCTATGGTTCCATATGGTAGATGCTAACTCTTTAAAAGTTGTTTTAAACTTTATTATAGGAGTTACAAATATTTTCCCTCGAAAATTTTACCCAAAAGTATGTACTAAATAGTCCTTTGTGCTTTTACTCAGAGTGAGCAATGGAATTAATAAGTAACTTGCTCCCTGTGTCCGCTGTTTTAGTCTTAGTCATTCCAGGCATTTAAAAGTCAGCTGTGGGGAACAGCTCTTGAACTTTGGCTTCCTTTACTTTGTGTGACTGGCCCCGTTCTTAGGCTTTTATTTCTCTTTCCCGTATTATAATATAACACCAACAAAGAGCATGATCTTAGCTACAAATGATGGTATTTTTTTTTTAACTTTTGTTTTAGAGATGCTCATGAAAACTGTTAGTAAATGTTATTAAACTTAAAGAACTTTACATCAAAGGATTATCCAGTCTATAGAATTGACTAAAAACATAACCTTTCCACTCAAAATGTCAGAGCTTCCTGGAGAAAATGTAAGCTCATTCCTGACTAAGTGGTTTACTTGTCCTAGAAGTAGAGGCTAAACCCAAGTCTTCTCACCATGTTCATTTTTCGCCCATTGGCTCTGTGTGTACATGAAGGCTCTGGTACCCTGCATTCTGTTTACACCTGCTCATTCCTTATAGAACATTTAGCCAGTCCTAAATTAATGTGTCTTTTTTCCCCTCTTCCCAACTCCTGTTCTTATCTTCTCAGCATCGCCTTCCCATTCTCTTCTCTGTTCTGATTTATCTGGGCAATAGGAGATCTTTTGTGTTTCTGCTTCACTTTTCATGTCACATTTCTCCTTTTTTTTTTTTTTTTTAAAGATTTATTTATTTATTCACACAAGCACTGGGTACAGTCAGAAGCGCGGGAGGGTAAGAGAATTCACCAGAGCCAGAGCTGGGAACAGAACAGGCAGACCAACGAGATACACTGCTGAGGGGAGCAGCGGGCGAGACAGGAGAGGTCTGTCGCGCCACGTGGGACCCTTGCTGGCGGCTGGGGATCGAACCGGTGCTGCAGAGGCTGCGTGCAGCTTCGCAGCCTAGCGCTCAACCGCTGAGCCATCAGGGAAGGCCCCCATGTCACACTTCTGATGACCACTCAGACCTCTTTTGCTCCTTCTTTAGCCTGCAGCTTCCTGCACTATCCATGAAATCTGAAAGACAAGGGGAAATTACTGAAATATTGTTGACCTAAAGACCTGGGCTGGGTTAGGGCTGTTATCGAGAAAACTAATACTATAGCTCTGGCCTTTGTTACACTCAGAAACCAAGAGAAAACTTGGCCATGTCACCTGGGGCTTTACACAGGCACACAGAACAAGAAGCAATTGTTCAGAGATGCATGTTATGTTCAATTGCATGTTATGCTTTGGCGTAATGCCTGGGTTCAAGGATATCCTACTTCAGTTGCCCAAGGTTTGAACTTTTAATTCAATAAGCAGGTGAAAATTAGAATACAAAATGAATTATTTGTATGCAGTTACCATGAGCTCTTTTGGAACTTAACAAGTCTAAATTTAAGATGATCTGCATCTTTCATTAAGAAAAGAAAACAGAAGAAACTGACTAGTAATTTAATTTAGAGTGTGGTTTATGTTAGCAATTTTCAACTTGCCTAGTTCCTGAAATTCCTTGAGATAGAAATAGTTCCTGATTCAACTTTGTGTCCCTGAAGTCTAGCAAAATGCACTGAGACATTAATTGAACGAATGACTGAATGAAAGGACCCCTCAGACCACCTATTAAAATAGTATTGTCAAGTGCGTGCATGTGCACATGTGTGCACACGTGAACACGCACACAGCAACCCTCAGATTCAGTAGTAACAGGAAGACTTATTTTATGCCATGCGTCTCTGCTTTCTCCCAGAACCATACTTCTCAACAAAATTATAGCTGACCCTGGAATTAAAATACAGCCCTCTGTCAAAGCAGCTACCTTGGCTTTCTCGTCATCTTTCCGCCGTTATATGAATCTTGTTCTTTTAATGATTGTGTGTATATGTGTAAAACCACCCAGTCCTTTTGAAAATAGGAAGAGTGTGAATTTTAACGTGTATCTGTGTTCCAGCTTATATTTGTTAAAAGCAAGTATTGCCAGATCATGCTCATTGTAGATAGCTGCTGGATGGGTAGACTGGTTTCTCTTGGGTGCCTGGTTCTGTGCTAGCTGAGCTTCCTGTGAACAAGGTAACCTATATCAGTGGTTCCCAGATTCCAGCTAGAACCTGACTGGCATCAGATAAGGAAGAAGTTTTTACAGCCCTTATTCAAATTGAGAAAATTAAGAAAAATGTAGCTTTTTTTCATAAAGGTAACTCAGTTTCATTTAAAGGATTGTCCTTTATTCTGAGATTTTTGTCCTTTTAGTTCCTTTGGCACAGGTATAATATTCTTTTCTTTTTAAGCTGGCGAAATGAACACTAAGAACACTTCATTGGTTCCCTGAATTGTTTTTGTAGTATACAAAACAATTTGTGGATACTGGTTTGTGGATGCTGAACTGGGAGCCATTCAATGAGATATTATACTATTCAAGGTGCAATTTCATGAGCACTCACAGAACATGGATTTTGTCTGCCTGGGAGTCTTTCCACCATCTTCTGAAAAAAAGGCAACCTCCCTCTTTTAACAAATTTGGCTCCCCACATCTCTACCTATCCTTAGGTTCTAGCGTGACCAGTAAGGATGAATAACCTACCTCAGATAGTAAGCCTGAGTACAGATCTGCTCCAAGTATTTTCAGAGTGATACTAATGGACGAGCTCTTTTTGGTCTTGCTGTCAGTGGCCAGAATTCCAGAAAACCTGTCCAAAAAGAGTAAAGTCACACATTGAGAGAAGCAGAGACACTGACCTCATTATTGTTAGCCACTGCATTTCAAGTATCCTCCTGCCTACCTCACAGATACTTAAAAAGATCCATGACCTTTGGAGAGTTCTAATGGTGCTCAAGGTCCCAGGTTCCATTTTCCGTGAAGTCCAGCTACAAAGCCACAGAATTCCCTTTTTGCTAAGTTAGGTCCATACGCATTTGTTAACACTTTGAACTATATTCCTTAACTAAAATGTAATGAATGTGTCATGACTTTTCCAACAACCCAGTAGCTTACAGATTGCTCCTCATAACAGCCCTATCAGCTCGGGTATCGATGTATCTTCATTTACCAGAAGAGAAAACTAGTTGTAAAGGGGAGAGCCAGAATTCTAAGACCGACTTCAGGCTGTGCCTTTAACCACTAAGCAGCAGGACCTACCTGTCCCCATGCTGGTGATATTAGGGTACAGAGTTACGCTCTGGAACTAGATAGAGGGCCAACTGGATGTCAGTTTAAAGGGAGTTCTCTCGTGAGGGAAAAAGAGCTCTCTGTGGCTGTGCCCTTTCCATAGCAGGGACGAATTTTGACCCAGCTTGAAGAGTGACTTTCAGACAATTTCATTTGCCAGAAGATGGACTATCTTGGGAGGCAGTGGACTTCCTGTTACTGGCTGCTGAAGCAGAGACTGGTGGAATGCCAGCAGCTTTGTTGTAAGGATGTGAGATTTGCATTGAGTGGGGCTTGGGGGCCTTGTCTCTCTCCTGGCTCTGGGACATGGATCTTTTTAAGGATCTATTTGGTAGGAGGGAGGATGACTTGAATTCTGTGGCTAACAATAATGAGCTCATTGTTCTGCAGGTATTGAGTGCTTGTTTGATGCTGCCTGGCAGAGGAGTAACAATTTGAAAGAGTCAAAGTCCGGCACTTAGTTTCAGTTCACTGGGGAAAAGCCTAAGTAGAGGAGAATAAAGGTTGTGAGATCTCAGAGCAAGGTCACCTGAGCCAGATTTGGGGGAGGAAGTGATGTGTGCTCTGCATCTAGAGTGCCTCGAAGTCTCAGCCTTGAGCTAAGGCTGTGGTCAACTTAGCTCTTTCCTGCCGTCTGTGATGCCTGTAGCGCTTTCTATCAAGATAAACTATTCCATGCATAGATGGATAATGAATGCACTGACTGTCAATCTTTTGTAATCAATCAGAAAAACATAGCCGTGGGCCATCTAGAACATGAAAGTAGTCTTTTTTTTTTTTTAGCGTCTTGTTTATTTTTTTTAATATATTCACGGTTTGGACCTTTATTTTTGTTCTGTTCTTGTTTTTTGCCTCACTGTCTCATTTCCTCACTTCATTATGAATCCCCCTTCTTTGGGTGTTGTAATATGTTTTGTTTTTAATCTTTTTATAGGTAGGCTTTAGAGAGATCATTGTAATGTTTTAATGCATGCATACATTGCCATTGAAAAACCAAAGTACTTGTAACTTGCCCCTTGAACTTTGAACAGTGTCATCAACTGCAGTGTCATAGCTTAGGTTTGTGCCTCACCTGTAGAAGCTCTAGAGTGTGTGGGGTGGTCTGTGGTTCCCTCCGTAGGCTGCTGCTACAGCACCTATGTCAGCATTTCAGTACTCACCTTACTCCCAACTATCAGTCTATTAGTACCTTGCAGCTCCTGCGCAGAAACATTTCTTGAACCTCCATACATGAAATCCCGTTAAACAGGATAAAATCCAAATTTGTGAATCTGTGGTTTGCTAACTCTTTACCTTGCTCCCCTATTCACTGTTTCCATTCCTCACTCCTCTCCCAGATCCCTTATTCCTTATTTAGGCCTTTGTTTCTGTTGTCATCACACGTCCTCTCCAGCTTAACTTCTTGCCTTCAAGATTTCCTTCTAATGTCTCCCTAAGGACTGCGTTGCTAACCTTGCATGATTACATGCTTTGTTGTATTTTGTGTGACCTTCAGAGTCAGATCCTGCAGAGCTTCCTCCACAAAAGGATTCCTTCAAAGGAATCCATGAGGGTTGGAATCAGCTTTTTCAGACTCCCGTTCATGTTGCTCATCTGAATTTCCTCCCATGAATCAGAAATGTTCTTTTTTTTTTTTTTTAATTTTTTTTTAATAGAGGCATGTTTTATTTATTTATTTGTTTGTTTATACATACACTGGGTACAGTCAGAAGCGTGGGAGGGTGAGAGAATTCACCAGAGCCAGAGCGGGGAGCAGAGCAGGCAGAAGGACCGAAGTACACTGCTGAGGGGAGCAGCGGGCGGCAGGAGAGGTCTGCGCGCCATGTGGGACCTTCCTCCGGTGGCTGGGGAGCAGCAGGGGATCGAACCGGCGCCGCATAGGCCGCGGGCAGCTTCGCAACCCAGCGCTCAACCGCTGCGCCACCGGGGAGGCCCCAGAAATGTTCTTTTTTTTTTTTTTTTTTTAATAATAAATTTTATTTTTATATTCCCCCATACAATTGCAAACGCCCCATTCTGACCCCAATCCTTCCCCTCCCGCCCCCCGCCCCCCAAAAAGTGTCTCTGGTTCATAGTTTTTTGTTGATTTTGATTTTCACTTTCTTATATTCATTTTCCTGGTCCCTTATTTAAGTTTTCTAGATTCCTGCTATGAGTGAGACCATCCGGTATTTTTCTTTTTCTTTTTGGCTTATTTCGCTGAGCATGATCCCTTCCAGCGCCATCCATGTTGCTGCAAATTGCATGTGTTTATCTTTTTTGAATGCTGAGTAATATTCCATGGTATATATGTACCACATCTTCTTGATCCAGTCATCAATTTTGGGGCATTTGGGTTGTTTCCAAAGCTTAGCTATTGTAAACAGTGCTGCTATAAAAATAGGGGTGCAGGTGCTCTTTGGAATGGATGTTTCTGTGTCCTTTGGGTAAATACCTAGGAGTGGAATTGCTGGATCATATGGAAGCTCTATGTTTAGTAGGTCCAGAAATCTCCACACAGCTCTCCACAGTGGTTGGACCAGTTTGCACTCCCACCAACAGTGCAGAAGAGTTCCTTTTTCTCCACACCCTCGCCAACTTTTGTTGTTGCTAGTTTTTTTAATATGTGCCATTCTCACTGGTGTGAGATGGTATCTCATGGTAGTTTTGATTTGCATTTCCCTGATGACAAGTGATGTTGAACATTTTTTCATATGCCTGTTGGCCATTTGCATTTCCTCTTCAGAGAAGTTTCTTTTTAGCTCTTCTGCCCATAGAAATGTTCTTAATGGCTTCAAGAATGGCTAATCCTTTCCAAAAGGTTTTCAGTGGGCTTTTCCCAAAACCATCAGAGGAATCACTATCTATAGCAGCAATAGCCTTACAAAAAGTCTTTCTTAAATACTAAGAGTTAAATACTAATTCCTTGATCCATGGGCTGCAGAGTGGATGTTGTATTAGGCGTCATGAAACAACATTCATCTCCTTGTACATTTCCATCAAAGCTGTTGGGTGACCAGGTACTATGCCAATGAGCAGTAATCTTTCGAAAGGCACTTTTTTTTTTCTTGAGCATTATTTCTCAACAGTGAGCTTAAAATATTCAATAAACCGTGTTGTAAACAGAGGTGCTGTCATCCTGGCTTTGTTGTACCATTTATAGAGCCCTGGCAGAGTAGGTTTAGGGTTGAGTGGAGCCCTAGGATTTTCGGAATAGTAAATGAGCATTGACTTCAGCTTCAAGTGACCAACTTGAGCCCCTAATAGAAGAGTCAGCCTGTCCTTTGAAGCTTTGAAGCCAGGCATTAACTCCTCTCTGGCTATGAAAGTGTTCCTACAGCAGGCTGTCTCACTACATTGGAAATCGAGTGTTTAGTGCAGCCACCTTCATCAGTGACCTTAGCAGGACCTTCTGGACAACTTGCTGCAGCTTCTCCATCAGCACTTGCTGGTTTACTTTTACTTTCATGTTACGGAGACAACTTCTTTATTTAAACCTCATGACCCAACCTTAAACTTTTTTCTGCAGCTCCTTACCTATTAACTTTTAGAACTGGAGAGTTACATCCTTGCTCTGGGTTAGATTTTAGTTTAAGGGAATGTTGTGGCTGCTTTACCTTTTTATCCAGACCTCTAAAACTTTCTCCATATAAGCAATAAGACTATTTTACTTTCTTACCTTTTTTTGTGTGTCACAGGCGTAGTATTTTAATTTCCTGCAAGAACTGTTTCTTTGCATTCACAATTTGGCTGTTTGGTGAAAGAGCCATAGCTTTAGGCTTGTCTTGGTTTTCAACGTGCCTTCCTCTCTAGGTTTAATCATTTCTAGCTTTTCATTTAAAATGAGAGATGTGGGCCTCCCCGGTGGCGCAGTGGTTGAGTGCTGGGTTGCAAAGCTGCCCGCGGCCTTTGCGGCGCCGGTTCGATCCCTGGCTGCTCCCCGGCCACCGGAGGAGGGTCCCACATGGCGCGCAGACCTCTCCTGCCACTCGTTGCTGCCCTCAGCAGTGTACTTCGGTCCTTCTGCCTGCTCTGCTCCCCGCTCTGGCTCTGGTGAATTCTCTCACCCTCCCGCGCTTCTGACTGTACCCAGTGTATGTATAAACAAAACAAACAAACAAATAAATAAATAAAAAACATGCCTCTATTAAAAAAAAAATAAAAAAAAAGATGCGTGATTCTTCCTTCCACTTGAACACTTAGAGGCCATTGAAGGGTTATTAATTGACCTATTATAATTTTAGTATTTTTGTGTCTTAGGCAAAAGAAGGGCCCAAGGAGAGAGAGCAGAGGGACCAGCCAGTGGGTCGGGCAGTAAGAACATGCACATTTATTAAGTTCACGTGCAGTCTTATGTGGGCACAGTTCATGGTATTCCAAGATAATCACAATGCTGATATCAAAGATCACTGACCACAGAGCACTGTAACATATAATAATAATAAAGGTTGAGATATTGTGAAAATCGCCAAAATGTGACACAGACAGGAAGTAAGTCCTTGGTATTAGAAAAATGGCACCAATAGGGCCTCCCCGGTGGCGCAGCGGTTGAGCGCTGGGTTGCGAAGCTGCGCGCGGCCTCTGCGGCGCCGGTTCGATCCCCGGCTGCTCCCCGGCCACCGGAGGAGGGTCCCACATGGCGCGCAGACCTCTCCTGCCGCCCGCTGCTCCCCTCAGCAGTGTACTTCGGTCCTTCTGCCTGCTCTGCTCCCCGCTCTGGCTCTGGTGAATTCTCTCGCCCTCCCGCGCTTCTGACTGTACCCAGTGCATGTATAAACAAAACAAACAAAGAAACCAGCAAACAAATAAATAAAGCATGCCTCTATAAAAAAAAAAAAAAAAAAAAAAAAAAAGAAAAAAAAAGAAAAATGGCACCAATAGAATTGCTTGATGCAGGGTTTTCATGGACCTTCAATTTGTAAAAAAAAAAATGCAATACTGGGAAGCACAGTAAAGTGATATGTGAGAAAGGAGCTGTGCCTGTAGTCAGGAACGCAAACATGGGTGAGCCATTCTGTTCTACCATTCTGATTCCCACACCCTTAGTCTCCATCGCTCTATCTTACAAATGAGTACAACCCTTCATTACTGTTATTGTTGTAAGTGCCAGCACATTCAGTTTTTAGCTTAAGTTTTCCTTGTTACTGCCATCATCATGAAATAATCTTTCTAGGTCATACAATAACTGTTGAACACTTTATGGTTGTAGCTCACACAGTATTTTTCTTTTTAAGGAGAAATTGTTGTAAATGAAGTTAATTTTGTGAGAAAATGCATTGCAACGGACACAAGTCAGTACGATTTGTGGGGAAAGCTGATATGCAGTAACTTCAAAATTTCCTTTATTACGGATGACCCAATGCCATTACAGGTGTGTTTTACTTATTTACTGTTTTATTGTCAAGGTGTTTGACTCTAAACAAAATACTATATAAAGCACAGGTACGAAGTAAACATGAACACAGCATTTCTTTCTCCCTTGCTGTAGTACTAAAGTGTGTTCCAAGATACTGCATCCTTGTGATTGTCATAGCTGCACAGACAAAAAGCCTCTTCTTTTTAAAGTAGTTATCACAGTTTCTCATTGCACCTCAAAATAATGCTCATTGCAATGTTATCAGGAAAAGAATTAACGTGAATATAATTTTTTATTTCAGAAATTCCATTACAGGAACCTCCTTCTTGGTGAACATGATGTTCCTTTAACGTGTATTGAGCAAATCGTCACAGGTATGTAGTATTCTTTCTCACTTCATCAGTGCTGTTTCTACTCGGGAAGTACTCCTTGAAGAGTCATCCATCTTAAATACTTGAGTTGGAATTTTATTTCTGTTGGTTTCCTTATTTTCCCTTCATTTCTCTCTCTCTCTCTCTCTCTCTCTCTCTCTCTCTCTCTCTCTCTCTCTCTTTTTGAGTACCAGAAACATGAAGAAAATGTTTAAAAATGGCAATATGAAATGTATTGCTGTTTTTATATTCTAAGTCTTGTCTTTATAATTAAAATTTTAATCATTAAGTATGCTTAGATGGTGGTGGGTTTGTGGAAAGAATCATTTACGGTATCTTCACACACAGAATTCAAATTGATCCCCCAAAGTGCTAGGAATGATAGACAAGTATGAACGATTGCAGAAAAACGGTGCTCAAGTTCTGGGTGGCCTTACAATGATTTTCAGTAAGAGTTTTTTAGAAGTATACTAAAAAGTGAGTAATAAGAAAGAATTTTTACACATTTTTTTCTTTATTTTTCTTTTTTAGTAAATGATCACAAGAGGAAGCAAAAAGTCCTAGGTCCCAATCAGAAGTTGAAATTTAATCCAACAGAGTTAATTATTTACTGTAAAGATTTCAGAATTGTCAGATTTCGCTTTGATGAATCGGGTCCTGAAAGTGCCAAAAAGGTAATAATGCTGTTAAGTTTTATTGAGTTCTCGCGTTCATACTGTATTGACCTACTTCAGTTCTGTATGGAAGTTCTTGCTTCTCAATTGCTCAGATTTGGTGATGTGTTATCAGATATCTCCTATGTAAAGTCAGTCAGGAATGTAAGTAGAACTATTTCCCCTGACTAATTTATGGCTGCTTGAAAGGATGCTATATCATCTCTTTATTTTCATTTGTTCCTAAAATCTTTAAAACTGTCATGTGAAGATTACTCTCTCTTACATTACTGACTGGTTTCTATCTTAGCTAAAATGATTGAAAAGGTGGAGATATATTATAATTGAGGCTTGGCAAGATTTTTAATTTACTACCCCAGTGTTTGATTAACAAATTAAAAATTGGACTTAGGGGGCCTCCCCGGTGGCGTGGCGGTTGAGCACTGGGCTGCAAAACTGCCCGCAGCCTCTGCAGCGACGGTTCAATCCCCGGCTGCCAGTGAGGGTCCCACATGGCGCATAGACCTCTCCTGCCGCCCGCTGCTCCCCTCAGCAGTGTATTTCGTCAGTCTGCCCGTTCTGCTCCCCGCTCTGGCTCTGGTGAATTCTCTCACCCTCCCGCGCTTCTGACTGTACCCAGTGCTTGTATAAACAAATAAATCTTTAAAAAAAAAAATTGGACTTAGGTTACATAAGGGTTAGGTAAATGTATAGTTAAGGTATGGCCTAATAATTACTGGTACTTTAAAGAAATCTTAATGAATTAATTTGAGTAATATTTCACAGGGACGGCTAAATAGTAGACACTTTTTACTTGGTTTGTTTTTTCCCTGCATTCCACTGAATGTTTATTGCCTACTCATGGAGTAAGATTCAAAAACAGAAATCCTCCCTTCTTTGATTCCGTGGATTAGTTTGGCAGAGGAATGACACTGCTGGACCTGGTCCAGTCTGTGGTGTGGCAGATGTAGAGAATATTAACAGAATTTCCAGGAGAAACCTGCTCCCATGTATTGGGAATAGAGGAACAGTGTCTTAGTGAAATAGGAAGTTGCTTTTTCTCAGAAATGAGGCAGCTTTTGTACCACCCAAAAATAGATGCATTTGTTTTGCATTGTCAATAGACTTATTGCAGTAACTTTTCTGTTGCTATCAAAATGAGGCTGGAAAAAAAGATCATAAGGCAGCTGTCTTCATACACTTTGGTGAGGAGGTAGATTTAATTTTAGGACTAGAACCAATAGTTTGAGATGACTATCTTAACATGCGTGACCATGGGACTAGGTTTTCTAGCAAAGTGATAGTGGGTTCTATGGCTAAAAGCTTTCAAATAGCTGTGTGTCTTACAACATGTTTCATTATTGAAAATTTAACTGGATCACTTAAAGTTCTTTTCAGGTGTTTAATTCTGCAGTTTTTGATTTTTGACATTTTACTCATTTGAGATGCCTATTTTTATATAGAAAGACTTTATAATTAATTAACTAGTACACTATATGTGAATATTTTAGCCAGGTTGCTGTCTTGATCTTAAATACTTGTAATTTAATTAAAGCATCAAAAATCTACTTATGAAAATCTTATTCAGGATGTATAGCATCTCAATAATAGGGATACCACAGAACTTAGGCAGTTGAGTTAGGACAGGATACTTTTTAAGTAATGAAATGATCCAGTGGTCCGTTATTCTTCAGAAACTTAGATCTCTCATGGTCTATTATATTTTTCAGACTATTTCAGTAATTGGAAATAATAGTATTTTGGCTTAGTTTCTTGAGCCATGTGGGATATTTGTTGGTTATTTTTGATGTGTGAGGCAGTGTCCAAATTTAGTTAAGAAAATAAAGCAGAAGGGGCCTCCTGGGTGGTGCAAAGGGTAAAGCACCGCGCTATGAAGCAATCCACAGCATAAATTCAATTCCCAGCCGGCCAGGGAGCAACCCACATGGCGCGGCAGCCCTCTCCTGTCTCACCCACTGCTCCCCTCACCAGTGTATTTCAGTCAGTCTGCTTGTTCTGTTCCCCACTCTGTCTCTGGTGAATCCTCTCACCACCCCGCTACACCTCTGGCCTGTACCCCAGCTCTTGTATGCATAAATAAATAAATCTTTAAAAAAATAAAGAAAATAAAGCATGAACAAATGAAAAATTACAGGACAAAGTAAAAGCATAAATGAATAAGTACCAAATGAATGAAATTGGTAATAAGTGGTCTGGAAATTCAGGCCACCTCTTATCTGTTGTGCTGCTGATAACTGATAAAGGGGCTTCATTGAAGTGTGTATACAAAGCAGGTGAGTCTGACTTTCTCTACTTTCCCAAGACCAAGTTTCTCACCAAGTCTTTCTCCTCTGTCTTAAAATATGAAAGATGTGCTACCTTAAGCCCAAAAGAAATGCACTCTTTTTGTCTTTTCTACAGTGCTGGGGGTCAGGGATAAGTAGAGGGGGGCAAAAAAGAGGCAGTAGAATATGGAATCTTTTCCCCGGATCTGCATATTTTCAAACAAGCTTTGACTGCCAAAGCTTATAGGCTTCATGAGTTAAAAACAAAAATTCTAGCATATTCTTTTATTTCAAGTGAAAGTTTTCATCTAATGTTAGTTAACAGCTGGGAAGATACAGCTTGATTTTATCATCTAGAAATTTTGAATGCTGAGTTTTCTCTGGAAATGTTTCGATTTTTACAAGTTGTTTCAAAATGACCACATGCATAGTTGAGTTCTCTGGTAGGTAAACCATTGGTAATTTTGAAATATGGGAAGCATTTATATTTCTGTTTGAAATATGAAATCACGAAATACTAAATTGGTTCACATTTTGTTAAATGTGAAGCCTCTGGTAGTCGAGTGGGTGTTGCCTGAACTATGTCAGGACTGAATTAAATGAGTTTTGCTGCTGCATCCATTAGCATTCACCCTCATTGTTCTTGGGCTACCACAAGAAAATAGCGTGTTTGGGAAAGGTCTATATAAAGAAAAAAGAAATTCGATGATGCAGAATTGAACATCTAAACTCAGAACAACTTTGAGCCACCATTTCCTTTTGAAGAACTTTTGCTCAAAGCGGAAAGATAAAGATTTGTTTTTAATGATTTATCACTTTAAAATATATCTACACACACACACACACACACACACACACACACACACACGAGATGGTAAGTGAAATAGATGCTCTTTGTGTCTACTTCATTTTGCATTTATTTAGTTGATTGTGAGTCACTTGTTCAGGCATACTTTGTAGAAATGAAAATTCAGCTCGTCTATTTAAAGTTGACCTTTTTCTGAACTGTCATTTTTACTTTGACTCTGAGACTTAACTCCTTGGTGGTTGGTTTTCAGACAGAGATTTGCCAGTGTGCTAGAACTTGATGAGATTTGAACTTCTTAAGTGCTGTACCTCCTACTAATTTTAGAGGAGAGCCATCATCTATGGGTACTTCTGACTTCTGTCCAGACAAAAAATCATCAGCCTTGGTCAAAAAAAAAAAATCACTTCAAAAGTAGTTTACTTATTTTCCTGCAATAAAATATTTACCACAATTTGACATCTTTAATACCAAGAGTTTCTTCATCACCAGGGCAAATGAACTATTTCAGAGGGAGTTTTTAAAGATACAAAGTTTGTTTTTTTTTTTTTTTTAAGTATTTTTAATGCATAGGGAGGACACTACAAAATTTAAATGATTTTATATAGAAATAAAAGTTCCTTTTTTAAGCCTTTGAAACTCTTAGTAATAGAAAAAAGGAATGTGGACATAGGCTTTAACAACAGTGTGTATTTAAAAGTTCAAGGGAAAGAACCCCTGGCTTGCTTTCTCTTTTCAAGAGGTCCTGTAGTAACAATGTAATCAAGTCGTCTGTGCCTTTTTCTGGATTCACAAAGATACCCCTTACTTAAGCTTTACAAAAATAAGTTATACACACATGTAATTACACTCCCAAAAAGCAGCTTTAGTTTAAGTCCAAAAATCAACCACTGAGTAAGTGATTAAACAAAGTTTCAGTATCACAGTATTTTTTTATAGCCTTCTTTAAATGCAGATGTTTATTAGGACATACTCACTTGTTTTCTAACCTTTGGACTTTTGGAAGTGGGCTACATTATATTTTACCTAGCAAAATGACTTTTTGTTTTTGCTTTGTGGCCAAATGTACATACTCCATAATCAATGATCTTTTGTGTAAACACTGCCTGTTGATTCTTTTCTGAATGTCTTAGAGAAAGTGATAGACTTGTACTATTGAATTGGAGCATTTCCATTACAATGTTAATAAATAGCTTTGTCAACAATATTTTTAGTGCTGCTGTTATCATAAAGTACCTTCAGAAAGCTACTAAAGAGGTGGCAAGAATGCAAAGGTCTTCGCCCTTTATTCAGATTTACAGAGATGTCCTTCCTGATCTGCTTCTCTATAAATAATTAACCTACTTCTCCCTGTCTGTAGTGCTTCCTATACCCTTCCCTTCTGGATCTTTTTTCTCCTTTAGCACTTAAATTATTTAACTTGATGTATTTTTTATTCTTGTTTAGTGTCTGTCTTCCCCACTAGAATGTGAGATGAGTGAGGACAGGGATTTGTGTCTGTTTTGTCCACTGCTGTAGCCCCAGGACTTAGAACATGATGGACGTTCAGTAAATATCTGTTGAATGAATGAGAGATGGGGCATTACCATGAAGGAGCTGAAGGAAGTAAAACCAAGAACTCCAATGCCTACTTTATATGTGGATAAACCACACACATAACTCTTAACATGAATACTTTGGAAGTACAGCTACATAAGCACAATGAATGAAAGAGACACTGTTGGAACTGTGCAGAGAGAACAGAGGTTTCTACAATAAATGGTTCAGTCTGGAAGATTTGTAAGAGATTAGAATTGAACAGAGGTGACAATTTCAGAGAGAGCATGGTTGGCTAGGCAGAATGTGGCTGGAACTAAGAGGAGATAGCTGGAACTAAGTCAGATAAAATATGGCAAGCAGGTGTTTCTCTGACCAGAGACTACTGAGAAGGTGAGGGAAATCAGACAGAAGACAGCCAGTTTGGTGAAAAGTTAAAAATAAGATATAATTTATTCTTTTATCTGGTAATCACATCAGATTATCCAGGGAGCAAAGTTACTAGTCAAAATTCCACTTTCAAAAGAGAATTCATAAGTGTTACAGATTTTGTTTTAAAATGTAGGAAAGCCCACAGAAATGTCTTAGTGAGTATAACTTAAAGATGTGGCTATGGTAGTGCAGGAAAATGGAAGAAAAATGAAAAATAGTCTTGAAAAAATTGTAACAAAGCTTAAAGGTTAAATATGGTCAGAGAAATAAAAGTGATGAGGACTTTTGCTGCTAGAAGAATTGCTGTCAGGAAGACTGTTGGGCAGATTGTAGATCGCTCTCTCCTAAATTTTTTATGTGGAACTCTCATAGAAAGATCTCTATATGCATCAGAAAAATAAGACTATTACAAGATGTTTCAAGCAGTCTTTTTCGATGGTGGTTTTGGCCAAAACTAGTAATAAACCCTGTTCCATTGATTGTATGTTTTAATTTAGTAACACATGAAACCTTTGTTTATAGATAACTTTTTAAAAATGTTTTAAAGACAAAGCTAACACATGCTTAATAGAGTTTGTATCAATCTACCCCAAATACCAATAGTTTGACATGGACTAACAAATTTTTCTTTCTTGCTCACTAAGGAATTTCATTCTGGCTTAATGCTTTTCCATCTAAGTGATATTTAATATTTTTAAGTAAGGTCTTTTGTTCTTTCCTTGCATATGACTTTAATTTCCTCTTTCCTCGTTGTTCATTTAAGACTTTTCTCCCAGCCTAGTCCAGGGCCTTGTAATCATAGAGCCCCATCCTTCTTACTTTTCAGTAGCAGTTGAGATAGTAATAACCATATTCCCATGTATGGAGCCCCTCCAGCAGCCAGGCATGCATTTATATTATTAATCTTTATCAGAGCTAAGGGCATTGTCTTTATTTTACAGATGAGCAGACTGATGCCCTAGATAAACTGACTTGACACAAGTTTCATGGCATGTGCATGCTCGAGTTAGGACTCACACCCTGACATGTTTGATTGGAAAACCCATGCTTCATCCACCTCAAGCACAGTCTCAAACTATTTTATTTTAAACTCAGCCTTCATTTTCAAATGTACTTCTTTGAGCCACCCATGTCCTTCTGGGTTTCTTGCTAATCGTGTGTGTGTGTGTGTGTTTGTGTGTGTGTGTGTATCAAGTTTAGATTTTTTTAATCCATGAGGTATGAATATTTAACTTTTCATACCTTACATTAAATTGTCCATATTGTTGGTATGAAATCATTATAGTCCACTAAAAATGAAACTTTTATTTTAGGTGTGGGTATGTCATGGCCTTTTGGAGAATGCTTCTGTAGTTTTCAAGTTTTATTAATTTGAATAAAATTACTTTCCTGTTAAAATTCAACTCAGCAGACATATACTGAATAGTTTCCATGTACTCACTAAAGATTAAACAGTATGTGAGGGTCACAACAATGAATAAGATATCTGGCCTTAAGGAGCTCTTTCAGATTCTAGATCAACAGAAAACTATGTAAATAAGTATCTATAATTACTGCCCCAAAATGATGCTCCCAATAATCAAGGCCTTATTGTACATTTCATTTAACTAAGTGTGTTAAAAATCAAATTCTAAATGTAGAATTTTTCCTAGGTATGCCTTGCAATAGCTCATTATTCCCAGCCAACAGACCTCCAGCTACTCTTTGCATTTGAATATGTTGGGAAAAAATACCACAATTCAGGTAAATATGAAAATATTAAATATTGTGACTAACTTTACATTGTGTAAATTTTATTATGTTTATCAGAAGGCTTCAAGTACATGAACTTTAATGATTATAGAATGACTAGCTTTTTAACTGCTAGAGAAATAAGCACTATAATTAACAGAGACAGTATTTGTCAGATTATTTCTTAAAAAGTGACCAGGCCGAACCCTGTCACTTATGAACCACTGTAACATAGGCATATAAGAATCATGTCAAATAATTTTACCTATATCAATGGCTTGTATGTTATGATGAAGGAAGATACACTTCCCCCTCTCCCCCCTTTTGTAATTGATAGCTTGAGTTAAAGTAATCTCCTCTTTTTTAATTTGATCTTTTAAGCAAAAAGTGAAAAGATAGTTAACGCACATAATCTTTTCTGACAAAGTTTGATTTCATGCAAAAGTTGAAGTGGTTATTTTTTAGTGGGCTTCAATAAAAAGTCAAAATAATGACTTTCTATTATGGAATAAGAATGATGAAAGGAAGAGGACCATTTGTCCAAAGGACAGGTGTATTCTGTGCATTTTCGTAAAGTTCTTTCCACATGTCTGTGTCAGCAGTGACATCACCAAATGAAAATTCCAGATGGTTGTATAATTTTGTACTTTCTTTTTACCTACAAATGTAACTTTAAGCAGCCACTTTAAAAATCTCATGAAAGGATAGATAGGAAACAGGTCATGTCTCATATTAACCCCTTTTTGGATTAGTAACCACTTGTCTACTGCTTACTGAGGCATTTATGCCACTTTTTATAGAAGAAAAATAAGTTCATTACATACTTAAAATGAGAGATCATTCAACCTTGCTTCCTATGGATGGAGAACTTACAAATTATTACTAGTAGTAGATTTTTTTACAATTAGTTACCTAAAAACATGGTGGCAATTTAAATAACATGCACAATCAAAAAATATATTCCAATATCACTATGTTGTAAATAAATTATAGGAACAGTACACAGTATCTGCAGATGCATATGGTACCAAGTACATTTTCACTACTTTAAAAGATAATTATCCACATGGTAGAGATGATACTGTAAAAGCATGCTTTCTAGAATGAGAGGCTTTTGTGGTACTAATGTTTATAGAAGTTAGATAACACAAAGTATAAGTTAATTTTTCTTATCAAAATAATTGTATCTTAGGTTTGAACAATGCAGTTTACTTTTTTAAGTTTATTTCTTCTATAAGGAAAAGTAGTCACGTGCCACATAATGGTAGTCCTGACAGGCTGCATATATCAGGGTAGTCCCAAAATCCATGCTGCATAGTGATAGCATAGCCCACACTGCCATTGTATTACAGCAGCATGAAGTCATGGATGCCCAGCTCCTCTTCCAGGATGCCCTCCTGTGCTGCTGTGTAAATGAAAAGAGAAGAGTTGTTTGGAGAATAGCTTATATTCTGTGATGTGTACAATGGTGAATTCACTTGCTACACATTGATCAGAAAGTACCTTAGTCGTTATATGACACATGACTATTGTAGATCCTGCACTGTTAATCAGGTGACTCTGCCTTTGGATCATCATCGAGGTGTACACTGTGATCATCAGGGTTATCTGCCATAAGATCTTCACCCACAGCTGCAAGAGAGTAGCTGAAGTGAAAGTTTCTAGAGATGTAAGAGTTGTAGGAAAGAGTCTTTGATTCCCACTTAAGTTTGTTTATGTTACTGACCAGTTGTTGATGCTACTCTCTTTCTGGTGGAAATGATCCAGTCCAGGGTACAGATCTGTAACTTCTGCAGTACTGTAATGACATGGATTCAGCAAGTAGAGTAAACTTCATTATGCATGTGGTGACCTGACCCTTGCTTAAGTTTCTTTTCAGTTTTCTTCATTCCTGGTGGGCCTCTCTGGGTTAATAATACTTTAAACAGTTTATTCAGACCATAGCTCTTCTGTGGATGTGCATATTTGCATCAGTCCTCTACATATTCAGTTGTTGATAAAATTTGATAATACCTAAAATATTCAGGAACTCTTTTTTTTTTTTTTTTTTTTTTTTTTTTTTTTTTTTTTTTCCTTCCATGCTTTTATTTACTTAACAAATTTTTTTTTTTTTTAAATATTAAATTTTATTTTTATATTCCCCCATACAATTGCAAACGCCCCATTCTGACCCCAATCCTTCCCCTCCCGCCCCCCACCCCCCAAAAAGTGTCTCTGGTTCATAGTTTTTTTGTTGATTTTGATTTTCACTTTCTTATATTCATTTTCCTGGTCCCTTATTTAAGTTTTCTAGATTCCTGCTATGAGTGAGACCATCCGGTATTTTTCTTTTTCTTTTTGGCTTATTTCGCTGAGCATGATCCCTTCCAGTGCCATCCATGTTGCTGCAAATTGCATGTGTTTATCTTTTTTGAATGCTGAGTAATATTCCATGGTATATATGTACCACATCTTCTTGATCCAGTCATCTATTTTTGGGCATTTGGGTTGTTTCCAAAGCTTAGCTATTGTAAACAGTGCTGCTATAAACATAGGGGTGCAGGTGCTCTTTGGAATTGATGTTTCTGTGTCCTTTGGGTAAATACCTAGGAGTGGAATTGCTGGATCATATGGAAGCTCTATGTTTAGTAGGTCCAGAAATCTCCACACAGCTCTCCATAGTGGTTGGACCAGTTTGCACTCCCACCAACAGTGCACAAGAGAGGAACTCTTTTTAGATTACATCCTTCAGACTGCTTCTTTGACAAGTACTTCATAAGCATTACACTTGGCCAGAGTTTTGTTAAGATTCTTCATAGGATAACATCCTTTAATATCCTTCCATGCTGTTGCAGAAGCATAAGCATCTTTAAGATCAAAAGAAGCCTGAAATTTCCACACACCACAGTCAGAATTCATTAATTTGTGAGTGAAAGATGCCCAATAATCCACTCTTGAACTCCTGGATGACACCTTGATTCATTGGCTGGATTAAAGAAGTCCTTTTTGCAGGCAGGTAGGTGACAAAGCTGTTTCCAAAAATAAGATTTAAGAAAAGAATCTTTTAGCCAGCCTTACTAGGCAATTTGAGACTTTCTTTCCTATTTAGCATCACAGGAGTTAAAAACCATTTCTGAAGAGCTCAGCCTTATCCAAGTCCTTCTGTGAGGACCCTGGAGTACAGGAAAATGGAAGCACCCGCAGGCTGTGGGCCATGACTACTGGCCCCACAGGATGCACTGACACAAACAAGAACAGTGATTCTGTTTTTTCTTTTAACTTGAAAGGGACCAGAAAGACTGTTTTTATCAGACATGTTGTTATTTTGCAAATAATGTCCACAACGTATAGATTTATCTTTGCTATAAAATTAGTAAAATGTCAGATTATACTTTAAAGAAGCAAAAGCCCCCTGAAGTTACTACTGCTTCAGCATTAGCAACTCGACTCCATCGAGTGTGCTTGCAAATTGTGATGTACGCTCACATCAGAAAAAAGTACATTTTCAGCAAAAATTTTAAAATTAACCATTTTGGTCTTGGTATTAGATTTTCTTTTAAATGCTTATTTGGAAAGCACAGAATACACATTTGAAACATGAAGGGATTTTTTAAGGTTGTTCCTCCTCAGGTGTTTAAGATTCTAAGTATAGCTATAAATGATTGTGACTGACGCTCTTGTCTCTTGAATCCTGGTCGTTCTTAACCAGCCACGTGCTTCATAGTTACTGGAGGAACTTTTAGAAAAACAACCATGCAGTTTCCACCCAAGCCCACAAAGTCGAAACCTCCCAGTTAGGGCAGTCTGGTTGACTCACCTCTCTTGAACTTAGTGCTCACAGTTCTATTTTTGCCACCTTTTTTATGGCTTCTGGTATATCATCACTACCATAGGCTTTCTTTTCTTAGGTTGACCACTGTTGTGTTTGCTGTTGCTTGAGGCAAATCTAAATATGCATGAGCTAATTAAGTGGAAACTCGAGTAAATCCCTTGAGGCAGTCTAAGATTAGTTCAGAAGATGGACAAGTTAAGGAGTGCTTAGTGTGTAGTTTCACTTCTAGTCAGCTGAGGAGCTGTGTCCTAAAATCTCAGTCAGACAGCAGGCAAAGGAGCTGATATACCTAAGGTCTCCCGCTTTGCCAGTTTGTTGCTGCAGTCAGTGATTCTTTCGAGGAGCAGGCCACAGGTAGTGCTTTCTGGAAAGCACTAGAATGTCTGGACTCTCAGCTGCCAGGTTGAGGGCCAGGTACACATTCTAAAATGAGCTATTACTGAAGAAGATATAGTGCATGTAAAAGGCCTAGTCCTGGTAGTTGAAAAATGGGAAAGTTTTGAACAAGCAAAACGGCAAACAGTATAAGAGCCTTTGGAAATTCTTACTTTATGTCAGAAAAATTTTCCTATTCTTACTTGTATCTTGAGACTAAAATATTACCAGATAAACAGTCTAATATACAATAGCACATTCTCAACCTAACTTATTTAAGTCTGTAACTTCAAAACTTAAAAAGTAGTCAATGCTATATTTTCAGCTAGGGGTATGCTGTCAGGCTATATAATTTTTTAAATGTTTTGAGTGTGTTTCTTAAACATTTTTAACAGTGGCTGTCCCCTTGTTGGGCAAGGACTTCCAGTAGTGTTGAAGAGTGCTTGCCTTTATAAAGCTTAATGAGGTTGATAACTTGCTGTGTGTTTCTGATAAATACACTTCTCAAGTTAAGGAAATGCCCTTTCATTCCTAATTTACTAATGTTTTTGTTTAATCATGAGCAGGTAACTATCACATGTTTTTCTGTACTTACAGACTAATTAGATACATTCAAATGATGAATTAGATTTTCTAATTGAGTAGTTTTCTGTGTTTTGTTTGTTTGTTGGTGCTCTGTAACACTGTGTGTAAAGTGGGGCTGGTTGGAAATCCCATAAAGGTTTTGCATTCTGGAGAGAACCTGATTCCCCATTCCTCAGCGCATCTTCAGGCTGTTGCTTCAGAGAAGTTGCTGGGGTAGAGTGGACTCCAGGATATGTGTTTAGAATTCACATTTTACTTTTTAACAAACTCTGCTAAAGTTAGGATCACTGGAGAGATCTGATGCCACTTAAAGGCTAAAATTCAAAATTCCTTGGGGGTGGCACTTTAAGACCCTGTGTAATGTAGAATAGCACTCCCTATCCAGTGTAGAATGTTCTCTCATCTGCACTGTGCAGTGGAGGGGCCACTAGCCTCATGGGGCTCTTAAGCACTTAAAATGTAACTGGTGGGACTAGAGAACTGAATTTTTCATTTTAATTTCAGTTTAAATTGCATGTGTAGCTAGTGGCTACTCTCTTGGGCAACACAGATCTAGTGTCTAGACCCCATCTAATTTCCCCACCTCTCTTTCGCCATCCCTTGCATTTCTGAAGTTCTAATTGTGTTTAATTTTTTAATGTTATAAATTACACTATGTTTTCTATGTACTCTATCCAACATGCCTACTACTTTCTCACCAGCTACCTGGCAACATTTGACTCACTCCTTAGGACTCTGTTCAGCTGTGTTCAAGTTGTGGGTCCTTTCCTCCCCAGTGAGAGCTTCCTCCTCCACGCTCCCCCTGCCCTCGGACATCAGCGCCCTGTGACTAGTGCTGAGCCTCCCCTTCACTCTCCTCCTATTGCTTTCAAGATAGAGATAGGATCTTTTTAGGTTTAAAATGTTCAAGTCTTAGCATATGATTGGTTCTCAGAATACCTGATTGCACCGGATGTTACAGTCCCTAGGAATGGGCATGGCATATCAACGTGACAATAAAGAGTTTCTCATGGCTGTAGGGGAAAGTGGGAATTAGGGATAATTAGAAGTAAAGTTCATTTCTGTGAGGGCTCTTTGAGAGAAACCATTTAGGTTTGCTTTATTTAGATGGAATATGAGCAGCATCAAGTTTGGAGCAAGGAGAACATCATGAAAGCGTAATTTCTGGGAAACGTATCTTGTAGCAAGCTGCAGGCTAGTTTGAGTAGAGCAGAGCATCATATCAGGGATGTCAGCTGCGAGACTGCCACAGTTGCAACCTGCAGCAGTGAGACACTGAACCAGGAAGGATTGGGCTCCCTGTCACCCAGGTTGCCAGGGCAGATATAACTGACAGTTGGGGCGACTTCTTTGTCTCTACTCACTCTGCAGACCCTCTTGAGGCTGTGGCCAAGCTCCCACAAGGTAGCAGCACTCCTCTGTGAGAAGGTTTCTTGCTGGGGAAATTCAGGTCTAGGCCCTCTCTTTGCTGACATCTGCATATGGGACTGCATTGGTGAAGTACGAGGAACCTATGTGAGATTGTCAAAGGAAAATTGAGTCAGACACCAAGAATTTTATAATAAGCAGTAAAAAAGGGTTGAAAAAAGTCTATATTAGAAAAATGAAAGATTTGGATAGCTTAAGAGATGATTGTTGGCATCATTCATTTCTAGGCAAAATGTATGCAGAGAATAGATTAACTTGTATCTACTCACGAAGGGGGCAGGGATATAGGAGGGATGGAAGACAATTAGAAGTTTAGGAGAAAATAAATGGAGAAGAAATGTAGTCAACAAGCATTGTTCATCGTTGAAGAAGGTGGTCCATAAAAGGGGGATGGAAAAATGTTTGCAGAAGTCTCTCCTTATCCTTGAAGGAGACGTCCCACGACCCCCGTGATGTCTGAAACCACAGAGAGTGTGGAACCCTGTGCTTTTGTCTCCTCTACTCAAAATACTTAGTGTGGTAGCTTAATTTATAAACTAGGTACATAAGGGATTAATAATATGAATAAAATAATATGATTGTAACAATAATATATTGTAATAAAATGTAGGTAAATGTGATCTCTCTCTCTCAAAATATTTTATGGTACATAATAGCTTCTGGCCCTGATTGGCTGTGGAGAGTGAAACTTCAGATAAGGTTATTATGTAGCTAGAGTCCTGTAGTGTGATTAAGTGAAATTTCTTCAAAATCAAGTTTACCTGTTTGTTTAAAGGCAAAGGAGAAAGACCCAATGGAAGGACAGAAAAAACAAAGGTGCTGAAGAGCTGAAAGAGATGGACCAGGACAAGAATAATTGAGTGCTTTGGAGAGGGGAGACTTGCCTTTCTCAGGACTGCTGGAACGGGGGACATGGTCCTGGAGAAACTTGAAAACTGAAGCAGGGAGGAGATAACACATCAGAGTGTGTTTGTGATAGGACGTAGGAAGAGAGGAGAGGGAGTATTGGATGAAATATGGCAGTTAAAACAAAATTAATTTGCTTTTTCCTATAGCCAACAAAATTAATGGAATACCCTCGGGAGGCGGAGGAGGAGGAGGCAGCAGCCCCAAAACTCCACTATTTGAAACTTACTCAGACTGGGACAGAGAAATCAAGAGGACCGGCGCTTCTGGGTGGAGAGTTTGTTCTATTAATGAGGGTTACATGATATCCACTTGGTAAGTCCATCTTCACCAATGTTGTTTCCAGCTGGGAATGTCTTAATAATAATCCAGCTCCACTGTCAGCAATAACTGTGAAGATATGGTTAATGGAATATTTGTTTTTAATAATGTTTTGTGACTATTTGGGGCCTTTAAACATGATCACAATATCAATATCCATTGAAAGAAATGGACAGTAATTCTTTGTTATTGTCAATAATGCATCCAGTGTTTGTTTGCATTTATTGCTTGTAAATGTGTTTTACAGACCTGTCACACATTGAGCCTGCGTGGTCTGGCACTTTCACTCTGCAATGGTCTCCTCCCACTTTCTTTCTACTTACTATTTATTTATTGGCAAAACCTGGTCATTTGTTCTCCAGAACTTTCCACACGCTAGGATAGCTGTGTCCCCATGGTATCTTTTAATGTTTTCGTCTGCCTCAGGTATTTTCCATAAAATGTCAGTTACCTCTAGAAGTTTAATGACTAGATTCCGCTTCCCAGTCTTGGCACAGATGCTTCATGAGGTTGCATCGTGTGTGCCTCCTGTTGCATCATCTGGGCCCTCAGCCTCAATCTGATGCTGACTGACCATGGGTCCAGCATTTAATCTATCCCATACAAAGTTCCCCTTTCATATAATCAGTTTAGTCACCAAAAAATGGTTTTCATCAGGAGGATCATTACCCAGATCCTTACTTCATTAAGAGTTGCTGTTGATGACATTCTGTCATTCATTGTTTTCTATCAGACTTTTCATCAACTCTTTAGTACCTGAAATACAGTTTATACAAGAAAGGTAGTATAAATGTTTACTTTTTCCCTTCATTTAACCAAGTTTAAGATTAATAAGCTAATTCCCTACACCCTCTCTCAAAATGATCAGAAAAATGGTTTTTAAATTGGTTTGTTTAATATCTTTTAGTGGTCTTGGTTTTTGGGAATACTTCATTTAAAGATCATTAAAGTCTTCACTGGTTCTTGCAAATAAACAGCATTTTTGAACAAAAACTGCTCTTAGATATCACTGGGTGGTCCAATACCAGGCGCTTCTAGGAGTATATTTCTGGGGCAAAGGTGCTTTGGAGCAATTAGCTTGAGCCTTCTGCCTCCCCTGGAATATAAACTTTGTGACCAGTGTGTTCTGCTACATTATTTGTTCAGGTCTGCTTCTATCTGCCTGCTTAGCCTGATGGAGGAAAGAAGAGAGCAAGAGGTTTTCTAGTGATACTTGTTGTGTGATTCATGCTAGAGTCTGAGTTTGAGGACTGGGACTGGAAAGGAGAGGAAGATAAAAAGGATGTAAAAACTTATTAGCATGTCTGTGGGTTGGGTTGGTTTGGTGTGCCTGGAATCTCTTTACCCAGTCACTATTAAGAGAACAAGATGGGTAGACTTTTCAGAAACGGCCTACATTTGATTAAAAGTCATTCTTGAAAATATTTCAAGTATTCTTTGGATTTTTCCCCTGCCATACATATAAATTGACCACATCACATATCTTAGACTAAGATATCAAGGATCATTAGTATCTTCCACTGTGCCCATCTGTGCCCACTAAGTAGGGGATACATATCTTAATTGTGAGTGGGGGCTACAGAGCACACTTATCCTGCCAAAGCATAGCACTCTTATGTTACAATTTGTTTTCCTCCCCTCCAGCCTTCCAGAATACTTTGTTGTGCCAAGTTCTTTAGCAGACCAAGACCTAAAGATATTTTCCCATTCTTTTGTCGGAAGAAGGATGCCAGTAAGTGATGTCTGTTAGAGATCAGTAATTCTGGTGTTTATTTCTTTTACCCAGTGAAGTGAAGGCTCTGCTTCTTTCCTAGCTCTGGTGCTGGAGCCACGCCAACGGCAGCGCTCTCGTGCGAATGGCCCTCATCAAGGACATGCTGCAGCAGAGGAAAATAGACCAAAGGTAATGAAGAAATGGTCGTTACGTCAGACATTTTTATCTGTCCTAAATATTTATAGTATCTAAATTTAAGTTATACTATTTTAATTCTTTGACTCATTAAACAATTGAGGATCTTACACTGCAGACATCTTGCCATACATGGCCTTTAACATACTTTCATAATGCAGTACGTCAGGATGGTTCAAGGCTTTCGTGTAGTTCAATGCATCTTATTTAACGTCTATAATAACTAGGATGGTGGTTTTAATTAGCCATCACAAACTGCGAAGGTTACCACGACCTCCATGGCATCAAAGTAGTAGGCAATTCCAGTCTTCTCAGGGCAGTAGCGTTCTGGGCCCTCTGCTCCTGATGCTTTCCTTCCTCCATGCCACTCTGCCTTCTAAGCCTATTGTCCTTTCTGCAGGCATAGTCTCTCTAAGACCATTTCTCTATATTCCCTTCCTAAAGAAATTCACTTGTAGCTGTGACTTTAATGACTACAGATTTTTATCTCCAGTCAAGTTCATGTCTTCCACATGTAAGGTCTCCAAGACCCTTGAAATTCATTATGTCCAAAATCAAACCCAAAGATATGGCTACCATACCCTCTCCCAGCCTGCTCTCAGGTGCCTAGGAGTTATGCTTGATGCCTTCCTCTTTGACTTCCCATCTCCATGTCCAACACATCATCAGATTCTGTTTCTTTACTTTTCAGAAATCTTACAGTCCATATGCTTCCACCCGTCTCCGCCCTACCACTGTGTTGCAGAGTGCCCTTGTTTCTCCGCATTGGGTCTCGTGCCACCCCTTGTCCTCCTCCTGGACTCCAGCCAGCCTGGACTTGCCCTGGTCTTTTCCAGTTCCTGATAAATATGGTCTTTTCTATCTCCTGATAAAGTAGCCATGTTCCTTCCTTCTGGCCTGCCTTTCTCATGCTTATCCACAAGTGCTCTCTGCCCCAGTACTGTGTCCTAGTACTCAGTCTTCAGATCTTACTTCAGACATCACTTCTTCCTTAAGATAAGCCTTCCCTATCGTAAGGGATATTTGCACAAATTAGATCAGACCTCAACTTACACATTCTCTTTGGCTGATTTTTTTCATAACCCTTATTTTGACTCTTAATTGTGTGGGTGTTACAGTTCAGTTATTGCCTGTCTTTCTTACTAGACTGTAAGCTCCGTGAAGTGAAGGGACTAAACCTGTTTTACACACCATTATATATTTAGCACAAAGGAGCGACCCATGACTAATTGAATAATTAGTCAATACTTAATTAGGTAAATGAAGAACAAAGAAACAGATCTTAGGAAACAGACTCAGAGAGTGCCTCAAAAATTGTTCATCATAGTCTATTATTGGTAGCACAGGATCTTAGGGTTTTTCCCACAGCACCTTAACTTAAGAAAATCACATATCCTGAAGCCAGTGTCTGTCAGGTGGCCTCAGATCACCCTTTCCAGAGAGGAAGAACTATAATTTATACAAGTCTGCATTCTCTGGCATATTTTAATTTCCTTTTAATCACTTTAGAAATGAACCCTAATGTGTCGTACTGCAAGCCTTGTTTTCAGTGACATAGTTGCTACTTAAGTGCTCTGTTAGGGGTGTTGCTGTTAAAGTGAAAATGGCAAAACTCTTTAGTGATGGTTCTAAAACCTTATGGCAGTTTGAATTATTTAAATTTTTTAAGCTAAGAATTATTTTAATTTCTTAAATACTCCATTCGTCATAATTGAGACAGATTCTCTTTGTTGTCCAACTTCATCTTGACCCCTTTTTTCCGCTTACTGACCTTTTCCAGCTTTCTGCAGCAGCCATGTTTGTGGCCTTTTCACTAGCTGTCTTTCTGCCTGGAACATTTGTCCCAGATCATTACAGGTCCCTGCTAACTTGGGTTAGCTTTAGTATCTTAAGGGAGGAGCCTTTTCTGACCATGTTACCCTACTCTCCTGCAGTCACTCAGTTCCATCACCCCTGGCATTCACCACGGCCTGTTCTCTCATTATGTATCCCCTGCCAAGAATGTAAACCCATGAAGGTGGAGACCCACTGTGTCTTGTTCAGCTCTCTAACCTCAACTCTTAAAGCGGTGACTTAGCTTACAGTAGCTGTTTAAAAGATACATGTGACTAAATGAATGGATTTTGTCTTTTTAGGATTTGTAATGCAGTAACTAAAAGTCATCCACAGAGAAGTGATGTTTACAAATTAGACTTGGATAAGACCTTGCCCAATATCCAAGAAATACAGGCGGCTTTTGTAAAACTTAAGCAACTGTGCGTTAATGGTAACTTCATTTTTATTTTTTATGCATATATATGTATATATAAAATGAATGGGAGAGCACAGCACTGTATGAGGCATGTGAGAAAAAGTGATATACCTTAGAAATACTGAAACAGATCAATTTTAAATAGAGATTCGTTGAAATATTTGCACAAATTATTGTATATCTAAAGTTCTTAGAAAATGAAGTTTAAACTGCTTTTCTTTTGGAAATAAAAATGAATCAGTTAATGGGGGCCTCCATGGTGGCGCAAGGGGTTAAGCACCACACTATGAAGCAATCCGCAGCCTCTGCAACATGAATTCGATCCTCGGCCAGCCAGAGAGGAACCCACATGGCGAGGCAGACCTCTCCTGTCTCGCCCGCGGTTCCCCTCAGCAGTGTATTTCAGTCAGTCTTGCCTGTTCTCTTCCCTGCTCTGTCTCTGGTGAATCCTCTCATCCCTCCCCCCACCCCCCCCGCCCTGTACCCCAGCTCTTGTATGCATAAATAAATGAGTCTTTTTTAAAAAAATGGATCAGTTAAGTCACCTTCAAATCATGAGGTATAATAGATAGTAATGTGTCTGCCCAAGGGAAAAAATGTTGCTACCTTGCGGATAGACTTACTAAGATTTTTATGCATATAGTTGTAATTTAAGATATACGACTTGACATGGATTTTTGAATAGAGCTGTGGTATAATCTTTGTGGCCTCAGAACAAATGCTTTTCATGTGTTCCATGTGCCCTGAAGGAATAACTCCTAGGGAAGTGTCTTTGGCACAAAGTGAGTCCCCCTTGATGTGTGTACAGAAAGACCCCCTAAGTCACCTGAGAGTCAGGAGACACGAACATGGATGCATGTCCTGGAAGGAGAGCTGGGAGAGTGTGGCAGTGGTAAAAACACAGAAACATGAATGGTTACCAGTTGTCTAGTGAATTCAAAGTGAGTGACGCCTGGGGTTTGTGAAGTGAGAGGCACCTTGAGATGGACCGGGACTCAACTGGGTAGCAAGTCACATGCCCTACGAGGAAGTTGCCCTCATTCCTGCATGGTCAGCATAAGGCCACATGAGGCAGCACTGGCAGAAAGGGAAGAGGAGAGAAGCAGTCAGGGCCAGAATCATCAAGGGGAAGTGGGGACCGGGCTAGGGGCGTTCTGAACTGAGTAGGAAGGTAGGGACTCACCAGCTCTTAGGAGGCAGAGGTGTTTGGATGCTCCAAGATTTCTTTGAAGGAGCCAAAAATATGATGGAGGCCTAGGGAATGCATTGGTTTTTATAGAATTGTAATTTACCTTAAATGTTTATATTATTAAATGAAAATGAATGGCACTTCCTTAAAGCCAGTTCTTAAGGAATATTTCACTCTCATGTTGATAATGTAAAATTAAGCTTTCAACACCCAAAAATGTGTGTTTGTATATACAGTGTTATATACTGATATATGGAATTACCATGTTTATTACAGAGCCTTTTGAAGAAACTGAGGAGAAATGGTTATCTTCACTAGAAAATACTCGATGGTTAGAATATGTAAGGTTTGTACAACTCCTTTCCTTCTTTTTTATTTATTTATTTATTTATTTATTTATTTATACAAGAACCAGGGTACAGGCCAGATTCGCGGGAGGATGAGAGGATTCACCAGAGACAGAGCGGGGAACAGAACAGGCAGACTGACGAAACACACTGCTGAGGGGAACAGCGGGCGCAACAGGAGAGGCCTGCCACACCATGTGGGACCCTCGCCGGCCAGCCGGGATCAAACCCGCACTGCAGAAGCTGCAGACAGCTTCACAGTGCTGCGCTCAACCACCTGCACCACCCGGGGAGGCCCCTCTTTTTTTTTTTTTTAATAATTCACAGGAGGTACAAAAATAGTATAGAGAGCCAGGTAGTCTTCAGTTTCCCCCAGTGGTAATATCTTACATAGCTAGAATATGCTGTCAAAATTAGGAAATTGTGGTTCAAGCTACAGGCCTTCCTCAGATTTCACCAGTTTGTATATATTTATCTGTGTGGGTGCATGTGTGCATGGTTCCGTACAGTTTAATCACATGTATGGAGCTGTGCTACCACCACCACAGTAGAGACAGAATTGCTTTATCACCACAGACTCCCTCATGCTCCTCTTTAGACTCGCCCCATCCCTGCTCCTGGCAACCTAATCTCTTCTCCCTCTGTAGTTTCATGATTTCAACAATATTGTGTAAATCAGCTCATCCTTTTTACAAAAGGTTAATGGATTTCCCTGATATAAAAATCAAAAGGTAATCTGTTGAAAATCATAAATACTGAAGAAATTCATAAAGGTTAAGAACACAAATACATAGAAAGTAAAATTAAATTTGCTTTATTTCACGTATTTTTTTACTTTTTCCTATTTTCATCTTTTTAAAATTTTTTCCAGCACAATCCCTAGTATCACTTTGATCTTTTCCCCCTCCTTGCTCCCTATTAACCTCAAAAGCCTCACTTCATTTAATGTCCACTAGTTTTTATAAGTATTTTGCTTTGTCAAATCATCTGCTATGAAAGCATTTGTTGTTGCTTTACTGGACATAATTCCCTCAAATTCCTTCCATTTTGCTGTAAAACTGGCAGCATTTTGTCTTTCCTTATGGCTAATATTCCGTAGTGTGATGTCAGGTACTTTTAAAAAAATACTTGTAGTGGAAATTTGATGTTTTTACAGTGTTTTTCTCTTTTCAGGACATTTCTTAAACATTCAGCAGAGCTTGTGTACACGCTGGAAAGCAGGCGCCTCTCTGTAGTCCTGCAAGGTAACTGATAACTGAAAACATGATCACATGCCAGCTTCACCATCTCTTATTTACTACACTATTACCTGACACACTGCAGAGTTTCCACATCTTCAGAGTCAAACAGTAGCACCAAGACTGCAAGCACAAGAACAGAAAAGAGATCAGTGTTCTCTCCGGTGTGATATCCTGTCCTCTTCCTTTTATTGTGGGGAGGGTGGGTCATAGCTCTAACTGGATTTGTACAAAGTATTGTCTTGACAGAGCATTCATTTACTCTTGTCTTTTTGATTCATACAAAGTTTAAATGCCTCTGGCTCATTCTAGATTGTGACTCTAAAGGAAGTTTGGTATCAGCAAATTGACTTGTATATACCAGTGGTGTGACTTTTTTCCAACGTTTATTAGTAAGAATAAACTGCAGTATAAAAATCATAAAAATCTTTCAGTTAAGGAAAAGGATAGTTGAATATGAAATAACTTTACAGCTAATGGAATTTCTGAGCTTACAGATAAAGTTAAATGAATCATGAACTAGCTACCTAATTTTATAATATACTGATATTGCATAGTAGGTAGTTCTACTATGCTACTGAAACTTCCAGGAGCATTTTTACCAAGTGTCAATTTAACTAATTTTAACTAGGTAAAAATATTTAAAACCCTTGTGGGGGGAAATACTAATAATGCAAGTAATATAATAATACAATTCCAAGTAATCCTTTCACTGAAGTGATCTGAGTGTATTTAACATGTGTGCAGAGACTAGTGACCAAGCAGTCTCTCCTGTAAACCAGTGAGTATTCCCATCCTGTTGCAAAGTTCCACTCGACACATTTCTTCATGCACTTGACCTCAGAAGAGGTACTGAGCCTATATTTACTAACACATTTTTTTTAGAATTTTTTTTAAGTTTATTGAGGTGTAATTTACATGCATATTTCAGTTATTTTTAGTAAATACAGAGTTCAGTTTTAGTAATTTTCCATCACCCCAAAAAGATTCCTGTGTCCAGTCCCAGGCAACACTAGCCTGCTTTCTGTCTCTCTGGGTTTGCTTTTTCTGCATATGCCATATAAATGGAATCAACATGTGCTCTTCTGCCTCTTCCCTCTCTCACTTAACATACATGTATTTGAGGGTCAGTCACGCAGCATATATCAGCAGTTTGTTCCTTTTTATTTTTGAATAGTGTTCTACTGTTTGTAAATACCTTTAATTTTTTTTTTATTCATTTCCTGTTGATGGACATTTGGGTTGTTTCTACTTTATGGCTATTATGAATTATTCTGTTGGGAACATTCAACAAAAAAAGGTCTTTGTGGGCACACATAGGTTTCTTGATTAGCTACTGAAATTGCTCAGTTACGTGGCAGATTTATGTTAACTTTATAAAAGAAACTGCCAGACTGTTTTCTAAGGTGGCTAGAACACATTTCCCTTTGTCTCAGAAATGTATGAGGATTTCTATCTCCACGTGGTCGCCAGTACTCTTCTTGCTGTCTCCAGGCTGTCATCACACTGGTGGTTGTGAAGCGTGGCGCTCATTGTGCTTTGTGTCTGTGTTTCTCCAGTGCCTTCATGTGCTCATTGCCAGTGGGTATTGTCTTTGGTGAAATAGCAAGTTTTTTGCCCATTCTTCTATTAGGTGGTTTGTCTTACAGAATTCTAAGAATTCTTGACCTATTCTGGGGACAAGTCCTTTATATTTTTACCTAATTAGCAAACATTTTCTCCTTTGTGATTTGTCTTTTTATTTGGTGACTTCTGAAGCACAGTTTTAAGATTTGTTATGAAGTCCAGTTTATCCATTATCTTCTGTATGTATCATGTTTTGGGTGTCATGTCTGAGAACTCTGCCTTATGCAAGGGTCATGAAGTGTCTCTCCTTTGTTTTATTTATTTATTTATTTATTTATTTATTTTATTTTATTTTTTTGTGGGACCCTCGCCGGTGGCCGGGGAACTAACCAGCGCTGCAGAGGCTACGGGCAGCCTCGCAGCCCAACACTCAACCACTTCGCCACCAGGGGAGGCCCTCTCCTTTGTTTTACTGAATAAGCGTTTTATAGTTGTAGTTCCTAACTTTCGATCTCTGACCCATTTTGAATGAATTTTTATGTGTGTTGCATTTCCTTATTGAATTGCCCCAACCCAGTTTATTGAAGAATCATTTCTCTATTGAATTGCCTTAGCATCTGTCAAAAATCAATTGACTGTAAATTAGAAGGGTTTATATTTAAACTCTTAGTTCTACCCCATTGATCTTTATGTCTCGCCTTATTCCACTGTCACACTTATCTTGAGTACTGTAGTTTTAAAATTGAGACGTGTATGTACTCAACTTTGTTTTCAAAATTGCTTTGGTTATTTTGGGTCCTTTGCCTTTCTCTGTGACTTTTATGATTAGCTTAAAAAGCCTACTGGAATTTTGATAGGAATATGTTGAACCTATAGATAAATTTGAGGAGTATGCCATGCCATCTTAGCAATTTTAAATCTGCCAGTTCATGAAATGAGCATCTATTTTATTTGGAGCGTCGTTTCATTTATCAGTAATGTTTTACAGTTTTTCTGTGTAAAAGCCTTACACTTACTAAAACTCTTAAGTATTTCATTTTTGATACTATTATTAATATGATTGATTTCTTAATTTCATTTTTACAGTTTTATTGTATACTCAAAATGTTATTATGTATGGAATTCTTGAGGCTTTTTCATTAGATCTAGTAGTTACTTTGTGGAGTCTTTAAAGATTTTTTTTTACACATAGGGTCACATTGTCTGCAAACATTCTTATTTTCTTTGCCTTTCCATTTTGCCTTTTATTTATTTTTCTTGTTTAATTCTCTGACTATAGCTTCTAGTATAATGTGTAATAGAAGTGGCAAGATCAGGCATCCTGGACTTGTTCCTGATCTTAGAAGGAAAGCATCCTATCTTTCACTAATAAGAATGGTGTTAGTCTTTTTTTAGAGATGCCACTTACAGTTTGAAGTTCTCACCATCATGGTTTGCTGAGAGTTTTTATCTGAAATGAATGTTGGATTTCTGTTACACAGATGTGTTTCTGCATCTAGTGGGATGATAGTATTATTTTTATACTTATTAATATGGTGTGTTTCATTCAGTGTCAGATGTTAAACTGACACTGTATTCTTGTATTCTGAAATAAATTCTCACATTCACGAGATAATTTGGTTTACTTATATTTTGTTGCTGACTTACACGTAATCATGAGGGCTATTGGACAGTAGTTTTCTTCTCATTTCTTTGGCTGGCTTTGATAGCAGGGTACCACTGACATCATTGAAAAGGACAACTATAATAGACAGACAGAAAATGGATGATACTGACAATCTCATTCCTCTCATCTACCTCTGAGTCACCATGTGGAGCTGTGGGTAGAAAGACTGTATTTACTATCCTTGACAAAGCAGAAATGGACTCTAGAAAGAGTTGTATCATGAACTATCAAAATGTGAGGAGTGCACTTCCTACTTTCTGTAAAATATTCATGTATAAAGGGCCATCTTCATTAAATTCTAATTATAGTTTAGTTGATCTTAAAAATCTATAATAGTTTAGAGTTGCTGGAATCCAGTGAAGCTTCCTAACATGGATTGTTTTGAAGGCAGCTTAGGCACAGAATACAGAATTGTTTACTTTTCCTTCCCTTTCAGCATTTTTCTATAGATTAATAATTTTCTTTCCATTTTATTGACAGAGGAAGAGGGAAGAGATTTGAGCTGCATTATAGCCTCTCTTGTGCAAGTGATGCTGGATCCCTATTTTAGGACAATTACTGGATTCCAGAGTCTGATACAGAAGGAGTGGGTCATGGCAGGATATCAGTTCCTAGACAGATGCAACCACTTAAAGAGATCGGAGAAAGAGGTAACAAAAAATCTTAACATTTATTATCAATCTTTAAGTATATTCAAGTTAAAATTCATGTCATTATGTGAAGGGATGTTACATCTTAAAGAGGAGGCCTCCCTGGTGGCACAGGGGTTAAAGACAGTGCTATTAAGCTACTGCCAGCCACTCCAGCACAAGATCGATCCCTGGGTGGCCAGGGAGCTACCTACATGGTGCAGCAGACCTCTCCTGTCTTGCCCACTGCTCCCCTCAGCAGTGTATTTCAGTCAGTCTGCCTGTTCTGCTCCCCACTCACTCTGGTGAATACTCTCATTCCCCGCACCTTTGGCTTATACCCCAGTTCTTGTATGCATAAATAAATAATAAATCTTTAAAAAAAAAAAAGTCTGAAAGACTAGGAGGCTCTGTAAAGTATGAATTTAGTACACCCTAGCTGCCTTAGTCTAAGACTAACTAGTGATTAGAGTCCAAACTGGTGTTTAATATCATTATAACTATAGGGGTGAAATTCTAAAAAAATTTTCTATTGAATTTCTCTAAATAGAAAGCTCATTAAAAAAAAGGTTGCATTAACTCTTCTGCAAAGTAGATTGAGCACATTAGATACTTCGAAAAATCTGTTTTGGAGTGCTACATTTTCTTAAAATGGAGTGCATGGTGTAAGATGAGAAAGTTTGAGAAGGAGATCTCTGATAGCTTTGGATCTAGTGCCCCCTTGGGTCCATAGGTGACTGGGAAAGGCACTGCTGTTATCTTAGGAAGAGGTCCATTTCAGAGAGCACAGTTTGACTTGTCTTTCATGTTTAATAACAAATTGTATTAGTCGAGAAAATCTCAACAGTGAAATACTTCACTTTTAGTGCTGGGACTCACTCCTTGAGATGCACTGGGCAAGAGGCAGTGGCTGTCAGTTGCTTTGCTTGGGATTCATCATGTGACTGAGAGGCTGATGCCAGCAGCTTTCTGAAACAGGAAGTTTTCTGAACCTACAGGGCCAACCAAAAACTAATTATACATTTGGTTTTTGGGTTGAGTTTTTTTAGTTTTTCTTTCCTTAAATGTTCTAAGTGACTGTTTTCAGGATAGGTTTAAATATATATTTTACTCTGCCCCATCCATGGAGACAACCTGCCTGCCTGATTACCTCACCATTTCAACTTGGTGTGCTCACTATGGAGTTGTGATATTTCTCATGGTCAAACAGATTTCTTAGGTTGATGTAAGTGATGTTTAATCTACTCACTTACCTTAGCTCATGTTAGGAGCTAAGAGTTTTAGGCTTAGATGGCCTCTCTCTCCTTAACAACAGACATAAATTTGGTAGTAAATGTGAACAACTCAAGGATCACATTAAATAATTCTGGTTTCTCAATTCCACTCCTAGGTATTTACCCAAATGACACAGAAACATTAATTCCAAAGGGCACCTGCACCCCTGTGTTTATAGCAGCACTATTTACAATAGCTAAGATTGGGAAACAACCCAAATGCCCAAAAATAGATGACTGGATCAAGAAGATGTGGTCCATATATACCATGGAATATTACTCAGCATTCAAAAAAGATAAACACATGCAGTTTGCAGCAACATGGATGGAGCTAGAAGGGATCATGCTCAGCGAAATAAGTCAGAAAGAAAAATGCCAGATGGTCTCACTCATAGCAGGAATTTAGGAAACCTAAATAAGGGACCAGGAGAAAGACTAATTATAATAAAGTAAAAATCAAAATCAACAAGTAACTATAAGCCAGAGACATGCTACGGCGGGGGGAGGAGGAAATAGGATCAAAACAAGGGTGGTGGGAATCGTATGGGGACTATAACCAAGATGAAAATGCATACATTGTGCAAAAATGAAAAATGATGTTAAAAAATATGTACAATTTAAAAAATAATTTTTTAAAAAATAAGTAATCCCGCTTTCTGTTTCTATTTGCCAGTCTCCCTTGTTTTTACTATTCTTGGACACCACGTGGCAGCTGTTAGAACAACATCCTGCAGCTTTTGAGTTCTCAGAGACCTACCTGGCCGTGCTCTATGACAGCACCCGCATCTCGCTCTTCGGTACCTTCCTTTTCAACTCTCCTCACCAGCGGGTGAAGCAAAGCACAGTAAGTGACATTGTGGTCATAGCTACTTATTTAACTACTTTACTGAGATACTATTGAAGTACAGATAGCTATGTGTTTAAAATATATATTTAAAACAATATATAATCTAAAACAATTGTCACAGTCACTGAGTAAATTAGAGACGTAGACATCTAAGAACTCATGAATGAGCATTTTATGGTTTGTCTCCATTATACATTGTTCATAATAAGCCAGTTTAAAAACCAAATGATTTTAACCACCTCAAGTGTTTTGTTTCTGTATTTATGTTTTCACACTAGGGCTGTGGGGATAGTTATGCACACGGTTTGAGCCTTCAGAGGTGACATGAGGCTAGGATATCCTAAAGCCTGTAAGGGTTTGGTGTAAAACCTGGGCACATGGGCCTGGGTCCTAGGGGCAGCGGTGCCTTCAGGCACCTGAGTGCAGGACTCTGGAGACTGAGAGCCACCTGCTCCTCACCCTTGCTCTTGATTGCATTCTGGCCACGCCCATGTGTGGTTACAAATAAATTCCTAACTGGAATAAAAGTAAGTGTATCATTTGCTTTTGTGCTCTAATGCCGTATTTTTTAATTTGGCTTTTTTCAAAAGCTTTTTCTGGCAAATACACTACCCCTGCTCCCCCCTTGGTATTTTCATATTCATGATTTGATGTAATAGCTGACTGGAGGCCCAGAGGCACTTCATTTTCTCATGGGGAACTGCCCTTCCCCTCCCACACAGCCAGAGGCCTGTCTCCCTTCTGAGGGAGATAGTGATCAGATACTGTTTGGGAAAATCCACTCTTCTTTGGAGATAAGTATTTTTAGTTTTTACATTTAGAAAAACAGACTGCTTCCTAAGGTCCATTAAAATATGTTAGGGTTTATGTTTTACTAGATTTCAGCTCTTAAAATAGTATTTTCTAAAGTAGATGAATTATTATCCATGCATTTATATGAGGAAATTTCAAATAACACAAAATGTTAATTATATTTGGGGTCCATTTAATGAGTTTTACTTGGAAGTTTCGTAAAGGGCCCTGTGGGGCACCTTGCCCATCACCTGCGGGGCCTGCACCAGCAGCACAGCCTGGGTGGTGCCTGACTGCCATGGAACGAGTGAAGACTCCTGGCTTGTAGTCTAACCTTGCCTAGCCCTTGCCTTTTCCCCCTAATTTCCAAAGAGATTCTTATATTTTTGTAGAAAATTTGGAAAATTCTGAAGGTACAGAGCAGAAAATAAGAAATCAGTTATTTCCCACCGTCCAGAGACTAAGGATTCAGGGATATTTCCTCCAGAGAACAAATCTGTATGGGAGCTTGCTTTTGTCACCCAACCAAGATGAGGCTCCTTCACCACATCATTAAGTGTGACAGAATAGTTGAGAGGTGCACATTTCCCCCTCCACAGCAACATCAACTGCCTCCCGCAGAGCTGTGCTACTTGGCTTTGCTGTTGGGGGAAACCCAGCCACCAGGCGGCAGGTGGCCAGAGCAGGGCTGGAGGTGGGTTCCTGGAGCAAGGGGCCCAGGACCTGGGACCTACTATCTCGGTGTAGGGTCCTGGGACCTACTATCTCTCTCAGAAGGGAGACAGGTCTCTGGCTGTGTGGGAGGGGAAGGGCAGTTCCCCATGAGAAAATGAAGTGCCTCTGGGCCTCCAATCGGTTATTATATCAAACCCACAGAGGTGTGGATTCCCGCTGCCTGCTTCTGAGCCGTGCTACAGATACTTAGTCGCTGGGCAAGTGAAATGTAGCCACGCACTTGGAAAATGAAGGGGTAAGCTAGAAGACGGTGCTGTCCATCCACACATCGTTTTGTTCATCCACTTACATTTTCACACACAGCAGGTAGTTGCTTAAATGTATGATCATGTGCTTTAAAAATTAAATTACTGCAATTATAAAAATAACTGACACATTGAAGACATTGTGGTATCACTTAGTGAAATCTTACTTCTGGTAACACCACACCCATGGCCCACGGCTCCAAGAGCATCTTCTCTCGGAGTGAGACACGCTGCTGTAGTGGGCCTGGGTGCTCTAGATCAGAACTGTGATGTGTAATGATGAACAGTTCATCCAGAAAGGAGAGTGGGGAGAGGACTTACAAGAGAAAATCTTTAGTTCAACATCATTTCACATACACTTGTCTATTTTATTTTGCAGGAATTTGCTATAAGCAAAAATATCCAGTTGGGTGATGAAAAGGGCTTAAAATTCCCCTCGGTTTGGGACTGGTCTCTTCAGTTCACAGCAAAGGATCGCACCCTTTTCCATAACCCCCTGTACATTGGGAAGAGTACGCCTTGTGTGCAAAACGGTTCTGTGAAATCTTTCAAATGGACAAAGGTAAATTACAAAAATACACTAACCATAAAAACCTGGTATTTGTTCACATACAACCAAAGACATCTTTTACAGAACACGGTGTTAAAAGTCACTTTCCATGCCAGCACTGCTAGTGCAGGTCTTGAGCATCATTTACTCTCTAACTGAAATGACTGTGCCTTGACATCTTGGTGACTGACGCCCACAGAACCCTGGTTAGCATCTGAGAATCAGCAGGGTGCAGCTCTGAGCCTGGGAACTCTGATCCTAGAATCCATGAGCTCTGCCTTTTCCTTTTCCTAGTGAATTCTAGATGTTTCCCTAACCCAGAAGTCTCAGAAATTTGCACTTAAGCAAATGCATGGGTAGGACGTATCACCTTCCCACCAGTCTCAATAAGTACAGCTTTGGGGAGGGGCTGGATGAAATCTCATAAAAAGGAAGGAGCAAAAATGTCCAATTTTCCTAATGCTAAGTTTATTCTTGCTGTTGGACCTTCTCATCTAGAAAGGGAAGCTTTAGGAAAATAATGCTAACATCTCTCTTCTGTACAGAAAAGCTACAGCTCCACATTGCGAGGAATGCCAGCTTCCTTCAAGAATGGAATCATCAATGACCAAGAGTTACTTCCAAGGAGAAATTCATTGATATTAAAGGCGAAGCCAGAGCCTCCTCAGCAAGCCAACAGCCAGAGCAGGGGTGTGGAAGAGTATTTTCAAGAATGGTTTTCCAAGCCAGTTGACCTGCACGGTGTCCTGCTGCCACATCTCTCCGGAACACACATAAAGCTGTGGAAACTGTGCTACTTCCGCTGGGTGCCCGAGGCTCAGATCAACCTCGGGGGCTTCATCACTGCCTTCCACAAGCTCTCCCTGCTGGCCGACGAGGTGGACATGCTCAGCAGGACGCTGCGGCAGCCCGGGGCCAGCCCCGTGGAAGCCTGCTCCCCGGAGCTGGACCAGAGTAGGATGTACTTCCGGGCCAGCAGCCCACCTCAGACCCCGGGGACACCCGAGTTCCTCTCCTCCTCATTCCCCTTTTCTCCCGTAGGCAATCTCTGCAGACGAAGCATTTTAGGAACACCGTTAAGCAAATTTTTAAGTGGGGCCAAAATATGGTTATCTACCGAGACCCTAGCCAACGAAGACTAAAATCACTGTTTTCTGAACATTCGAGAAAAGCTATGAACTTTTCCTCTGGATTAAATTGCTGACATAGGCATTTGAAACTTAATTTTATACATTAAGAATAACAGTTGAAATTTGCACTAATATTTTAAAACATGCTGAGTAATGCTTCCTGTACAATTTTTTTTTTTAAAGATAGATAAATCTTGTTTTTTTATGTCCTCTTGTCATTTTCAGGTCTGGCTCACTTTTAGGTGAGTTACAGGCAGACTTTTCCCACTTTTTAGTACTGTGAGCAAGCTAGTCAGGTTATGTCTGCAACATTTATTTTGTCTGCATCCATTTTTCCTGCCACCTACTAAATGTTCTCTGATCTTTGGCCATATTGGCAATGCAAGATGCAGCAGGAAAGTTAAGAAATTAGTGCTTAGAATATTTTCAAGACACAGCCAGTAGCCCCCCTCAACAGGCATTAGTAGGTGTTCATGTATTTTTCTGGTCATTTTCTATTCCTTCTAAATGAACTCACCAGGGGTTCAGTGTCCAAGGCCCTAATTTATTTTAGATCACTGTATTTGGGACCGTAGATCACTGTGTTTTAAAATCATGAGTTTGCTTTTAACTTCTTAGGACTAATGTTAAAATGATATGCACTGTTAACTTTTAAAGCATTTGCTGTAGATAATGTAATTAAACTTAGAAGTGCCTTTGACATTGATATAAGGTATAAATACCACAGGAAAATATGTCTTTAAAGTTAACTTGTTCAAGTCCCACTGTATATTGGAAAGAGACTGTTCACGCTAATCTTCACACCAATAGCCAGGAATCCCCTCAGTCACATTTCCCACCCCACAATCCCAAGGGGTGTGAGGGTTAGATGCTGCTTCTGTCCAGAGCAGTTGGAGTTAAGTGCTGTCTACACCAAACCCACCCCCAAAATAGAGGGCTTTCCCATCAATATTTCCAGTGTGCTGAAGTGTCCTTGGCACTGTCCCTTGGAAATAATAACTACTAATGGGGTCACAAGTCAGGTGACCTGCACAGATGTCCCTCTGCCCTCAGACAAAGCTCTTAATTCTTAGAGAAATAAAATGCACTTCTGTCAAAATACTGCTGTTTTAATAGATGAAAAAAAGCCTCACCCCACCCCCAGCTTTTGACAGCAATATTAATTGACTGAGAAGCAAGCAAAGGTGTATTCTTGGCCTAAAATGCCCTTGCTTTCAAACAGCGTGACAAGAGCCTCGCCAGAGCTTCAGGGTCAGCATTTAAGCTTACTGTGGTGGTGACATTACCACCAGTTCCCCACACCCCTCAACCCCAGGTACACCCCATTTCCTGTTCAAAAGATGGATGTTTTCAAATTTGGCTATTAGAATTTCTTAAATTGACATCTTAAGCTTTAAAAACATTTTATATTAAAATGTCTAGTTGCCTTATTTCCTTTTCAAAAACAAGTTTTTTTTTCAAAAATTACCTTTTATGTCATGAATAGCCATTTCTATTTGAATTTATTTGCCTTTTAAAAATTGATAGTCTATATTTAAAGGGATATTATCTTAGAAAATTGTGCATATCTTGTGCATAAACCCAAAGTTTTTGCCAACTTGTTGCCTAGAAAATAAGGGCTTTGTTCAGTTTATATAAACAGCATTTTTGCCATTAAACATTTTTATAATCCTTGATTGGAAGCCAGTGCCCTTAAAACACCACAGCCTATCATGCCGTCGAGAGTGGAGTAATTCTCCCCTTTTTTATTAAGCTTCTTTATTCTTACAAATTAATCTAAATTTGATACTTTGGGGGAGGGCTGATCATTTAATTCTCTTCCTTAACACATTTATTTCAACTTTTTTAGCGACTTCTTTTGTTAATTTACAAGGTAAAGATTAGGTACTATTAATACTGTTTTAAAATAGAAAATGCATATTTTTATATGATAATCAAATGTAGTACAGTTTTTCATTTTATTTTTGCTGGACAGTTGTTATAGCATGATTATTGTGCCACAATTGATTGTGCATAATATGAAAAACAACTATAACAGCCTTAAATCCTAGCCATCGCAAAGCTGCTTGGTACCTCTGCCAGCAGAAAGGATGTTTTGGCGATGAAGTCCCAAGTGTGGGTGCAGACGTGGAACCAAAGAGCTGAACACTCAATGCCCCCAGCCCTGCGGCGAAGCCTTTGCTGATCAATGCCACCCAGATGTCAGCCAGCTGCAGACTTCCAGTACTGAACTCAAAAGTGACAATGTTTTGCTGTTATTTTATGATGGAAACCAATTTTAAAACCAAAAATGTCTACTTTTTAAAGAAAAGTACATTAATTTGTGCTAAAAGAGGGCAAACACTTCACTGTATCCTTCAACAAAATCTGCTCCAGCAGTAACCTCAAGTAGTTAAAAACTTGATTTTGGGGAAAAACTAAAACCTTGTGCCTAAAATTGATTATGACTTGACTGCAAGTAGGATGAGCAGGAAGCTGAGAGATCTTGTTCAACAGTAATGAATGTGAAGGAAATTCTGGTTGCTGAATAAAATTTCCACAAAGTGTTTGTTGTAGTTATCAATGCAAAAATCACCTACCAGAACATAGAACAGCTGAATGTACATAAATCCAAGAATCTACTTCCAGTATACTTATTGGAAACTGTGTGTACTACTTTTATAAAAAACCTGCAGATCATCTCATTTGGGTGTCAGTAAGTCTAATAAAACAGATCACATCCAACCCCTAAAATGACCACAAAGGTTTTGACCTTTAAAAAGTTCATTACTTGGGCCTCCCTGGTGGTGCAGCGGTTGAGCGCTGGGCTGCGAGGCTACCCACAGCCTCTGTAGCGCAGGTTCAATCTCCGGCCACCAGGCAAGGGTCCCACATGGTGCGTAGACATCCTGCGGCGCCCGCTGCTCCCCTCAGCAGTGTACTTCGTCAGTCTGCCTGCCTGTTCTGCTCCCTGCTCTGGCTCTGGTGAATTCTCTCACCCTCCCGCACTTCTGACTGTGCCAAGTGCTTGTATAAATAAAGAAATAAATCTTAAAAAAAAAAAAAAAGTTCATTACTTGCCTTGTGGCTAGACCAGTGTATTCTAGCCAATACAAGTTTTTGTAATATATAGACACTGTGCAAGATGAGTGGTTAAACCGTCAAGTTTATTACCACCAGTAACAAAATTAAATACAGGGTCACTTTATGCTTTTGAAATCTTATATATATGACTGATATTCTCAATTCTACAGCTCTTAGTTAAGACCTTTGCTCTTCGCTCCAACTGCAACGACATGGCAGACTTCTACTTCAGCCCCTAACTTCTGCAACTCATCCAGCCAGATCATTTGCTTCTGTGAAAGACGGTCACTGGGGCCTTTAACTTCCACCAGCTGTAAGGTAAAGTCATAAAAAATTATTAGCATCTTATTGAAAATGGGCCAATGAACTACAGTAATTTGTACTGTTCACATGCCTGACTTTGTAGCCTACAAGGCTCATCTTAAATTCATCTCAGAAGGCCCAGCGCACCTCTTAGGGGCCTTCCTATATACTTTACGATGGTCTTTATCATAAGGATTAAACTTCACACATCAGCTCCATGAGGGCAGGAACTGAGTCAATCTCATTCACTGCAGATTACTAAGCCTCAGGACATGGTGATGAAAGGCATCCAAAGTGAAGTTAGAAGAAAAAAATTTTAATAGACCTATTAGCAGCCTAATAGATGTCTAATCAGAATTCCTAATGGGAAGAGGTGAGAAAGTTATTTGGAAAAGTAATGGCTAAAAATTTTTCACATTTTATGGAAACTAAACCTAAAGACCCAAGAAGCTTCATGAATCCCAAGCACAGAAATCTACAATTATAGTCACATGACACCAAAAGCTTGATCCGTTAAAGAACAGGTAAGTTAGACATAGTCAAAATTTAAAACTGCTTGTCAAAAGACACCAGTAAGAGAAGAGAAAGACAAGCCACAAATTGGGATGAAATACCCAATAAAGGGACTTGTATCCAAAATTCTTTTTTTAATCTCAAAACTCATTAGTAAGAAAAGACCCACCCATGATGGGCAATAGGGTGAGCCAAGGAGGGCACCCAAAATCAGGGAGTCTAAAGAGCTCCCATCCTCCGCTGATGCCCTACAGGAACCCCACCCTTTCAGAGTGGGATGATGCCTTGTGTCAAACCACAGGATACAGCAAGAGAGACAGAATGTCACCTTTAAGAGCAAGTTACACAGACTTCTGTCTTGCTCCCCTGGTTCTCACTTGCCTGCTCTTAAGAAACCAGCGCTCTAAGGGCTGTGGGGGAGAGCTCCCCACTCCCCACCAGTGGCCCCTGGGTCCTGCATTCAACAACTTAAAAGGGACTCAAACTTGCCATCATCGTGCAAGAAATGCCTCAAATATCTTTGATAAAAATCACAAATATGACCTTGCATTATGGCTCAACTGACCTTAAAACGATGATTTTGGGAGTTCCACACAACCAGGTCGGGGAGGCCTCCTCGGCAATGGCGGAAATCCACAGCCAGGCGCCTGCACACACCACTGAGGATGGGACCCCCCAAGCAGGAAACAAGATCCTGAACACAAAATCCATGGATCATTAGTCATCCGCTTATAACCGAGACCCTGAGATGCTTCAGTGTTTATGAGACAGAGAAAACTCAGTGTGTAATTCAACAGAAACAGGTTCCATGAACAACAGGTGCTGTGTGCTGCCTGTCTTGGCCTCCAAAGCCATTGGCTAAGGTCCCGACTGGCCAGTTCTGGGACACCAGCTTGCTTTTGGTCAGTTGCATACTTCTGCCCAGTTGGGAAAATCCCAGGAAGCCGATGAGGAAAAGGGAATGTGGAGTGAGCGCTTCGGAGTAAGACAGCCATGACTCCCAGAGACCAGAGGCCAGCAGTCAGGGAAAGATGGTATGTGCTCTCTGCCCGGGGTCACAGGTCACGCAAAGGGAAATAGTCAGCTGGAAAAGCCATCATTGGGACTTGCTTATGTCCTAACAAGTCCCCTCAGTAACAGTGGCAGCTGGGCTGGAGTTACATATATATACATGCGTACATACATGGATATACACATGTTCATACAGACACACACATTCACATTGTTTGGGAGTATGCTGTGCAGATTTTCACCTGAGCTTGCTGAAGAGACGAGAAGCGATCCCAGCTGACAAGGGAAGCCACTTTGCCTTCCTGGGCCTGCCACGTGGCTGCCACCCAGGCCCTCAGGCTCTCTGCCGGGGCACTGTGGATCTGCTGCAGCCGGGCCTCGATGGCTGGCCGCCTGCTTGTGAAGAAGCTGTCTGTACACAAGTCCAGGGGGAACGCCTGTGTTGCAGGAAAACAAGCTCTCACAGTGGGCCGGAAAAGAACCAATTAATCAGAAGAATATTCACTACCTACAGAGTTTAGGAATTGGCTGGTTTGATTAAATCAATACATCCTTTTCCTCAAACGATATGTAAAAATTAAGTACTCTTTAATAAAAAAGCAATTTCTATACTGGTATTTTAGAGTTTGTGAAAAGAACTGGGTTCCATCAGCAGAAGTGCTCATGTGCAAGTGACAATGCTCATGGCCGTGCCCAGCACAGCACCTTCCGGACATGCGCTCAGGAAGGGCTGGGGCTGAAGGGCCATACGCTGAAGTTTCCAGTGGGAACGCTGAAGGTAAACTGGGCTTAAACATTTAAAACAATGAACTTGCATTTTTCTGTGAATCAGATTTTAAAATGAAAAGCTATTCTAAGAACATTAGCATCATAATGCAACGGGGGGCAAGGCGGGGTTCTGACAGCCCCCGACGTGCTCACGGGTGGGCCGGTCCCCCCAGTGACGGTGCCATTCGCGTACAGAGCGCGTCCGCTTGGCCCACAGTAACTGGTTACCTGGTAGGTGTTTCTGAAGACATCTGGTATCCCATCCGTGAAGATGATGTCCCACAGGAGGAGGCCACAGAGTGTGCTAAAGGTGGACCCTTCCCCGTGAATACCTAAGACAGCCACACAGGAAAGGTCAGCTTCCTCACTGCCTCAAAGCCACCACCACCACCGCCAATTCAGTTGTGAAGGAAATAAAAGCTATTTTAGATAGGAAAGCAAATGCTGCTTTTGTGCCATTCCTCACTCAATTTTACCCAGTTCTTACTTACATTCTCCCACCTGGGGGATCGAGAGCTCATTTTACAAGGAATTCAAATGACTGCTCTTTCTAGTAACTTCTCTGGTTCCCCTGGTGCTACTCACCCAGGACTCACCATCCAACCTTCCGACAGTAGATGCCTGGCTCTGAGGCCAGCCTATTGCTTTCAGTCATGGCCTGGTCCCTCTCCTCCTCTGGGCGCTCTGGGCACAAGCAGTGGCTCCCTGGGTCCTCTACCGAGGTCCTCACCCTCCCTGCCCACAAGGCTCTCTGAGAGCAAAACCAGCCTCACTCCTCTTAACATCCCACCCAGAGCACCACTCCTCACACACACCCGGCAGCAGGTGCTGGCCAAGTGGAAGAAAACGCCTTTAACAACGGTTGTTAAAAGTTATTTTCCACCACCCCTGGGTGGGTAGCTCCACCTGCCGGGGACAGGACAGAAAGATGACAGCCACCAAGTGCTGACCACCGACCCCCAGGCTCTACCATCGGGTGCCCAGGCGGCAAGAGATGTGCACATTACCCTGGTCGAAGCCTTCACATCTATAATGGGCCAGAGCCAGCTCCTCCACAGAGCACAGGACGGTGGCAGGGGCGGCCCCCCCAGCCTCCATCATAAACACGGACTTGCCCATCCCACGCTGTGGGCACAGCCGGCCCGTGATGGTCACCTACAAGGCGGTAAGAGAAGGCCGGTTAGCCCGTCAGTGGAGGCCTCTGGGAACCAGACTTCTGTGTCCTGAAGACACGTGTGCCGAGCAGAGCACCAGTGTATGACCCACACTCCGATGCCTGCAAAGATGGGAACAGGTCACTACCTGGGCCCCTGATTCAGGAGTTTAACAGCAAGCTGCTCCACCCCGGGGGTGAGCAAACCCCCCTTCAGCCTGCCCAGCCCTGAGATGAGAGGCCCTGTCCAGACAGGCGTTCAGTTGTTTTCACACTAAACACTGCTTATAAGTTTCTTCCAAGGAGAAAACCAAACAGTCAATGTTTTTAAGTCCAAAGTGCCCAAAGGCTATTTACGTACATGCTTAACATCTTCCACCGTTATTTCTGGCAGCTGCCGGAAGAGGTGTCTGTACTTCTGACAGCTCGGAGACTCTCTCAGGCGCACGGCTCTCTGGTAGAGCGAAAGGCGATGCCCCGTCCTGACCTCTGGATCCGCCAGCCCTGCTGCGATGCACTTAATGGCCTAGCAAAGAAGACAGTCCCATATCAGGATCCCAAAGGCCCCACAGCAGCAGCCATTAATTTTGTGTGACAGGAACCCAAACATTAATGAATTAATTATTCAATTGTGCTAATTAACAAATGGCCAAAGCAGCATTTCCAGAGATTAAAGCTATTCCTGAGATCCTATTCTGATGCTTTTAGTGCAAGTGAATCCTAATCCCTGACTCTAAGTGTGGGGAGCACAGAAGCCTGCTGGTTATCTGTGGTAGATGTGGACATGGTAGAGCTCAGTTGCCACCCCTCAGGGCCTGAGAAAGAGAGGGCCTTGGATGGCCCTGGATGGCAGGGTGGAGGACACGGGTGGGACAGGGGGTGAGAAAGCTCTCTCAGGGCACCGCTGGGGAGCTTTGAAAAAAGACACATGTCCCCACCCCTGATCACAGGATGTGATCAGGGCAGGGCAGGGACAGGGACCCAGGCATCCGATCCCTCCAGGGCCCTTAGCTGAGCCCCGCACGCACCCGGGGTGGTCCAACTCCTCAGTTAGGGAGAACCTTAGGTTTGGAAGGGCTGGATACATTTCCTAAGGTTATTCATAGTTGAATACACAAACAAAAATACTGAAAACCACAACAGGGTACCAATTCACGCCTACTAGGACTATAATCAGAGAAATGGAAAATGAGTTGGGAAGATGTGGGAGCAACTGGAACCCTCTCACACTGCTGGCAGGAATGTAAAAAGTGATTCAAGTTAAAACCAGCTTGGCAAGTCCTCAAAAAGCTAAACACACCAATTCCATTTCTGAGCACAGGACCAAAAGAATTGAAGGCAGAGCTTCAACAGGGGCTTGCACGCCATGTTCACAGCAGTGCTATTCTTAACAGCCAAAAGAAGGAAGCAGCTCAAGTGTCCATCAACAGATGAATGGATAAATAAACCGTGGTCTATTTGTACAGCAGAATATTATTCAGCCTTGAAAAGAAAGAAAATTCTGACACATGTGGCAACATGGAAGAACCGTAAGAACATTACACTATCTGAAATCAGTGAGTAACCAAAGAACAAATGTTATAGTAAATATCTAGAATAGGCAAACTCCTAAAGACAGAAAGTAGATTAGTGGGTACAAGGTGGGGGTTGGGAATAGGGAGTAATTACTTAACAGTTTCAGAGTTTTCAGAGTTTCTGTCTGGAGTGACGGCAAAGTGTGGAAATAGAGGTCAAATTTGCACTACATTGTGTGTAATTAATGCCACTGAATTGTATGCCTAAAAACTTAGAATGACAAATTGTATTTGTATTATATATTTTACTACAATAAAATAATAAAAAGCAAAAAAAAAATACCTTGAAAATCAGTGACGGGTTAGGCCACCATTAGTGGAGGTTAAGAGGGGCTGGGAAGAGAAAAGGAGGCCTTTTGGGGGTGCTGGCTGCAGGGGAGGGATTGGCCCCTGGGCACTTCACAGGAACAACCTGCTAGCAGATTTCCTTACTGGAGAAGCACGTAAAGTGAGTGACGTGCAAGGGGTTAAGACATAGGTTGCTATGAAGCTGTCCACAGCCACTGCAGCATGAGTTCAATCCCCGGCCAGGGAGCTACCCACATGGTGCAGCAGACCTCTCCTGACTTGCCCACTGCTCCCCTCAGCAGTGTATTTCAGTTGATCTGCCTGTTCTGCTCCCCACTCTGTCTCTGGTGAATCCTCTCATCCCCCCTCATCTCTGCCCTGTATGCATAAACAAATAAATATTTGAAAAAAAAAAAGCAAGAAAGTGAGGAGTGGCATCAGAATAATGAAGATTATGAGTGTGACTACAGAGAATTAGGATTTTCCATCCAACTCAAAAATTAGCCCAGGGGCTCATCCACCTCTGAAAGTGACTGATGCTCCAATTATGAGAAGTGAGCGCGAGGGGAACATCTATAAAATTTTTGAACCTTTCTTCATTGAAAGAAAGAGGCCAGACAGCCTTTCTCCACATGTGCTCTGGGCTCATGGATGCTTTCTTTCTCTTGCTATTTCAGCTCAACAAACAGAGAGGTGAGGCCGCACCACACCTGTCTCCGAGAAAGGAAACTGCTCTTTCCTCTGGAAGCACTTTAGGTAACAAGGCACTTTTTCATTAGAAGCAATTAAGGCAGTCTACGCTGTGTCCACACCCAAAGTCAGTTTTTCCACCACTGCATCACCCAGATTCAACAAAGATGCCACTGGGAAAACCAAAGGTCCCAATCCTCTCCCTTTAACACAAACGCACCCCTGGCAAGAGGCCTAGAGCCTGGGGCAGCAAACATAGAGCCGCTGCAGCAGCTCTATGGGGCCCCAGTGAGGCTGCTGGCCACTGAGACTACCAGCATACCCACTTCCAAGGGCCCTGCCGGCCCCAGGGATGAGCAGCGCCTGGAGGGAGAAGGAGGCCTCCTCGGGGCTGGTCAGACAGTGCATTTGCCAATGGCCTCACAGAGGGCCCCTAAAGTCCCTGCAGTAAATCAGGGAAAAGAACAACTTCCATCTCTCTTTCTACCTGCAGGCCCCATGGAGCTCATAAATAAAACCACCATTTCCAAAACAAAGAGCACCTTCCTTGAGAGCACCTGCAAGTGTGGAGACAGCTACCCTGTCTAAGGCCCCCACTCCTTAACTTTCAGGTCCCAATTCCCAAATCCCAGTGCAGACTCCCCCGCCAGCCATCTCCCAAATCAATGAAGAGAAGACAGAAGCAGCCTGCCGCCTGCTGGGCCTGTGTTAGTGTCCCTGTTACTCCTCTTGGGGTTGGAAAAAGACAAAAGAACAGCAAAGAAAGTACAAATTACATTTAGATTGTTAAGGAATAATACCTACTATTTTTTTTTAATTTATGCAAAAGTAAAAAAAAAAAAAAAAAAAGGCTCAGGCATAGTGAGTTACCGGCTCCAGGCGTTTCAGGTGCTGGTGTAAGTTCAGAGCCAGCCTGTCCCACCACCGGCCTCTGCTGTCAGGACAGTACACTTGCTGGGACAGAAGGTTCTCAAGCTCCTCCACTGCTTCCTATGGCACCAACAAAGGAAGCTCATCAGATTCACACATACAGAAATGGTCACTGTACTGAGAAGCCAGTAAGACAGGCAAAGGGCATGCATAAAGCTTCCCTGTGCATTCTAAATAAGGCCAGGGACCCAGGACTGAAAGGGATTGCAAGGCAACCTCTGGAGTGGGCCCCCCAAGCTCTCTGAGGCATCCCTACTTTTCACCTAGGTCCACTGCCAACTGGGAGTAAGCAGAGGTCTGGACTGTATTCTCTATAAAGCAAGTCAACAGCTCAGGGCCACAAACAAGAACTGGTGGGGGGGCTGTAATCCCACAGCTTCTGGGAAGCCAGCAAGTTACAGGATGACAGCAGAGGAATTAAGGGTGGACAGGACAGTAATGAGGGGTGTCCTCATCCCCACTTCAACAGGGAGTTCTTCTGTGGAGATTTATATACACACACTTGGTTCATGCTTTGTGTAAGTCTTCTGTGGCTCAAGGATGTCTTTGAAACATCTGAAGAGTCTCAGAAAAATGCACAAACTCTCATGTGTACACCATTGGGGTTCACAGGTCCCCAGAAGCTCATCCAGTGGATCTTCTTGAGATTCATGGACCTAGGTAAGAACCCCATCTTCGGTACACCCTCTTAGTAAAATACCATTTTAATATAGAAATGCTAAACATGAGAAAGTTAACTAGTAATCTCATGATATTTTGTGTGAGGAGAGAACCAAATCTCTGATTGTGATTGTAAATTATTTCCAGACTGTCCGCAACAGCTGTCAGGGAGGCCCATGCAGGTATGAGGTTTCCAGCTCAGAGACCTCCCAAGCCACACAAGGAGTTCCAAAAGAGACCAGGCCTAGGCTGCAGAGACTGTGGCTCCCGAAGGCTCTGTCCTTGACCCCCGGGGCACATGTCACTCACAGCAGAGAATGCCAGGGGTAATCTTCAGGCTTCTCTCTAACCCCGGGGACACAGGAAGTGAGCTTTATCAAATCACTGAGAGCTGACCACAGACAGTGCAGCAGAGGGACCAGGCAGCTCTTGTCAGGCTGACTGCGGCCATGCCAGTGTGGAGGGGCGGGGACTCGAGCTCTAACCTTGTACAGGTGGAGTCTCTGCAGCACTTCCACGGACCGAGACAGAATCCTCGTGTAAATCCACCCGACCGTGAAACACCGCAGAAAGACCGGTAATGTCTCGTGGTACCTACAGTGAAGATGTACACCGGCTGCTTAGTAATTCAGTCTATTGTTGCAAGACAATTACAAGACATAACAAAGCAGACTGGATTCCTATCTTTTGAAAAGACAGATCCTAAGCACTGTCAGTTGCATCCAATTTCTGCAGCACAAACCTACATTCTCACAGCAGGCCCCATCCCCAGGTTACTTAGGTCACCAAATTTGGGTCTCAGGCCAAGCCAAGGGCCTACACCTGTTTTGTATGTCATGCACGCTAAGCGTGGTTTTCAGAATTTCGATGGTTAAAATAAATCCAAAGGAAAATAACTTTCTGTGGCAAGTAGAAATTATATGAAATTCTTACCTGAGTGTAAATAAAGTTATTCTGGAATCCGCTACCCTGGCAGAACAGACACAGTGTTGTCTGCAGAGCCTAAAACACTGCTGCGCCTTTCACAGAGACCTACCAATAATCTAACTTCCTGGCTTATCTTTCTTTTCTTTGTCTTCTTTTTTTTTTTTTTAAAGATTTATTTATTTATACAAGCACTGGGTACAGTCAGACACGCGGGAGGGTAAGAGAATTCACCAGAGCCAGAGCGGGGAACAGAACAGACAGACCGACGAAATACACTGCTGAGGGGAGCAGCGAGCACGGCAGGAGAGGTCTGGTGGCCGGGGATCGAACCGGCGCTGCAGAGGCTGTGGGCAGCTTCACAGCCCAGTGCTCAACCGCTGCGCCATCAGGGGAGGCCCTCTTTTTCACTTTTTTTTTTAATGAAGAAAATAATTTATTAATGTGTTTGACCATTTATTTTATTGTTTGGCTTGAGTAATGGTAAAAAATTTCCCTACACTATCTTAGAGAAATCCTCTAATGTACATGCACATCCCAGAGGTAACATGTCCACACAGGTCTCCTCATTTCTAGAAAACTGTTTAAGTTCTGGACCTACTAAACATAGCGCTTCCATATGATCCAGCAATTCCACTCCTAGGTATTTACCCAAAGGACACAGAAACATCAATTCCAAAGAGCACCTGCACCCCTATGTTTATAGCAGCACTATTTACAATAGCTAAGCTTTGGAAACAACCCAAATGCCCAAAAATAGATGACTGGATCAAGAAGATATGGTACATATATACCATGGAATATTACTCAGCATTCAAAAAAGATAAACACATGCAATTTGCAGCAACATGGATGGCGCTGGAAGGGATCATGCTCAGCGAAATAAGCCAGAAAGAAAAAGAAAAATACCGGATGGTCTCACTCATAGCAGGAATCTAGAAAACTTAAATAAGGGACCAGGAAAATGAATAACTATAAGAAAGTGAAAATCAAAATCAACAAAAAACTATGAACCAGAGACACTTTTTGGGGGGTGGGGGGCGAGAGGGGAGGGATTGGGGTCAGAATGGGGGGGTTGCAATGGGGACCCCATTGCAATGGGGGTTGTAATGGGGTTGCAATGGGGGTTGTATGGGGAATATAAAAATAAAATTTATTATTTAAAAAAAAAAGAAAAAAAAAAACTGTTTAAGTAAATGGTTCAGTTTTGGTATGAATTACAAAATACTCCAAATGAAATATGAGCAAAACTCACTGCTCCCCTCAGCAGTGTATTTCAGTCAATCTGCCTATTCTGTTCCTCACTCTGTCTCTGGTGAATCCTCTCACCCCCCGTACCTCTGTCCTGTACCCCCATTCTTGTATGCATAAATAAATAAATCTTAAAAAAAAAAAAAAGAAATATGGGCAAAACTTTTTTTTTTTTTTTTTTTGGGCAGCAAGGGCCATTTTCCTGGCTATGATTTTTAAAAGTCAGTATTATTTCTGTATTAAATTTTATGCCGTTTTTTCCTAAAAGAGATTATACCACGAGATATTACTTTTCCTCATCATTGTGTAATAATAGAAAAAAACTTTTCTTAACAAATAAACACTATATTTAACATTAAATAACAAAAAATAAACAGCATCATGCGCTGATAAACTTTTACAGTAAATGTTTGATTTAGCTTTCTTTTTCAGAGTAACATCTGCTTGCATTTCTACTGGAAGAACATATCTACCATGTTTCCCACAACCCACATCTCCCCCAAATCTACATTCGGCCAGCAATACTAAGAGAAGCCACACAACAACACACTACTACACCAGATGGCAAGATAGAAGGTAAGTGTTCATTCACTTGAATGTCTGTTGCACAGGGATCTGAGTTATATAAAATACACTTCAAGCTTTCCTACATCTCCTAGTATTTTACATGGCACTTTGCATAATGTAAACCAAGGAGGAAATTCAGTTCCACAGCTGGCTTGACCACAGAACAAAAGGAGTTTGTTCTTCATGAAAAAAATTACCTTAAATGGTTGGAACAATTTGGTCAATAAGTAAATTTTGACAGGCACCTGAAAAAAAAAATCTCACCTCAGAGAAGGGTGGTTTTTCAGATTGTTCCAATCCCTTTTCGCACACTGAGAGAGCTCATTAGCTTCCTTCCAGTTCCCACTAGCCATTGCAGTAGAAATATCATTCAGCATGTGCGAGGCAGCTGCATATCTAGGGGGGTAGAGAGAGGACACACATTATCCAGTTTCAAGTGTGAATGATGTAGATAAAAAGAATCACCACATCTCTCTACTAGATCTAATTCTGAAGTTGTTAAAGTATGTTTTTGAAAATATGAGGATTATTTAAATGTTATTCTGGTGATAATATACTCCTCCACTGGAGTGTCCTAGCGGAACTGATACTGATTACTCAGTTAGAAAGAAAAAAAGACCCATATGTACTATTACATAACATGCTCCGTGCTATAAACATGATGTCAATCAACTCATCCTTCCCCATTTTGTACTTACTCATTCATCCATTCATTCATTCCTTCATTCATTCAGCGATCTGGCAGCAACCACATAAACATGTAACTGACTTAGATTTATAATCTATAAGGTATAGCTTCGGTAACAGCAATTTAGTCAAGAGTTTGGTGTGACTTATGCTGGTCAAACCAAACAGTACGAAACAGACTGGTGAAAACTTCTGATTTATCAAGCACATCACTCTACTCATCATCATTATTAGCTTTATCTTAAGTTATTACAAGGTAAATATTCATCTTCAGTCTTATTCACACCAACAATATACTCACAAGGCAGGTTTGTTCAGATGTCTGTATTTTTTAAAAAGCTCTCTGCAAAAGCTTTTAAGGACTATAAGCCAGAGAAATTTTGTGTAGCTCTCACTCAAAACTTATTGCTTTGGCAACCCTAATCTAAGCACATTTCTATATTTCCCTGATAGTCTTAGAAATGTTTACAAGTGAGGCAGAATGATAACAAGCCAAAGAAACTTCAAAAACTGCTTTGGTTATGAACTTATGTTTCTACTGCGGCTGGCAAAAAAAATACTAAAACTTCTTATAAAATTATTATTTTATAAATTAAAAACCACACAAATAATTATAGCCAAAGAACTTGATCTTACCTGATAAGATCATCTCTATCTTGGAAGATTTGGGTTTTCCGATTGACGGTGTACCTGGGAAACTCCATCCGACCAAGGTTGACCAACAGCACAGTAGAGAGCTGTCCCTGACCACCACAGGCGGCTTCCTCATCTTCCAGAGAGTCAGTCAATGAGAACAGTAGCAAGATCCGGGAAAACACAGCCCGAGGGCCTCTGCAGACTCTCAGTGACTGTCCTGCCAAGTCTTTAGCCCTGAAAAACAAAGAAAACAGATATACCTCTCTGACTTTTTAAGCATTTGGATATCATGTTTTACAAGTTACTTTCAGATAAAGTGAAGATAAATGGCATTCATTAGTCTAAGTCTGAAGCAAAACTACCACTTCCAAAGCTGTGTGACACTGGAGTATTACTTAACCTCTCTGGGGCTCAGATCCCTATCTAGGGACAGTGAGAATTTAATGAAATTAATTAAAGTTTTATACACAGTTTGGTTAAATAAAAGAGCAAATGAAGGTTGACACTGGTCATGAATGTGTAAAATACCAGCAAATTTATAAAGTCTTAATTTATTTGACATTAGCAATTCTCAACTCTTGACTGAAGTGACACTTTAATTAACAGGCATCTGTTTGAAAGGTCATTATCAAAGGTTTTGTGTACAGGAAGTAGTATAACTGCATCCAGGTTAGCTGCTGTTCTCTGACATGCAAAATGGTCCAGAAGCATCTCTATTCCAGGGTAAACTCAGAGTGAATTCAGTTTGATTCTGGATGCCTCCAAGGGCTTGAGATTCTGAATCAAATCCAGGGCTCTAATAACTTTGCATACACATCCAAAACAGAGTTTCTCATTCTCCACACTGATATCTGCCCCGGGGGTGCTGTCCTGCGCATGAATAACAGAAGGCTCCGAATTATGCCTGGCCTCACTGCACTAAATTCCAGGAGCAACTTCATGACTCCCCACTTCTTCATGACAACCAAAAATGCCTCCAGACATTGCCAATGTCCCCTGGAGTGCAAAGTCATCCCCATCTGAGAATCACAGCAGAAAACCTCACTTTCCTATGCATCCCAGAGGCTATTAGACAAAGCAGTGCTGCACCCCTGGGGATGCTGTAGAGATCAGGGCCACCATCATTACGTGAGGGGACGGGGTGGGACTCCAATCACACCACCATGTAATCAGGACCCACACACTGTGAAGAGTGATGAAAAGCACCTACTTCCTTCATTCCATGCACAGCCCAGAGAGTCCCAGTGGACCAAGCCTCTGAGCTTCAGAAGGAAGCGTCACACATGCTAAAGTGAGTGGTGGCTATCCAGCAGGATGAGGAGAATGTAAATAGTGAGCCTTGCGCTGTTCCCTCATTGTAAGAGCAGAGTAAGATGAGGGACACTGCCCTCCTGTGGGGCTGTCAGACAAAGAATCTACTGCTGGGCTCAACAACAAAAGAAGAATCAAGACAATCTTAAAGGGCAGTGACTTCAGAGCAACTAAAATAGCCTTAAGAATCTCATTTTCCTACAAGCCCAAAGTCAGTCCATAAAAAAAAAGTATTTTCATTTATTTATGTTCAATGCTAAGTGTTTATAATGAGAGGGTTGCTAATTTTAATAAATATTCACTCACTTGAGGTTAACAAAATATTTCAGAAACAATTAGTAAAGAAAGGATTTAAAAAATATTTAACATACCACGGGGATGAGGACTTTAAACTCCTAAAGTCAATTAACTATAAATATGTAACTTATTAAAATACTTTTAAACAATCTACAATATAAACTTTAAGTGTTAGCAGTAACACTTTTCTTAATGTATGCCTTATTTATACCTATGCTTTAGTAAAGATTGTTATTTGCAGTATCTTCTCAACAAAGATGGGCTTTTGGCACATAACAACTGAAGGCTACTTGTGTGCACAAGTGCCCACAAATATGTACATGTATATGTATGTGTAGACACACACACATTATATAAAATAACTAACAGTGACATCTCTTTTTTAGTGTTTTCAAAAGTGTTGTCATTCATCCTCAACAACTCCAGAATAGTGGATTCCAGGCTCAGAATCAGTGGATTCCAAAGCTTATAGCAAACATTTATGTTTAAACTCAAGAAAAGTTACATATTAATATTGACAGATTAAACTTCAATAATATTTACTGAAAAAAAAATTGGCTGAATAGTTTACCCTTAAATTCTTTAAGAACAGTAGTTGAGAATGAATTTATTTTGAATAATAAAATACTCTTAAGTATATACCAAAGGCCTACTGCCTTTGTTCCCCAGCCTCGTAAATTTTTTTGGTCTTAGAAATTAATATAAAAAAGAAATTATGAGTAATATACAAAGAAAGAATTCAGTCTAATGTAATTAATATTCTGTCTTCTCAATCTAATTATACCTGAAATAAGCAATTACAATTAAAAGATGTACCATCTACTAGAGTAAGTTTACATGTACTATCAACATTTCAATGTTTTTACTGCAACAGTAGCCAACAAAACCTTTTTAAAATTACTGCACTGATTCCAGGCTGATTCTTGCTCCAAGTACAAACTGAAGGCTGTCTGGCCAATTTGAGAAAGGTGTCCACCAGCTGCTGTTTCTGCCCATTGGGATTCACCAAGTGGAAGGTCTTTGCCAGGGTTTTTAGTTCAGGAGCAGAAAGAAGTTCAAGCACTTCAGAGAGTTCTTGCAACTCAGATTCTAGAATGGTTAAAAAAAAAATTTAATTAAAAATAGTTGTAAAGAATTTCATTATTGGGGCCTCCCTGGTGGTGCAAGGGGTTAAGACACAACCTATGAAACTATCCGCAGCCACCACAGCATGAGTTCGATCCCCGGCCAGGGAGCTACCCACATGGCAAAGCAGACGTCTCCTGCCTCCCTGCTGCTCCCCTCAGCAGTGTATTTCAGTCAGTCTGCCCGTTCTGTTTCCCACTCTGTCTTGGTGAATCCTCTCACCCCCCACACCTCTGGCCTGAACCCCAGTTCTTGTATGCATAAATAAATAAATCTTTAAAAAAAAAAAAGAATTTAATTATTGGACCTCCCAGGTGGTGCAGCAGGTTGAGTGCAGTGCTGTGAAGCTATCTGCAGCCTCTGCAGCACGGCTTTGATTCTCAGCCAGCCAGGGAGATACCCACTTAGCGCAGCAGACCTCTCCTATCTTGCCCGCTGCTCCCCTCAGCAGTGCTTTCAGTCGTCTGCCTGTTCTGCTCCCCGCTCTGTCTCTGGTGAACACTCTCACCCTCCTGCGCCTCTGACCTGTACCCCAGCTCTTGTATAAATAAATCTTTAAAAAAAAAATTCATTATTTCCTAGCTTTATTTTCTCTAAAAAGAAGGCAGCTTAGTCAAACACAAATGAAATAAAATTTTACTGTAGAAAGTTCGTTTACCAAACCAATTATTAAAGAATATGAAAAATAGATATAAAGGTTAAAACATTACAGAACTTCTCACTGCAGAGTAAAGGAATATCTAAATAAAATATAAAGACTTACATTCACTCTTTTCCTGATTATAAAAACTCAAATCAATTGTGCAAAAATAACAGCTCTCCTCTCTCCCCACAGGCCTCTGGCTGAGAACTTATTAAACATACAGTAGACATCGTGCCATTATGAGACCCAGAACCATGGTAGACCTGAGGATTGTGCTGAATCAGACCTGGCTAGTCCCTACTTTCAAGTTATTCACAGTTCAGCAGTGCCTTCACCCTCCTTTTAGCAAATAGTTATTGGGTATACACTGCATGACCTGGGCACAGGCACTTACCTCCTCACACAGTGAGTGAATAAGCAGCCATGCCAGGCAGGATAACTGCTATAAAGACAAAACTGGACAAGGCCAAGTGAACATGGCAGGGCAGTTGTACACAGGTGGTCAGGCAACTTTATGAGGTGACATGCAGAAGAAGTGGGTGAAAAGAGGCGGCAAAGGTATGGATGAGGGGGGAAAGGTATGGATGAGGGGGCAAAGGTATGGCAACAAGAACAGGATCAGACAGAGGAGTGGTCCTGAACCTGTGATAGTCAAACAGATAACAGCAGGGAATCTCTATTATGCTAGGAAAATGTAACCCAGGCTGAATCTGGCTTTAACATCACATGAATAACTTATTATACTCCAAAGTGTAAAAACTCTGCTAAAAAAAAAAAAAATACTATTTTCCAGGCACCATGGCAGGAGCAGGCACCACACTATGACCACCATTCTGCAAACTTAATTCTTATGAATATTTTCACTTTGCACCTTCCTTCAACCAAGCATACCTGTCTGCAGAAAGCCTGCCTGCTTTAATTCTCCAATCACTGGTGTTAAGTCAGAAGCAATCTCTGCATAGTCCAATTTATTTATCTTAATCCAGCTGAATTTACGTTGAAAAAGTCGTACATATAACTTTTGACCATTATCTGCAATAAAGAAATATAGTGAAAAATATTATTTCTCCTCAAAAACAACATACTAATCTCATTTACTCTTTAATACTGGATGAGTAAAATATGAGACATACATGAAAGCTTGCTCAACTCATCTTCTAAGAAAATTTCTTTCTTCCTTTGGGAGATGTAATTTATTTCAAATAGGAAGTCCCTTGCCTTGTGCGCCTGTTGCACAGGACAGAAAGAGCATCCAGGATGGAGAGCCCTGGTCCAGCTCTGCCTTCTAAATTATGCATGTCTTTGAACCTGAGATCTCATTCTCCTCCATTAAAAAAAAGGGGGAGGGGAGAATAATACCATATTCTTAAAGCTGGGGGGAAATTAAACAAGATGAGGTATTCAATGTGTGAAAACTACTTTTTAAAAGCTGCAATATTGGTAATGATTATTGACCATTTAAAAACTTCTAAGAACCAGGCACCCTATTTTCTAGCCACCAACATTACTATGCCCTCAGAGATGTCCTATCCAGGATTCCAGTTGTGTTTTCTGCTTTTAGTTTAATATACATTATTCCATTTCTGGTGGAAAAGAATTTTCAAAAACTAAAGTCTAGGTCTCTTAGGGCAGCTCCTCTCTATCTCAAGATCTCAGCCAAGCTGCTGGGTCTATTTCCCTACTACTTTGGTTATCTTTAACTTTCTGCCAAATCTAAAATGGTATACTTACGCTTCTAAATTTTTCAGTTTTCCCTTTTTTTTTTTTTTTGAAGAGGCAAAATCAATTAGAAGTCGTTCTTTTCAGAGACACTAAAGATTCTCCGTGGAGCACCATATACAAGAATGCTGCAGAACATGCAGTTGGGGACCATCAGTTTTCATGATATGCAAGCATAGAGCCACCCACTACACGTGCTCACAGGGATGGATGCAAGCAGCACCCAAGCAAAGGTCCGTGAAAACTCCAGACAGGAGTGGGTGAGGACAGCACAAGTCAACAAGGAAGCTGTGTGGATTTAAAACAAGAAATCCTCCTCCAAATATCAGCAGCACTGTACAGGATTTTTTTCTTTAACCCACTGAACAGTCATGACCTCTACGAAAAGTTCTTCCACCTTGGGAGGATATCAGGTCCACAGAGCCACCACGGCCCTGCAGGAGGGTGCAAATAGGCTGGCTTTTTGCTTGGAACTGGCACTATGGGCTTAGGGCCACCACTGAATGCCAAGGAACTGAGGCAGAGACCAATGTTTTTAAATGTACCGATTTAGCTTGAAATGTTTCCATTTCCTCCACACCCTGACTTTTAACAGGGTGAGTCCAGGGAACTAAAATACTGTTGGAGGAAAAAAGCTGCCTCAATACCTGTTTGTTCTATTCCTGTATTTTATTTTACTAACTTTTGAAGAAATGGTTTGAGAAAACAGCAAAATAATCAAATCTTGATTATATGCTCAAAAGGCAAAGTACACTTTTCTAAGTCACACAGTACTTTTTAAAATCTAGAAACAACTGTTTTATAACCACCAAACACACATATAACATACACCAAATATAACCTTCTATTATAACCAGAGTAGCACTTGTAAGGCATAATTCTGCAGAAGCAGACATCAGCAAGAGAGCGCACGCGCGCACACACACACACACACACACACACACACTCACGTATCCATCTCTAGAGGAACCTGGGAGAGCTGACTCCCAGAGGGCTCACTAAGCCACACTGACTCCTGGTGGCCATTACATTACTACCCGTCACATCACAGTCCAAATCAGGGCAAGTGGGAAACAAGAAAGCAGATAGGATCAAGATACCTGATAACTGATAAAATTTCATTACAATTCCCTTCTCAGCTTCATCAAAGAGCATCTGATCATCTTCATTCTCAAACACGGCTTTCAGCACCATGAGGAAACTCTGAAGATAGTAAGGATGACTCGGCCGTGCTGGAATTGTTTCAGCGGGAACATTAGCGCCTGATCCTTGCTCCAAAGGAATCTTGCCAATGATTTCACTCCTGAAGCCACCATTATCTTCCAGAGGAAGTTCTTGGAGGCTAGTCAAGTTAGAACCAGCATGTGCAGACCCAGGAGATCCTGTCTCCTGATGTGATGACTGTCCTGTAACTTCTGAACCAACTGTCATCTTTACCTCTTCACAACTTGCTACCTCGTATTTTTCAACACCTTTTCTATCTACTTTGATATTCTCCTTTGCAAAACTGTTCTCTAAAGCAGACTTTAATTTATTCCCAGGAGTTAAATCTGGTGAATATAACATGGTAGCAGTATCTGAAAGGGCGGGAGTGAAGGCTGATTGCCCACGTTCCTGGGGGGCCTTTAAGCTTCCAGCTTCCACTATTTGAGTGCATTCCACAGCATTCTGTTCTTTAAAATCACAAGTAAACATATTTTCCTTTTGAGAACTATTCTCAAAAACTGGATCCTTGTCCTCAATCTCTGTACAGTTATCTACCAGGCTCCTGACTGCAGTGGATGAGGAACTCGGTGGACTATGATTGACAAATTCCTCATTCTTATTCATTGATCTTTTAGCCTTTATGTATCTTCTGGACAATTTAGATGACAGACTTCCCAAAGGAATGACTTTCACATTGCGATATGACAGTTCATCTTGATTTTTGTGCACCAAATCATCCTTACTTTTAAAGTAGGGGCTTGTCTGCTGTTTTATGCCAATTTTTGTTGACTCACTTTGGTAAGGGGTTAAATTGGTCTTAGGTGATAACAATTTCTCTGGGGTAACATTTTCTACCGTAACACTGGTTAAATTCATTGTGGATACATTTGATTTCTTTAAGCCAGTATGCCCCGAACCAGCAGGAGCGATGTCACCATTGTTAGCACACACTTCATCGAGGTGCTGATTTAATTCATATCTTGGCACCATTTTACTACAGATGGGGCATGCAAGTTTTGCAGGGGGTGCATTGTTAAAAAATGAAATAATTGAGTTAGATTCATTTTTTTTAGCCTTGCTAGTTGATAAACTTCTACGAGGTCTCTTTTTCTCAGGTTTCCTTTCTGACATGATGTGTATAAGGAAAACCGGGTGTTTCAAGTAACAAAACACCCGATATCACCGGGGAAAGAGAGCAGTGGTTTACTTTTACCTCCCTGACTTGAAATAAAAGTGGAGTTTTATTTGACTTCATGCTCTTCGTTAAGGCAGTTTCTTCTTCCTACAATATAAAGCACGTGGATTAAAAATATGTTTAGGACGTCAACAACAGAAGGGGCCAAGTAAGCACTCAACAGGCGCTGGCAGTATCTTGGCATGAGGACAAATGCGTGGACCTGGGACAGCCAACCGAGATGCCACTTGGAGCTCTACAGGCAACCGCAGAGAGTCCCTCAGCCCTAAAACGACAGCGGTGGCCTTCCCAGGGCTCGTTTCTCAGATTTCTCTTTAGGACCTAAACCTACACTTACCCGTTTCAAAAGGGGACACTTGGACTATTTCAAATCCTGTTTTTGAAGCCCCTGCCTTGGTAACTTTCTCTGGGCGAGACCATGCCCATCTGGGCTCCACCTTGCTTTAGAGGCCCGCACAGTCCCCAAGTCGCGGGCCATAAAAACCAGAGGAGTCCCCGCTGCAGCTTCGGCCACCGAACCCGGGCACTGCCGGCCCGACCCCAACGCCCGCCACCTGGGACGCGCACCTGCGGCTCCGCCACCCAGCCCGGGCCGCAGCCCGCCCCCCGGGGCCCCACCGCCAGGGGCCGCCCTCCCGGCTGCTGCCCCGCCGCCCGCCGCCCGTCGCGCGCCAGTGACCCCAGCCCGGGCGCCCCGCGCTCCCACCCGGCGCTGCGCGCTGACGGTTCCAGACATTCCCAGCCGATCCCCGGGTCTCCGCTCGTCACAGGCTCGGCAAGTAGAGGCTCGAGTGATCGATCTTCCCTGTCAACCTTCCGGCTTGGAAGACGCTGCGGAGCCCCAGGAGGCAACTCCGGCGCTTTCTTCCCCTCACGCCTGGAGGAGGCGGGCCGCCCGGTGCAAGCCTGCAGGTACAGTCTGAGGGCCCCTTTCCCCAGTGCATGGGGTGGTTGCTTGTTGGGGGGCATCAGCGTCAAAGTGAAGGGCCTCCTGGGAGAAGACCGGGCACCTGCGGTGAGCGAGGAAGCGCCGCGCGCGCACCTGCCTAAGGTAAGAACTGTGAACAACCCCAAAGGCAAAGAAATAACGTACTCGAGTTATTGGGGAGTGGTGGTCCTGGGGCATTTCGTACTGATGTTTGCTTTTATTTGTGAAGTTGTGCAATTTGGTTTTTCAATAATGGCTATGGAGCAGATAAAGAAGTAAATCAATGAGTAGGCAGCCTTTGCTTCTGCACAGCGTTCTTTCATTTTTTTTTTTTTAGTAAATTTTATTTTTATATTCCCCATACAATTGCAACCCCCTTATTTTGACCCCAATCCCTCCCCTCACCGCCCCCACCTCCCATAGAGTGTCTCTGGTTCATAGTTTTTTGTTGATTTTGATTTTCACTTTCTTATAGTTATTCATTTTCCTGGTCCCTTATTTAAGTTTTCTAGATTCCTGCTATGAGTGAGACCATCCGGTATTTTTCTTTTTCTTTCTGGCTTGTTTCGCTGAGCATGATCCCTTCCAGCGCCATCCATAGTGTGTCTCTGGTTTATAGTTGCTTGTTGATTTCGATTTTTACTTTGTATTGATTAGTCTTTTTCCTGGTCCCTTATTTAAGTTTTCTAGATTCCTGCTATGAGTGAGACCATCCGGTATTTTTCTTTTTCTTTCTGGTTTATTTCGCTGAGCATGATCCCGTCCAGCTCCATCCATGTTGCTGCAAATTGCATGTGTTTATCTTTTTTGAATGCTGAGTAATATTCCGTGGTGTATATGTACCACATCTTCTTGATCCAGTCATCTGTTTTTGGGCATTTGGGTTGTTTCCAAAGCTTAGCTATTGTAAACAGTGCACAGTGCATTCTTTAGAAAGGAAGATTATCCCCCAAAGACAGCATTCAACATATCTTTAAGTCAAAACAACTTTAGGTCGTTTACTTAGAATTAGAAGGTCTCCTCACCCCCAAGAATGGTTCTATCTTTTCCAGTCAGTGTCTCGATGTTCTTACCTATGTACACTAAAATCAAACTTAATAATTGTTGGGCAGTTCCAAGGTAACAAAAGAGATTGTAGGGATGTGACCTAATGGCTTAGGATTCAAAGGTGAGAGAGGGGGGGTTTAAAAGGACAGAGAGAGAGGATGATCTGGAAAGGGTAATTAGAAGCAAAGGCTTCTAAACTTCCACCTTCGGGTCAAATAAAGACCAGAAGGAAAAAAGAAAAAAAGAAAACAAAATATCAGCCACCATTTGAAATAGCTGTTGAAGAAGAACTGTCTTTAGGGAAGATTCTGGTTTTAATTAGATATAGGAATTAGTAAACTTTTTGCATCATGGAATTGTTTTTCTGTATGGTGACTCTCATGGACAGTTTTAAAATTCACAAAGTAGGCAGATTCTGCTTCTAGCCAAGACAAAAAATCCTGATCTCTTTCACTTTGTATATGAGGTGAGAAAGACACAGCACTGCTGTTTTTCCTGCCAAAAATGCATAACCTGAATCTAAACATAAAAAACAAACCCAAATTTGAGGAAAATTCTATTATAATTTTGCCCTGTATACATCAAGAATGTGATACCCAAGAAGACAAAGGAAGGCTCAAGACCTGGTCCTCTTAAAGAATGGGGCAGCCAAACCCAGTAAGATATGCTGGGATGACCCTGGACAGGGGAGAATATCTGGAAAGGACACTCTTGGGACAATTGACAGAATTTCAACAATTTCAACATTGTATCAATATTAAATTTCTTGATTTTTGATAATTGAGTCTTCGTAAGTGAATATTCTTGTTCATGTAGAATATTAAAAATTATCTTTTAATACAAAATACTAGAATATTTAGGGGTAAAAAGCCATGTTTTCAATTCCCTTTCAAATTGTACAGAAAAGAGAACTAAGGCAAATGTGGCTAAATTTATTGGAATTTTTCTGTAACTTTATAACAATTTTAAAATGATATAGAATATAACAAAGTATCTCAAGTAAAAAAACATAAATCTAGGCCACAGGTATAGCACTTTTTACTCAGCATAAATGTAAAAATGACAAATGCTATCAGTACCAAATGGTGATATACGGTAAGTGCAAGTATGTACAGCTACTTTGAAAAATAATTCGGGGCCTCCCCTGGTGGTGCAATGGTTGAGCACTGGGCTGCCCGCAGCCTCTGCAGCCCCGGTTCAATCCCTGGCTGGTTCAATCCCTGGCCGCCAGCGAGGGTCCCACATGGTGCGCAGACCTCTCGTCACACCCGCTGCTCCCCTCAGCAGTGTATTTCGTCAGTCTGCCTTTTCTGTTCTTCACTCTGGCTCTGGTGAATCCTCTCACCCTCCCGCGCTTCTGACTGTACCCAGTGCTTGTATAAATAAGTAAAAATCTTTTTTTAAAAAAAGAAAAATAATTCTTTACCTTTTGAACTTTCTGCTCAGCAATTCTAAAGAACACTTGGAGTTAGTGTGAGTACAGGATGTTCAGATTGGCATTATTCTTGTCAAATTGGAAATGAACATTTTCAAGAGAATGAATAAAACTACTTTATTCACGCAATATTATGAAACAGTGAAAATAAAGGCATTATGGATAAATTTGAGGGAAATTAGTGAAAAAGCTGTAGAGGGGTACATATGTTCTATTTTCATAAAATTCAGGTATTAGCAAAATTAAACAATGTGTTGGACTAAGGATATGTGAGGATATGCTAGATACAAATGCAAGTGATAAACACAATTCAGACCCATGGTTCCTTCTTCACCTCTTTGTGTAGATTAGAAAACCATATGGAGGAGAGCAGTGTATTTTGTTTTTGTAGATGCTGTAGCATGCTGCTAGCTTAAAGTATGTAACATTCCAGAATGCACACTTCCTAAGGTTAAGAATTGCTATCTGTTTTTGCTCTGTTGTATCCCTGGTACCTAGAACATTGCCTGGCACACATCAAGTACAGTAGGTCCTTGAATGTTTTGTCATTTGAAACATTCAAGATCTACTTTTGTTAAGTATCTTCTCACTAAAATTTGTACTCTTCAAAAGTCCATGATTGATGGCGAGGACTTACTGTATTTCAAATGAATATAATGATTCAAACATTACTTTGAATGTGAGTGGAATGCTATAGCTCACATAGATGTGGGGGGAAAAGGGGAGACAAAAGGGATTTTCTCTCTGCATACATCAAACTGTCCTTAGATAAAATGAATTCCTCCCAGATCAATCATCATTGTTTTGACAAATTGTAAGAGAAATAATGAAGGGAAAGAACTAAGCCAGCAGTGAGTGAGAACTGACAAAATGTCTGAATTTAAAAAGAACAACAAAAACAGGAACTCTTGGGACCATATAAGTGAAATCACCACTAATAAAAATGACACACTAAGATTAGAGTGAGGCCAGGGTTTACTCCTGGCACACTGGTGACAAGAACACTGTCCTAGCAGAAAAAATTTAGTACTGACAGGGGCGCCATCATGGCCAGCTCCTGCAGCAGTACACAGAAGGCAAAGAGCCAACCTCCCAGGCTCTTCTTGACCACAGGGATCATCTCTTTGATGAAAAACCAGAAGCACATTCCCTATTGCTTCTGCTAAACCTTAGGTTTCATTGCCTACCCATCTGGAGTAAAGCTTAAAGCATTTTCATCAAAGCACAACATGAAACCCTTCTCAGCCTGCCAGCCACCTCCCCACTCACTAACTCGCATGCCCAAGCTGCCTTCACTCAGCCCTGGCAGCATGGGAAGGGCCTTGGAAACTAGGTCCAACTTTATACCCAAAGAAAGCAACATGGGGCTTCCAAAGATAGTTTGGAATTTGTCTTTTCAAACTGTGGAATTCTCTGCCATTCATGCAAAAAAATAGTTCTGAAAAGTTTTATTATAAAACAATGACAGAACACAAATTTACACATTAATATTTACATAATATTCAAAATATTATAGCTTTAATTTATGAACAGAAATTTCTTTTCTTTTCTTTTTCTTTTCTGTTTTCTTTGCATCACTGATTTGCATTTTTACTTGATCTTGTAATTTAGAAAAGAAGGCTTGAGATGACTTTAGGGCTTTGTCTTTACCTTCATCCTGTAATTAAAAATAATACATGCTCATGTATTATAAGCTATAATTATATAATTATAATTGCTATAAATGGAGAAAAATGATCAATTAGTGTAATAGAAGTTTAAATATGACGAAACACTAGGAGAAATTATGGAAAAAATCACTCAACAGGAGCATGACATATGTTCTGTGCTACTAGAGGACAAGGGAGTGGAAGAAAAACCACCACTAGGTCAAGTCACTGTGCAGGCCCTGAGTTAAAAACTCAAAGCCATGGGCAGCCTCTTCATCTGTCGTGGGCTCAGTCACTCCAGCTGATGTCATCTAAAGTTTGCCATTTGCTTCCCCCCAAAATCCCTTCACAGTAGCCCCCCCACCCCCCATCCTTACCTTCAGCAGCGAAGCTTTGCCAGTTTTGGTCAGTTGTTTTAGCTTCTCTGAAGCTACTGCTTTGCTGTATTTCCCTTCTTGATCTGGGTTGCTCTTTTCAAGCAGTTTTCTCCGCTTTTCCTTTTCCTTTATTTTCATACGCTTCTGATATTTCTTTTTCCTCCGTTCTCGTTTCTTGTCTGTAGCTGTTTTCTCAGCAGGTGTTTTTATATCTCCAGCTTTATTTTTCTCCTATGAAAAAATAACCACCAGCATAGTAATTAATCTCACCTAGTAACTCAGGGAGTCAGAGGAAGCAATTCCACAGAACGCGATCCACTGGCCAGCTATGGTGTGGGTGTAGAGAGCACCCCCACTCTCTCCAAAGAGCTATGGTGACCCAGCTCTTGAAAAGCTGAAGCACATCCCCTGGCAGGACAGTGTCACAATGAAGGGCCAGTTCACCAATTACATCACAAAGGCAGCCTGGACAGAGGGGCTCACACTTGTGGAGAAGCAGCCCCCTGGCATGTAAACTCCACCAAGGGCTTCGGGGACATAACCACAGGCAGTCCCAGCTCTAAGCTGCTGCTGACAGCCTCTGGGATGGTGGCAGGGGTTCCCAGAGATGGAAAGGAAACCCCTCTAGCTACTAGCCTATTACTGCGGAGGTGGGCCCTGAAGGAGTGGCTGTGGGCGTAGCCACACAAGTGAGGCGGGATAAGAGTCCCTGGTGCTGGGCCACATCATTACTGTGTACAGCGTGAGCTTCGATGTCCACAGGCAAGGGACTACCTTGCCTCTGTATGTTCAACTTCTTCCGATATCTAAATGCTCTTCTAGACCCGACTCCACTACCGATAAGCACAGGTTGGCTAAAATAAGGCAGAGCAGCCTGTTAATTTTCAACTTAAAACGTCACTACTAATTTTCAAACTGGTTTATAAGGACATACTTGTATTGGATATTACAAACAGTTCTTCATACTACTTCTCATAGCTCTACCTCGTTATGATGCTTGATTACAGGAAACTGGTGTTTGACTATATAATGTTATTCGTTTGAATAACATTATTTGAATATTTGAATAACATTATTTGTTATTCATTTGAATATACTGAGAAACTACTGAGATATATTAAAATAGAAATCAAAATCTCAAAGGAGATCATGGGAAACAAGAGATATGGCCGTGTAAGCAACTAACTTATAGACAGCTATGTCTTGTTTACCACACCGCCTTCTCACCTTGACTTCTTCTGGGGCCAGGAGAGCTGCATCGCTCACGCTCACTGGGGCTACTTCCTCCATGGTTATAGCTGGCAGATTTGACACAACTTTAATCTCTGGAACAGGCTAGAAAAGAGACAATACATTGCTTGAACAGGAAATCAGAAGCACCCTAATACAAATTATCTGAACTGCGAACCTTTTAAAGTGTAACATACAAAAACACTTTGTAAGATTACTTAAAACGCTGAGATGTGTTGACAGCAAGCGTGGTAAGCTAACTGTAAGGACAGCAGTGTTGGCGGCAGCACAGGCTGCCTGAAGGTTCATATGACCCAAGAGTATTTTAGGGGCTGTGTGACGCCACACTATACCAACAGCACTTATTTCTACACTTTTTCCTGACATTTCTACTACATCCAAAAGCCAGCTCCTCATCTGTTGTTAAACGCTTACCATCTGCCACGCATGTGGACATTCTCAAACAAGCTGATCGACTTTTAACAAAATCTGTTTTGTGTGAATATTATTATCTTGCCTGTGGTCATGCAATAAAGGCTGGCTATAAGAAATACATGGGAAATGATGCAAGGAAAATGTTTTGCCAAACAAGAGTCAAAATAAACTACTTGATAAAAATTTTTCTCACCTTCAGGTACTAAAAACAGAAATATCAAACTGCTCTGGAAAGATAAAGCACTACTGAAATAAAACCTTTAAGTTTTTACAGAAAACTATGCAAGGAGAAAGGAGAAAAGAATGCAATGCTAGCTGAAGGGCCATTTGTTGTTTTTTTCTTTTTTGTAAGAATTGCCCAAGAAACTCACACCGATCACGGTAATGAAAGGACAGTGGTGGCTAGTTGTGGAACACTTACACCAGGGTTCACATCTAGCCCTCGCACAGCTCCGGGATGGCCACCAGGGGCAGGGACCCTGTCAGCCAGAGTGGAGTGAAGTGTGGGACACAGCGGTGTCCTGGGGCGAACTCGGGGTTGAGACTCATGAGGAAGGGCTCTACCACACAGCCCATCACTGACTCCTTATCGCAGTGCTGCCCCTCCTCCAGATATTGGCCCCCCAAAACAAAGACAAGCCATAAACACAACAAAGGCCTGGACTCCAAATAAGAGAAACATCTCTTGAGTGTGATATAAGTCATTTCCTCTGCTGAGCCACCACTCATTATTAGGTAACACAACACTCTAGTCTACAACTTAAAAAGAGAAAGGAGAAAATGGAGCAGCTCCCAAAACAACAAAATATAACAACTAGTTAAGGGTCTATGAAGATAGCACACGAACGCCCGCCTGCATGTAAAAGATGGCAGCATTGAGGGAACCTGTGCAGAAACCCTACATTTCTCCAGAGGGATTAAGAAAGGCTGCGATTTGGGGCATACAGACACAAATGTATTCATTCACTTCTTATCTGATTCCCAAGATTCCCAGGAATGTCTGAGGGCATCCCCACGTCAGAGTCTATGCTAGTGTGAGGAACACACCAGTGAAACCAGCAGTGAACAAACTATACACTGTGCTGGCTTGAAAAGGAGAACAAGCACTGGCTGCAACTGTTCTGTGGTGCTGTGAGCCAGAGAGGCACAGTAGTGAAAACAGCAAGAAAGGGATGGAGATTTAGTCTGAGACCTGAGAGACAATAAGGGGCCAGATGCATCAAGAGGAAATGCAGCCTAGTGCACTAGGGCCTGGGGAAGGGCTTGCAGGAAGGAGGCAATAAAGGCACCGGAAGACCAATGGGGCCAGGGGAGAGGGCAGGAAGGAACCAGATCACGTGGGGTGTTGTAATGCGTGGAAAGGGTCATGTTTTTTGCATCAGTAAGACTTTCTCACACTAAGAACTTCTGGCCAAAGGGGGTTGGAGGATTCCTCTTTACTCTTCATCTGTTGCTTTTACACATCTCAAACCAGGCACTCCGGGAATCTAAAGGTTGTCCCTGAACCTACCACTACATTCCTGTAAATCACACCCAGTTAAATAGAAACAAAAAAGCAGGTAATAAATGCTAATTGTCTGAGAAGACATACACAGGAAAAACCATCTAACCATCAAAGAATCAGGTATTGGCGATTACCTCTTCTATATAGATGACATGTAAAGCAATTTGCCTAAACCACAAAGCTAGTTAGGGGTAGAATCAGACTCAGGTTCTGACTTCTAACTAGTCCTTGATTCATGACATCCAAGGGGCAACAGGTTGAGCAAATACCAAAAGAATGACACAAGCACATTGTAGGGGTTCACAGAAGGTGGGGAGCAGGAGATGAAGCTCCGTGGAGAACACAGGCAGCGGGCCAAGTCTGGGTGAGAGCCCACAGGTGGAGAGGAAGAGCTCTAGAGAGGTCTGGCTTGGCTCAGGGAGTATCGTGCAGTAAAGAGCATGAACCCAGAGTCAGATCCTACCTTCTAAGCCTGTTTCCTCATCTGCAAAATGAAAATGGTAATATATTTGCCTCCCTTTCTCGTGGATTAAGAGTAATATAATAAAGAGCCTAATAGGTAGTGGGTACTCAGTAAATGAGGAGACCCCATGGCTTAGGCTGGGGGTCTGGCAGGGACACACGAGAGATCAGGTGGGGGGCGGCGGGGAGGAGGGTGTTGGTGTTGAGAACTGTTCAGGACCAGATAGGAGGCCCTGCATGAGATTTACAGGGAATTCCTGCTAGTGTGTACTGAAACCAAATAAAGGATTAGTCTCACAAAAGTTCAAAGAGGAACTAAGAGAATTACTCACTGAAATGTTATCACACTTACAGGTTTAGGGATGAAGTGAAAGTTTGAAAGGGCATCCAATTTTAAGAAGAGGGAATCCATCATTTTCTGAATTTCTTTGTGCTCTGGATTTTCTTCTTCTGCAGTTTTTTGCTTAGGAATTAAGTTCAACAACATGAGACCAGAGGCATTAGAGCACTGTTTGCTGTTGCTTTTAAGTGACATTAACAAAATCTGGTAGGATCTTAAATGAATTTTGCAAAATAAAAATGCCATCTCAACCCCAAGCACATATTGGCCACAGTCCCAATAAGTAAAACATGAAGAAATAATCATTATATGGCAGGTATAATATTTTCGGGAATTACAACTTTGCCTATTTAACCAGATCATTTTTTTAGAATCTAAGTGAAAAAAAAAAACAAAGCACCCTACCACCCAAAGATCTGAATCAATTCAGACCTTATAAAACATCCATAACTTCAAAATATTAAAGATAAATGATTTTAAAATTGCAGCACTACTATAATGACACAGCTAGAGTTATAACTAACTGTGAAAGGAGCCAGTGGCCCATGTCTAATTGCAAACTTCCCCCGATTCAATGGAACCTTGTAACCTCTCTATTCCCAGTATGTTGTTCCACACTAAGTGAGGAGGCCACAGAGCTCCAGATTTGTTCTGTGAACTTCAATGTCAACAGTGGAACCAGTATGGCTGGTTCTCTCTTCGTCTCTTCTTTTACTAACAATGGTTTTCCTCAGCGGCTTCCTTACCTGATTGAGTTTGATGTATTCCTGTTCATAAATTTCAGCAAGGCTCAATTTACTCTTTTCATGGTCTAATGTTAAACGTTTTTTATATTCATACGCATCCTCTTTAGGTTTTTCTTTACGTACTACATCATCCCAAGCCTGAAACATGAAAGAGACATGGAACATAAATCTATCATTTCTTTCTAAAGAAGTTTAAGACATCCTCTGGAAGTTAAGTAAATAGCAGCAAAAAGAAAATTTTCTGAAATGAATATTCAAGTCACAGAAAGTATTGTTAAAATCAAAGAAGACATTACTCAAATATCCTTTCTGGGTTTTTGTTTTTCTACCCCCTCTGTGCCTCCCCACCTTTTTGTTTTGTTTTAAAGCATCTTCGGCCATGAGCTCTAGATCCTATAAGGCCACCAACCTTAATATTCCACATTTTCCTATCAGTTTATTTGAAAGTCAAGATCAAATTTGCCTTGTTTCATTTCAAATTTAAAAACACTTTGCTAAGTGTAGCAACCCTTTAAACCTCCCCTATAGAGCTTCCATATGATCCAGCAATTCCACTCCTAGGTATTTACCCAGAGGACACAGAAACATCAATTCCAAAGAACACCTGCACCCCTATGTTTATAGCAGCACTATTTACAATAGCTAAGCTTTGAAAACAACCCAAATGCCCAAAAATAGATGACTGGATCAAGAAGATGTGGTACATATATACCATGGAATATTACTCAGCATTCAAAAAAGATAAACACATGCAATTTGCAGCAACATGGATGGCGCTGGAAGGGATCATGCTCAGCGAAATAAGCCAAAAAGAAAAAGAAAAATACCGGATGGTCTCACTCATAGCAGGAATCTAGAAAACTTAAATAAGGGACCAGGAAAAGGAGTAACTATAAGAAAGTGAAAATCAAAATCAACAAAAAAACTATGAACCAGAGACACTTTTAGGGGGGCGGGGGCGGGAGGGGAGGGATTGGGGTCAGAATGGGGAGGCTGCAATTGTATGGGGAATATAAAAATAAAATTTATTATTAAAAAAAAAATGGAAATTTACAGCATTTGTCTAAGCTATTAAACTGTTGCCATTAGATGTAACATCAGATATTGGTAAGTTTAGACAGAAATTTTTAAAATGTCAATTACTATTAAAACTTCTACAGGCTAATAGATAATACACAATATGTTTCTAAGTGCAAAATGAAATTTTTAGGGCCTCCCTGTTAGCCTAGGAGTTAAGCCTCAGTGCCTTCTCTGCTGTGGCCTGAGTTCCATCCCAGGCCAAAGAGTTAACCCACATATGGTGCAGCAGACCTTGCCTGTCTTGCCCACTGCTTCCCTTGGCATTGTATTTCAGTAGATCTGCCTGTTCTACTTCCCACTCTGTCTCTGGTGAATGCTCTCACCACCACACCCTTGCACCTCTGGCCTATACCCCATTTCTTCTATGCATAAATAAATAAATCTTTAAAAAAGAAAAAAAAAATAAACCTCCCCTATTTTAGACACAAGTATAAACAAACATTTTACATGTTATAAAGTCAACTTTTATTATACAAGTCATATATACAAATTTTATTCTACCTACACAAAGACAAATTTTTAAATAAAAACTTTTTTGCTAGAATCTTTGAAAAAATAGGCCCGTCATGTTTCATACCAGACACTGTGGCTAGACATAGAATCCCACCACATCAGTCAGAAACCAATTACCACACCCACCACTCCCCACCAGCCTCACACCAGGCTGCCCAACAGGTCAGTAAGGCCAGAGAGATTGACAATGGCTCCAGCTACCCCTTTCTCTTCAGGCACTATGAAGGGCAGCATCTCACAGCAAAAGCTTAGGAAAGTCTAGGATTTTCAAATGAAGAACTGACACAAAACTTCTGTTAAAATAAAGAGCAACATTATTCACACTCTCACAATACACTATTTCCAAAAATTCCAGGGAATTTTAAGTTCAGTTAAATTTCATTCTTACTGACCTGATCTCTTATCCTCTGCTTAATGATATCTTCTAGTTGAAGAGTGGTTTCCTCTGTGATTACAGGTGCTAAAAGAAATATGGTATGTGCTCATTAGGTTGATATAAACTAGCCCATAGGTTCTCAAAGGGTGGTCGTTGAATGAGAAGTATCAACAGCACTTGAGAATTTGCTAGAAATGTGAACTCTTGGGCCCTACCCCACACCTCCTGAGTTCTAAAAAACAGGGGAAGGGGACACCTGTTTTAACTAGTCCTTCTAATGTTCACTCCTGTTTGAGAACCACATTCTCTTTAGCACTGAAATAAAATGGAAATTCATTTTGACTTAACGGGTACAAGAAAAAATTTGGTGAGATGATAAATGTTTCTGGCTAGAGCTCACAATTTATTCAGTGGACAGTAACAGAGAGAAGAGTCTTGTAAACAGAGCACTGTAAGAAATCTGATAATGGCTTATATATTAGGTATCATTAGTATATCAGAAATTCTTGGGTGGATGAAGGAGAATGTCCTAGTTTTTAGAAGACATGTAAAAACACTCACAAATGAACTGTCACAACATTGGTAGTGATTCGGTGGGGGGGAAAGTACACAAACATGTAGGTGTGAGAAAGTAAACAAGGCAAAGTGTTAACAATCAGAGAATCCAGTTGAATGTCATACAAATAATTGCTGCACTGTTTGTTCAACTTTTCTATACGTTTGCAAGTTTTCAAAATAAAAAGTTGAGGAAAAAAACATCACCCCCAGTCTTTCTGTGAAACAGAACCACAGAGAAGGCACAGCAAGGACCCCTCCAGAGGCCTCGCAGGCACACCTACCCATGCGGACGGCATGGTCAAAGTGCAGGGTCTCCTCCAGGAGGCTGTTCTCTGGTCGCTTTTGGGCTGTTATTTCCCCTTGAAGCTGCCAAGGTTTTTTTTGCAACAAATCTTTTTCTAACGATGCAATTTTTGCATTCATCTGAGAAAGTAACAGAGTTATCACACATTTAAGAAAAAAAAATTTATTGTTGTGTAAAGCAAATAGGATTTCTGAAGTGTAGCAAGAAATGTATTGTTGTAGCTCAATACAATTCTGGTTTTTGTCACCATTTTATTATGCCAGTAATAACTTGTGGGCCTCCCCTGGTGGCGCAGCGGTGAGCGCTGAGCTGAGAAGCTGCCCGCAGCCTCTGCAGCACCGGTTTGATCCCCGGCTGCCGGCGAGGGTCCCACATGGCGCGCAGACTTCTCCTGCCACCCACGGCGCCCCTCAGCAGTGTATTTCATCAGTCTGCCTGTTCTGTTCCCCACTCTGGCTCTGGTGAATCCTCTCACCCTCCCACGCTTCTGACTGTACCCAGTGCTTGTATAAATGAGTAAATAAAATCTTTGAAAAAAAAAATAATAACTTGCTCTCCTGTCGCTTGATGGGGTGAGGAGGTGACCTCTTTTTCCCACTGATTTGAAATGCCACGTTTATAACATATTAAATGCCCCCATCAGCACTTGAGTATACAGTTAAGTCCTCACTAATGCCATTAATATTTAGCTCAGTCTGCAGGGATTGTTTTTCCTCATCAATGACATAATGAAAGGAAGGTGAACAAACTACATTATTCTAGGACCTGCTATATGTAGACAAATGATCTATCTATTCACTAGCTAAAATGAATTTTAAATAGAGCATTCCAAATTAAGTTATTTTTTTGATTAGAACATTAGCCTGACTCTTGACTTCACATACCAAATTGTAATTATATTAACTTCTATAGTGATATCAGGGTATCAAGTGCCAGCTGTTCCAGCTGTCTTATGGAGTTCTTTTATATGTTTCCCAATTGCTTTTTCAGTTTATATGCTTGTTCCAGTCTCTGCAAATATTAATGCTCTCATTTGTTTTTCTTGCCTATCTTTTCCTTTTGTAGTTGAACTTGTTAACACTTTTTGAAAAATGTTAAATAACAGCACTAATGGTAATAATGAGTACTGTCATATCCTTGATTTTTAAAAAACAGTTCTAAAATTTCACCATGAAGCACCTTTGGGTTAAATACATTTGTATTTCACTAGGAGTAAAAAATAAAATAATTGGGCCTCCCTTGGTGGCACAGTGGTTGAGCGCTGGGCTGTAAGACTGCCCACAGCCTCTGCAGTGCAGGCTCAATCCCCAGCCGCCAGCGAGGGTCCCACATGGCGCGCAAACCTCTCCTGCCGTGCCCGTTGCTACCCTCAGTCTGCCTATTCTGTTCCCCGCTCTGCCTCTGGTGAATTCTCTCACCCTCCCACGCTTCTGACTGTATCCAGTGCTTGTATAAATAAATCTTTTAAAAAAATAAAATAATTAGGAGTGGACATCGAATTTATTTAAAAAGTGTGTGTGTGTGTATGACCATATAGTTTTTCTCAACCTATTACAACCAAGAATGAAATTAATAGATTTTCTAATTCCAAATCAAGAGAGTGAGGCTCACTCTGTTATAGTGGTATTATTCTTTCATTGTGCAGTTTTGATTTTTTGCACCACTATTCAGGAGTATGTGTTTTAATGTTATTTGGTCAGGTTTAAATATTCATGTTCTAATAGCTTCACAAGAAAACGTTTAGAAGCTTTACTTTACTTCACTCTTTAGAGATAGGCAGTACAACTTCAGAGCCGCTGAAACACCTACAAGGAGAGGCTCACAGGACAGCTGATCAGGAAAGACACACCGCAGGCATGAAGACACCAGAGAGGAAAAAAACAGGTTTTACTGATGGGTCAGAATGGAAAGCTACAGTTCAGAAACGAAACATTGATTTTTACAAATTAGCTGCTTTCCACTATACACAGTGCTTTAAAGAGTAGCAATAAGATTTTTGTTTTGTTTTATAAATGATGATTAATAGTTTCACCAAGAAAAACAAGACATGTTAGTTAGCAGTCTGGGTTTCAATCATATTAAGTAAGCAAAAAATACTTAAATTCTTAAAAATTACCTTTTCCTGTCTTTTTTCAAAGGAGGATTTAACTTCATCAGAATCCTTTTTTACATTCAAGGTGTCTGTATCTTCAGTTTCCTCACTGTCAGGCAAATCAAAGGTCACTCTTTTCAAGCTTTGTTTATGTTGTTTATTGTCCTCACTTTCTTCAAGGTCACTCTCTTCATCCCTGTAAGACCAAAAGACTAGTGAAAGGAAATATATGACGTTTCATCAGAAAAACAAAAGAAATAAATCTTCTAGTAATAAACATTCTTGTTAGCTATATCTAGAGGAACTAAATAGTCAGCACTTCTAAAGTCATTCAGTTACTAAGAAGCAAAAGAAAGAATTAGGCAAAAAAAAGTGTCCAACATACCAAAAATAAATTATTCATTAATCTATAGTAAAAATTCATCTCACAAAATTAACAAGGGATTTACTGGCACAAAAAAAGATCAAAGTTCATTGTAATAAAGGTTGATTGCTACTGCCAGTGATATTTATCTCCATTAGGGGATCACTAACATCTCTTTAAGTCCAGACTTTCTTCTAGTTATCTTGAGACTACATGATCTTAGGATACCTCCTGTTTGATTTTAGCAAATCTAACTTAAAACAAATACTCATTCCACAAATATGAGTGCATGTATGACTGGGGAGCTCCAGCTTATAACGTAAATGACAATGCAGAATACTCACATTTCAGAAAAGCTTTCTTTTCCCTCTTCAGCAATTTCTTCCTCTTCATTTGAAACCAGTTCATCACCATGAACACCTGCTATGTCTTCATCACTTTCAACTGGATCAAAGAAATCTTTGTATTTCAGGTCTCTAGAACTTTTACCTGACTAAAACAAAAATACTCAGTTTCTTTTTAAGGATAGGAAAATACATTAGGTTTAGGTTACTAAATAGGTTTAGGTTATTAAATAGGAAAAATTGGCATCTCATAAAACTAGCATAAAACCATGAGAGCAACTATGATGTAACAAACGGAACAGAAGTATAGATTTACTTATAACTGATAAACACAATATTCCAATCTCTAAATCTAACTATAATTATTTCTAAATCTAACTACAATTATGTTTCTTAAGCTACAAAACAAAGGAAAGCTTCAGTTTAATTTTTCTAGCCATTTTTTTTTTCAAGTGACCTAAACAGAATGTCCCTTAATCCCTGGTAGATTTTGAGATATTTTAAACCTCTTTTTCAGAAACACAGCAATACCTAATTTGAGGTAGAAAGTACTCTTTCTTCTCCCAAAACTTTACCTTAAGATTTCGCCTTCCAAACAGTCCTCCCTCATCTTCATCAGAATCAACATCTTCAAAAAAATTAATATCCTCCTCCTCCTCCTCCTCATCATCATCTTTTTGCTCTGCTTCTTTTTCTATCTTTTCTAAAAAGTTCTCCATTTCAGACAGTTTGAAGAATTTATCATCTACTATGGACTTCTCTCTTGTTTTACCAGGCATTTTGTTGTGCGCCTTGTTCTGTTTTTCCAATATGCTTTGCACTTTGCTCTGTCTTTCCAATTTGCTGATATCAAAATCAAGATCAGAATCCTCATCACTGAAATCTGGGCTTCTCCTCAGATCAACTTTGCTAGGGTTTTTAGCTCTCTCGCCCCCTTTAGAATCATCACCACTCAGGTCTGATGCGTCTTCCTCCTCCAAATCTTGCTTTAGGTCCTTCTGACCATCAGCCCCCATCTCAGAGCCCTCCTCCTCCATCTCAGAGCCATCCTCTTCACACTCCTCCTGCTCTTCAGTCTCTGGGAGAAGACTGATGTCTTCATCTTCAATGGTTTCATTAACTTTATTCTGAAGGTACTGTAAAACTGGCTCATTTTGCAATTCCAGCTGTTGCCAAATCTGCTCATCATCAAAATTGTTAATCACCAGCTTTTGTAGAGGACTTCCATGGATCCTACCATTCTCTAGTATTTTATTAAAGTCATAAAGTACTTTTGTTAAAGAAGTAAAGTTTGATGCCAATCCATCTTGAATCCTATTAAGGAGGCAGGAAAAAAAGGAAGCTAAGTGGACTTAGAATTGTGGGTAATAATTTGACAGCACTCTGAATTAAAAGGGGGAAAAAAAAAGCCCAACTCCTATGTAAAATTGAATGAAATGTCAATTTTAAGTGTAAATTCTGACCCTCAAGAGTATATTAAATTACCACATTGATAATATAAAAAGTATCACTTAATTATCTGTGAATCTGCTACAATGATTTTAGGTGGGAAAACTATTACAGATCTATTTGCCTAGAGATATATATTGAATCCTACCTTTAATTTCTCAACTCCACCACACTATATACTATTCTACTCATTCAGTTAGCCAATGGTCAACATTTGCTTTGACAAGTGTAGTTAGAATACCTCTCTGAGGATGTCTTATCTGAAAACTATACATAGGGAGACAGTCCTAAAAAATCTGGAAACATGTACTCTAGGCCGAAGAAACAGCAAGAACAAGTTTCCTAAGATGGAAATCAGCTTGGTGAGTTTGAGAAACATAAAGGCCAGCATGACCTTTACCTGCTGGGAAAGAAGGCAATAAGTAAAGTTAGAAAAGTAGGTAGGAGGGCCTCTCCTGGTGGCACAGTGGTTGATCGCTGGGCTGCAAAGCTGCCCTCACCCTCTGCAGTGCTGGTTCCATCCCCAGCCACGGGTGAGGGTCCCACATGGCGCAATAGACCTCTCCTGCCGTGCCTGCTGCTCCCCTCAGCAGTGTATTTCGTCAGTCTGCCTGTTCTGTTCCCCGCTCTGGCTCTGGTGAATTCTCTCACCCTCCTGTGTTTCTGACTATACCCAGTGCTTGTATAAATAAATAAATAAATCTTTAAAAAAAAAAAAAAAGTAGGTGGGAGCCAAATCATGTACCACTCTGAGGAAGGAGTTTGCCATTTTAAGTGTAAATACTTACAAAGGGCTCTAAACAAAGGGAAAAATGACCTAATTAACGATTAGAAAGATGATATGTAGAGGGAAACGAATGAAGGTAATCCGAAAGTTAAAGATGGAAAATTGCTAGGGTTTGAGCAGTGGATGAGAGAGAAGTCATCTAGTTTACCATACAGCTTAGGAATAGAACTGTCAGCATTTGCTAACGAATTAGACTTAGAATGAGAAAAAGGACATCAAGAAAGTCAGTTACATGTCTGAATCACCGGAAAGATAGAGGTGTCATTTACTGAGATGGGGAAGACAAATGGTGGTGCATGGGTAAAGAATTTTAGGGAGGGCAGGTTATAGGGGAGTAAATAGAACAGTTCATTTTGGACTTAAGAAGAAATTTGAGATGCTGAGCCTATGGAGTTGTAGTTACTCTAAGTCTGGGGTTCACGGGAAAGGTCGCAGTTTGAAATATAAATCTGAGTCGTAATTTCATAGGTTGTATTTAAGTCCTTCAACAAAATACAAAGAGCTTGTGTTGGGTGCAGAGAAGATATTAATTCTCAAGAAGCTCGGCCGTGGGGCGTGAAGAGCCGGACGACAAGTTAATACTTTAATAGAATATGATGGTGGGTAAACACTGAGTGCTTTGGAAGTAACAGGAGGAAAGAAAGAGCAGCCAAGGGACAGAGAATTAGAGGGATGGGCGGGGGTGCATAAGCCTCTAGGGAGGCCCCTGGCCCTTAATAACTGAGCATAGTTTGATTTCAACAACACACGACTGGGAGAATCGCACTTCACAGCTTTTGAACAATTTTTGAAACTTTAAAAGACTCCTAGCGTAGACTATCTGAAATCTGGGGAAACGAGACCTGCACTTACGTTACCTTCCCCCTACTCCAGAACTTGGGGGCCGGCAGTCGGCGGCCACGTGAGAGCAGAGCCGCACTCTGAGTCCCCGACTCGGCGCACTTACGTGAGGAAGCATTCTGGCCGGCCCGTGGCTTTGCCAACCTCACTCAGGCACCGCTCCAGGGTCCGTCGACGCCAGACCTTCGGAGGCATCGCCGCTCCCCGCTCCAGCCACAGCGCCACATGCAAGGGAAGCGGGCTGCCCGGAAGCCGCACCACACAGACGACCCCGGCGCAACCTGGAGCCGAGAGGCAAAGGTTCCGCGACGCAAAGGTTCCGGACCCACCCCCTCCAAGAGCCAATGGCAGCGCGAGTACTGGCTGGGCTTGAGCAGAGGGGCGGGGTGGGAAATCAAAAACAGACATTGGTCAGCCCAAGCGCCTTTGAACTTTCTCCAAACTTTCTTTTTTGAGGGACTCCCAAGGGCTGACGCGTTCTCGCGTGAAGCGTCTTCTTGAGATGCAGCAGGTGGCTTCACTACGTCGTATTGAAAAAGAAGAGCAGGCCGCCCCCAGCGCCCACAAGGCGGCAGCCCTCGCCACGCCCACTAGCTGCGTATGACCCCGCCCCCAGCCCCTGTCCCCGCCCCCAGCCTCTAACCCCGCCCCTGACCTCTTGCCCCGCCCCCGCCAAGTTGCCCCGCCCCCCGGCCGAGCTCCCTGCTCCTTGGGACTCTCGTCGGGTTTGAGGCGGGCGCTCTCCAAGATGGCGCGCGTGGTGAAAGCGGCTGCGGCGTCGGTGCTGGCTGCGGTCGCCGGAGGTGAATACCCGCGCCGTCGGGGCGCGCCGGGGGCGGGGCGCGCGGGACGGGAGGCCGGGGCAGGGCGAGGCCGCGCGGGGGCCAGGGCGCCTGGATCTGCGCGCTACCCCGAGAGGCGCGCCCTGCGGCCGCTGACGGCATCTCTAGGCGCAGGTCGGCGCCCCCGGGAGCTGCAGGTTAGCGAGAGGATTTCCTGACGTACTATTTGCGCCCCGCAGCTGCCCTGGGAGAGCTGTCCACTTGACAGCGCCCCTTTCCTTTGTGGCCCCAGAGGGGCGGGGGGACCTGCCCGAGGGGACGTCAGGGCGGGACAGAAATAAGTGGGGTGAACGCAGAGGGACTTGGTGTGTGAGAGACTGGGGGGGCCAGAAGGAGCAGGGCAAGTCCTGTACCCTAAACTGTGAGCTGAACTTCAAGCGTGTCCAGTATCGTGGTGGAACATTTGAAGGTCAGTGGTGTGAGGAATGCCAGAGGGGTGTTTTTCCTTGATGTGTTTATTGTAATGTGCATACACAGGGGAGATAAAAGCCAGCGGATTTGAAAGGTGCCTTGAGTTCTCTCCAGCTTCATTTAAAAAAAAAGTAAATAAAAAAAAAAGGTAAATCAACAATGACAATAACTCGTTTACTGACTCCCAGTCTATCTAGTTTTCTCTCTTTTCTTCCTCTCATCAGAGAACAACTGTTTCCCTTAATCTGAGATTCCTTATTAGAAAGGAAATACCAAGTGTTAATGCTTCATAGTTGCTCCAGAACATTTGCGATATATTCTTAGCACCTTCAGAAAGTGTTCGAGGATGAATCTTTAATAATATCAGATTTGTCTCCTAGAAAGTAGCCTCTGTTCCACCTGTTGAACCTTATAGTTCTACTTATTCTTTGAAGTTCCATCTCAAACTGAGCCAGTTTTCTGTTGATCACTGTCTTTCTTAGTAATCACCAAGTTTCCTGTACATCTACCAATACAAGTCACCAGGACTAAGTGATGAGACACTCAAAGAAGTGTACTGTAATAGTTTTGGCTGTGTCAACTCTTCATCAGTTTAAAGAGCTGATATGTATACATGGAAAAATATAACAGGCTGAACACACTTTATAAAAATAAATCCCTATTTAATAGGCAATACTCAATTTTTAATACTAGCACTCCATCCTGCCCCTCCTTCCATTCCTTGGTAAACTACAAGTCAGCATCTAAGCTCACATACCATTGCAGGTATCTCTTTGCAGGGAAAAAAAAAAAAAGTGAAGTCATTGCTTATCTGTTCTCCTTCCCTTAGAAAGTAGATATTGCCCATAGAACATACTCTAAAGATATTAAAATTGAAGAGCCAAAAGAATGGAAAAGAATTTCAGAGGAACAAGTAAGTTAAACATAATGGGTTAGCAACATCAGCTTTAATGTCAGACAGACCTGGGCTTGAGGCCCAGCTTTGCCACTTAGTGTGACTTTGTCTCTAAGTAAGGAAAATAATATCCCTTGTTCCATAGAGTTATTGGAAGAATTATAGTTCTCACTGAGCTATTACTATTATCTCCATGTAATGATTGTGAATACTGATAGAGGGGGACTACCACACAATGTACTCCCACTTCAGATTGTGTGATTTCATAGTTTGCTTGGGCAAGATTACTTAGTGGTATTGATCTATAACTTATGGTGGAATAAACCTATAGGTTTCTACTGGGAAGGTGAGATCATAATAGAGAGATGCCATGCTTTGACATTCTGTTCTCCACTGATAAGGCCAGCAGTATGGAGAATGCCGAGAGACTAGGGCCTCTGCTTGGGATAATAACCAGCTTATAGGTTCTTTACAGGCAGATGTTACAAATGTGCTTTCCACTTCTGTATGATATTAAGAGAACTTCCCAGATTAAAACAAAAATTGTCTCAGTTTGGGTGACTAATTTTAACTTGGAAAAACTATAAATTCGTATTCCTATGTCAAAAAGTAGAAAGAACATGTTTACAATACCTTCCAGCAGCATTATTCCACCAGGATGCCAGTGGTCACTAAATGCTGAAATGCTGCCAAAGGTGTTCTAAAATCACTCCACATTTTCCAGAATGAAAAGGCGAGTAGTCTCCTTATCATAAAAAGTAGTAAATTGTGAATTGAGGAAATGAAGAAATAAATACAACAACACTATATGTCCAAAAACATTGCAAAGTATAAGCAATTTTTGGTTAGTTAAAAGGATTTTAAATATAAATGCAGTACCATGTACAGGGTAAGTACACAATCACCTTTTTCCTTTAAAAATATACAGTGTGTTAGAAGTCAAATGCTTACATTTATAAGTTATTGCTGTAACCTTTCTGAAATTGCCAACAGTGATTGGAATGTTTTGTACTCTTTACTATGTACTTTCTGAGCCCTTTATATGTACTATTCAGTTTAACCTCATTTGGCAATCCCGTGAAGATATTATCTTCCAGTAGGAGGAAACAAAGGCACAGAAAGAGTAAGCAGTGAGCCAGAGTTACACAACTAGGCTAGTTCAAGATTAGACGAGGGTAGGCTAGCCCTAGAGCCCACATTCTCAGCACAGTGCCTCTCACATGATACTTATAAAACCGGAAGGTGAGCATATAAGTAATAATTTGAAATGAGAGGAAAAGCATTTTATGTATATATATTTAATATAGGTGAAATATATGTTATTCTATAATATATAAGTATATGTATATTTTTAGAAATTTATTCAATAGTTGTTACAGGAAGGGACTATAACTTCCGACAAGTTATAAAATTATTGCAAGAATGAATACTGATAATGATTCATGTGTCTTTTGTAACATTGGCATAAAGGAAAAATAAAAGCAAAATAGTGTATTCATAACTTGGCTTTCATTAATCCTACCACTTTTGATGCTTAAACCTTAAATGACCCAACTTTTATTGTGGATAAATATGGAGAACATAAAAGTTACCATTTTACCCATATTTAGGTGTCCAGTTCAGTGGCACTGCTACATTTCATACTTTTATTTAATCATCCCCACCTTTTATCTCCAGAACTTTCATTATCCCAAAGTGAATCTCTGTACCATTTAACAATAACTCCCACATTATTCCCTCTCCCTACCCTCTGTTAACCACTGTCCTATTTTCTAGATGAATTTGACTATTCTAGGTTAATGTTTTGACCTTATATGACTGACTTTTTTTGTTTTTGTTTTTTGTTTTTTAAGATTTATTTATTTATTTATACAAGCACTGGGTACAGTCAGAGGCGCGGGAGGGTGAGAGTATTCATCAGAGCCAGAGCAGGGAGCAGAGCAGGCAGAAGGACCGAAGTACACTGCTGAGGGGAGCAGCGGGTGCCAGGAGTGGTCTGCGCGCCATGTGGGACCCTCCTCCGGTGGACGGGGAGCAGCCGGGGATCGAACCAGCGCTGCAGAGGCTGCGGGCAGCTTCTCAACCCAGTGCTCAAGCACTGCGCCACCGGGGAGGCCCTGACTGACTTGTTTTTAAGGTTCATCCATGTTGTAGCATGTGTCAGAATTTCATTCTTTTTTGAGGTTGAATAATATTCCATTGTTTGTGTATGCCACATTTTCATTATTCTTTTGTCTTTGGACAATAGAGTTGTTCCCACCTTTTGGCTATTGTGAATAATGCAGCTACGTGCATAGCTATATAAATAGCTCTTCAAATCCCTGCTTTCAGATTTTTTTGACACATACCTAGAAGTGGCATTGCAGGGTCATGTAGTAATTCTGTGTTATGGCTCCGCATTTAAGGAACATTAAGTCTTCACTGAAAAGCAGGAGAAGGGGCCTCCCCGGTGGCGCAGCGGTTGAGCGCTGGGTTGCGAAGCTGCCAGTGGCCTCTGCAGCGCTGGTTCGTTCCCGGCTGCTCCCCGGCCATCAGAGGAGGGTCCCACATGGCGCGCAGACCTCTCCTGCCGCCCGCTGCTCCCCTCAGCAGTGTACTTTGATCCTTCTGCCTGCTCTGCTCCCCGCTCTGGCTCTGGTGAATTCTCTCACCCTCCCGCGCTTCTGACTGTACCCAGTGCTTGTATAAATAATAAATAAATAAATCTTTAAAAAAAAAAAAAAGAAAAGCAGGAGAAGCTCAGAAAACTAGATAGATCAGATTAAACACACACGTTCTACCAGCTCCAAAGATTGGCTTTATGACAGGGTTTGTTGTGAGAATGGAAATTGAACCTGTTAGACAGCAAGAGTGACCAAGTCACATGATTGTGAAGAGAGATTTACTTTGATAACATTGTCATATATAGATGGGGTAACAGAAATGTGGTCTATTTTGTTATAATTATAAGTATAAAATTATTCCTCAGAATAGTTTTAAACAGGTTAAAAATAAGTGTATGGGGTATAAAATCATCTGGTTAAATGTTGAAAATTTAAGAACTTCTTGCCAGACTAGCTTGAAGGTTCTTCACATGATTGACTTTCTAAGTATGTTGTTTATACAAAGCAAGAAGGCAAAAGTTCAGACTTAACAAACTTACTGTGCATTCTAAAATTACATTATGTGAAGTTTGAATAACTTTGCAAATATATTTTAAAAAACACTGAATTGTATACCTTAAATAGGTGAATGTCATAGTACATAAATTATATCTAAATAAAGCTGTAAGAAAATGTTATTACAAGTGATCATTCACAATTTTATAACACTTCATTAGCAAAGTTAACATATAATTTCTTTAGCTATTTCGTGTCCATAATGTCCTTGAATATGTGATTAAACCTTATTTGGAGGTATTTGGAAAGCCTATGTGAAATAAGTGCAATCTGAATCCAAAGAAATGCAATGTGATTTTTAATTAGGGTACCCAAAAATATTTGATGATGACAATTGTAAAGGAGAGACAGGTTAGAATTCACATAATACATCAGATTTGGAAGCATATTTATTACTTACACTTAAGATTCCTGACATGTGTGGTCATTTGTTTCTTAAATCTGTACTTACTCATCTTTACACTCTTGCTTCTTTTTTTAACACTCCTGTTTTTAAGTATCTTATACATTTTGTTCACACATATAGTTTTTCATGCAAAGTAACCGTTATTGGAATAGCCACAAATTACCCATTACGGAGTTCAGAGTAATACAAGTCTGCTGTATCTTTCTGAGCTGAATGGCAGAGACACCTAAAACTAAAGAGTTGTGAATTCCTACCATTTGAAATAAAAATATTTTTTAAAATTGACAGAAGTCAAAGGAGAAAGTTGGATTTTTTTCCCAGTTCACAACAAACTTCTCAGGAACATAATTCTTTTATTATCTGTAGGGATCTATATCACCCCTTTATTCCATGTTCCCTACCCCAATTTTCCTGGCCTGTAGGATTCTACCCACAGATTTTTACTGCTAGGAGCATCTTCTTTTTTTTTTAACTAGTTAACCCACTTAACATACAATTACCATTTTAAAATGTACAACTTAGCAGCATTTACCACATTCACTGTGTTGTGCAACCATCACCTGTAACTAGTTCCAAGACACCCTCCTTCCAGCCCTGGCAACCACAATTCTGCTTTCTGTCTGTGGATTTACCCATGCTGGATATTTTATGTCAGTGGAGTCATATGATATTTGCCCTCTTGTGTCTGACTTCTATACTTTAGCATAATGTTTTCAAGGTAAATTATGTTGTACTTAACTGGTTAGTGCCTCATATCCAATGTAAGCAGATGAGTCCATGTGTAGATAGAAACAGCACTCCATTCACCCTCAGGTTCTGAACATTCCCGATTCAAGTTTATGTCTGATTCCCATTTTTCCATTATTTGGGGTGTTTAGGAGTGGAATTTCAAATGGTAATTCTATATTTAATTTTTGAAGGCCCGCTAAACTTCTTTGGGGGCTGCCCCAGTTTACATTCTTAGCAGCAGTGTTCAGTTTCTCTACATCAACGCTTAAAAAATAAACAGGTGCAGCAGACCTCTCCTGTCTTGCCTGCTACTTCTCTTAGCAGTGTCTTCCCATAAGTCCGCCCTTTCTGTTCTCCAGGAAAAAAACTATCCGTACTGGTGAGTGTGAAATTGTAACTCATGGTTTTGATTTGTTTTTCCTTAATGACTAGTTATATTGAGTATCTTATGTGCCTTTTGGACATTTTTATATTCTTACCCTTCATTTTAAAGAAGCTGAATTATTGAAATCTCATTAGTATATCACTGTGTTTACTTCTATCTTTTTCTGTCTAGAACTTACACTTTAGAGACCAAATCAAACTAAAAGTATTATAAATGAAAAAAATTTTATGAATAAGTTTTATAAGTAAACCAATAACATTTCCTTTCTCAAAGCATTTTACATTTCTAGAGATAAGATAAACCCACATTGCCACAAAATCTTAATTTCGTTATTATATAAAAACAAACATTGTTATCTTTCTAACATATAAAGTGGGTTTTGTGTTCTAGTAAAGGAAAAAGAACCAGAAATTCTAATAAACTGTTTCCTCTCCTACTTAGAATCTAGTGATAAGAAAGTAACAGAGATTACGTTGAAGCTTCTAATAACATGAGTTGCTTGAGCTTCCTTTTCAGTGCCAGAGTGTTTGCAATGTCCCTGAATGCAAATTGACATAGAATATAAAACTAAACTTGGACTTTTCTAATTTGTTCCTCTGAAATATGTTCCATTGCTGATAATAGGGCATTGCTATCAAGGAACCTCCAGCTGCTGCATCTTCTGTAGCGATAACACTGGTAACAAGAATTCAGAAATAAAAAAAAAAGAAAAGAAAAAGAATTCAGAAATACCCAAACTCAATATTGGACATACCCTTAAAATTCCACGGAGCAAACGACTTATTAGTCTGCCTATTACTCTAAAGTTCACTGACCCTTCCTATATTTGTATTCTTAATACAAATGCCTTCTATATTGAGCTTTCATTACAAACTGCACTTGTTTCAGATAGGCAGGAGAAAATGGAAGGGGAGTTCGACTAGTGATTTTGTTGATGGATAGCATTTTAAAAATTCACTACCACCAAACCCTCAAGAAGTAGTTTCTTGGTCTCCACACATAACTCTGCATGCCACTCATTAGCAAACAATCTTCTTACGTCATTAACAAGAATGGCTAAACTTAATGTGTATATACTAGGAATATCTGGTACCTTATTGTATTTTTCACACCAACTGTCTAATCTTCACAACAAAGCAGCAAGGTAGATATTTAGAGGGTAGTAATGGTATTTTTAAGAAACTAAAATAAAACACAATAGAAAATATCAGCATATCACACCTAGTGAGGATTAGGTATTCTTTTTGTCAAATTTGCTTTCACTTACTCATTTATGTGTGTGTATACTGGGTTGGAATAACTTGCATTTCATGATAATGTAGTGAGGCCACAGAACCAGGCCAGTGATAAGAGAACCTTTGGGTGTGTCGGTAATCAACAGTACAGGCCAGGGCATAGCAAGGGACCTCTTAGGCAAAATTTTGCCTTCTACTGACCTATGAGGGATCCCTTTCATCAAGCAAATGGTGGTACAGTTGTCAATCCCAAGGGAGTAGGGTATTGTTACAGTCTGAGGGGAGGACCCTAAACACTTCTGCCCATTGCATCTTGTTATTGGAGACAGTGAGAACACAAGCACAGGCTGGAATGCTGCTTTTCAATAGAGAAGAGACGAGCAAGATCACCTTCAGTAGTGAATGCTACTGGGCCTCTCCCAGTGGCCAGCATGGGGCAGTTTGCCTGAATACACCCCTCTTGTGCCGCAGTAGGAAGGACACTGTTCCCTCCCCACAGAGGCCAGAATGACAGTGCAGGTGCCATAATGATCATGTGCTTTGGAACAACAAAAGAGTACTCACTGAGTGTGAAACAGGGAAAGCTGTCCAACGCAAGCCTTATTATAAGGCTGCATGGCTCTTCATCTTAGTGAGGAAGCATCCAGGCCCAAGGCCCATTCCTGTGTGGCTGAGTGGTAGCAGAAGGTCTGAAGCAGGAGAATGCCTTTCCAAGCAAGGTTGGAAATAGTGTCAACCGAAATAAATAATTTCCTTGTTGTTATCAAACATTTTGGTGAGGGAGTTTTATGTCAGCTGTGATACTAGGTACTGTTTAAAGCATTTTTCATTAAAGTTAACAACTTGTGCTCCTCAGTTTGCTATTTCATAATCTTACTAAATAGTGTCAGTTTATATTTAGAACTCATGTGTGTATGTAATTTTCATCTGGGGAAAATCTGGCTCTTAAAGTCCAGTATTTGGGGGAACAGAGAAATAGAATAATACACGGGAAGAACGCATTTCCATCTTCTTCAGTTTCTGAATTAAAGGTTTTTTTATTTTTTGGGGTTTTTTTTTTTTGTTTGTTTGTTTTTTACATTCAGAAGCAGTATATCTCTAGTCCTTCATAATTATAAACAGAAACAAAAAATCTGGTCTCAGAGGAAATCCTCATAAGTTTAAGTACCTCTTGATCCATCCTTGTTTTTCTCTCAACTTGAGATGTTTCCTTTAGTTGACAACCAAATAAAATATATATTAAAGAGTACTGTGTGGTTAAGGTTTTATTGAACTTATTGTAGAATAGAAAACAAAAAGTTGGTCATAGTTGGGGAAGAAAGTTGCTTGCTCTCATCATTGAATGTCCATTACCTCACTCTCACATTCAAACTTATAGCCTTTGTGGAGTGCAGCAAATAAGTAATTCTTAAAGATAATGCAGCTGCTGTTAGGTGTTATCAGTAAATATAAAGTACTATTAAACATGTCATTCTTCTGGATTCATTTGAAGGTCAGAATTAGCTTTATAATTCCAGACAGTTATTTAAATGGGCAGAGCAGAGTGTGTAATTTTGAATTAAGTTTTTCCATTTATCTCCCCAGTTTAATTTCAATAATTAAAAAGAATAAGTACATAAATAATTTTTGTATGTATTATTTATTTTTTTAATTAATTTTAGTAGTGCATTAAGTCTCAAAAAAAGGGTTTCAGTGGCTGTTCAATTTTTCAGGGCTCTTTTCCAGACTTCACATTCCAATTTCAACAGTAAGAGCCTTCTCTACCTCACAGTCCTTGAATCAAGCACCAAGTCTCATATGGAACCTGGGTCAACTCAATCATGTAGCCATAGCAGTGCCAGACTTGGACAAAGCCAAGGCATTTTATAAGAATGTTCTAGGGGCCCAGGTAAGTGACGCGGTCCCTCTTCCTGAGCATGGAGTGTCTGTTGTTTTTGTCAACCTGGGAAATACCAAGATGGAGCTGCTGCATCCGCTGGGAAAGGACAGTCCAATTGCAGGTTTTCTGCAGAAAAACAAGGCAGGAGGAATGCATCATGTCTGCATCGAGGTACTTTGCTTGCTGTTATGTATGGTGTTTTTGATTTCCCTCTTATAAAATGTCTTTTATTCTTTAAGTCTATGTATTGCTGCAGTTATCAGAAACCATGATTAAATTCTGTAAGGGGAATGATAGTGTTGGGCCTACTCAAAGATGAAGCCATAGGGCCGCCCCTTGTGGCGCAGGCGGTTGAGAGCCGTGCTGTGATGCTGTCCACAGTCTCTGCAGCGCTGGTTCGATCCCAGCTGGTGAGGGTCCCACATGGCCCGGCAGACCTCTCCTGTCTCGCCTGCTGCTCCCCTTAGCAGTGTATTTTGTCAGTCTGTCTCTGTTTCTGGTGAATCCTCTCATCCTCCCATGCGTCTGGTTTGTACCCCCGTTCTTGTATAAATAAATCTTTAATCAAAAAAAAAAAAAGATGAAGCCATAGATATATTCTCTTTCCCTCTAGAAAACTGCAAAAAAATAAAAATAACGTTTTATCAAAATCCGGATTCAGCAGTCCCTGCAAAGGCTGGGTGTTGGCCAGCACACTTTTCACCCTTCACCCTGGTCTTGGTCTCAGCTGCTTTCACTGTTACAGGCAGTGAGGAGAAGCAACTGAAAGGACTTTTTAACGTAAGACTTCCTATATTCACGCTATTATAATTATTTTCTATCCTTAAAATTGTAATATCTTGTTCCTTATTATAAAAGCAATGCATTTTCAATTACTATGGTTTTTAAGATCTTCTGAATTGCATTTGCTAATAATTCTGGAGAAAACCTGAAATGTAAGACAGGAACATTGTCATCAGAGAGCTTTTATCTGTAGATGTTCGTGTTCATATAATTGCCTTATGGAATATCAATTGATACCAGTTATATTTCAATTTAAATTGTTTTGCTCGGGTAATTCATTTGATAGAAGGAATGACATAATTAATAGCAAGATCTCATTCCCAATCCAGAAGAGAGGTGAATTTATTCTAGAATATATGCAAGGATTTATTTAGTTCATATTGTAAACATTTGAGATCCTAAAATGTATGCACAATAAGTACTTGAAATTCAGCAGTGACATGGAGGGGCAGCTATTAGCTAATTACGGTGTACTGTGATAAGCAGAATCAATAATGTGTCTGCTCAGTCACACAAAGAGAAAGATATTGATTACCCCTGCCAGGCTGAGGGGTGGGATGGTGTCACAGGCTGAATTACAGTGAATGTCCCAGGAAGGTATTCCAGGCAGAGGGGATAGCATGTGGAAAGACATGGAGTTATTGTAGCAACTAACATTGAGTCCTCTGGCAGCACATGGAGCACCAGTGTGCACTGTTTCCTTTAAATTCCTAGTTTCCCTGTGAGGGTACTGTTAATTCCCTTTCACAAGTGAGGAACCTTGAGACTTAGAATAGTTAATTCGCCCATGGCAAGTTTAGTGTACATGGCAAGACTAGTGTTCAAACCCAGATTTGTTCTGATTCCAGGATCTGCACTGTTAGCCATGGCACCAGATTGCCTTCATGGTGTTAGCTGAGCTTTATATTTGAGGGGGGCAAGCCATAAGACATTAGGCCATGGAGCTAAACGTGGCTTGCTATTTAACCTTTATTCCTTTTTCAGGAGGTTAATTTTGGCTAGAGTTTTATTTCACTGGACTTGGAGGGTTTAAGACCCCTCCCAGGTTGAGAAGCAGGATCATCTGTCTTTGAATCCACTCTTTCCTCTCTGGCACTACACTGTTCCACATCAGAGAGCCCACGCCTTCAAAGGAAGCCACTATGTGAGTTAGAAGTTCAGTTAAGCAAAGAATAGTGCAAGTTCAGTAATTTAACAGCAAATTCAAAAGCAGAGATTATAACAGCAAATTCAAAAGCAGAGGGAAATGAAAATGTATGTCTATAAGATGAAGGTAGATAATGGGAGAAGTTGTTGGCTAGTCAGTTGCTATATTAGTATAACAACTTCCTCTCCCCATCATCATCATTCCCTGCACTCCATAAAAAATAAAGTGGTTTAACTAGATAGATATTCCATTTTTCTGTTCTCATTCTAAAAGTGACCTGTCCCAATGCTGCTGGGGCAGCTCCACTACCTATAATACGTCACTTACCAGTTACGCCAGGCACTGCCATTATCAGCCAGAAGGGAGGGAAAGCAGAGAGAGAACAGCCTGCAAGTGCCTTTAAAGAGATAATCCAGAAGTCACACATCATGCCCAATCATACCGCTTGGACTCCAGCCTCTTACATTTGCCTGCAAGTGGAGTCTGGCCAGGCAGTATGTGCCCTTCTATAACTTGGGCTCTGTTGTAATCAAAAGAAAGAAAAGAAGAAATGGGCACTGAAGGCAAACAATCTCTTCACCCTTGGTAACTTTTTTAAAAAATGGTATTGCCAGATTAGCGTTTCTGAATAAAGATGTGCTGTAATCTGGAAACATTTAAGAATTAGTGTCGTCTACTACAGCAGTCTTTGAGATGGAAAGTTGTCACTAGATGCAGGGGACTTGGTTTCCTGAACCACCAGATGGAGCAAAATTCCTCACCTGTTCTTCAACAGAATGTATTTTTTTAAAAAAGCTACTTTTTTTTAGATTTATTTATTTATGCATACAAGAACTGGGGTATAGGCCAGAGGTGTGGGGGGAGGGTGAGAGGATTCACCAGAGAAAGAGCGGGGAACAGAACAGGCAGACTGACTGAAATACGCTGCTGAGGGGAGCAGCGGGTGAGTCAGGAGAGGTCTGCTGTGCCATGTGGATAGCTCCCTGGACGGGGATCAAACTCGTGCTGCAGAGGCTAAGAATAGCTTCATAGATTGGGTCTTAACCCCTTGCACCACCAGGGAGGCCCCAGCATGTATTTTTGTTGCATGAAGCTAATATTTCATGATTGTTTTGCTGCAGATAACTTAGTCGATTCTAATTTAACGTAGGTCTGAAACCCTTCCACCAAAAGGTACAGAAAGTGGTAGAACTAATCAGAAGATATTTCTTTGGTCATTTCACTTACTATTGTATGTACAACATTATTTCCAAACTCCAGGCTATTAAACAGTTCTTTGATTTTGCTCAGCATTTTGTGGTTGAGGAATTTGGGGGAGGGCTCTGCTAAGCAGTTCTTGCTTGTGATCTGTCATGGAGTTGTAGTCATGTGAAGGCTCACCTGGGCTGGGTGACCCAGATGCCTCACTCACCTGGGTGCCTGTCAGGTGGGTGCTCAGCTGGGTCTTCCTTATGGGATAATGAGGCTGGATCGTCAGGTGATTGTGCCAAGCGAAGTAGGTTAGAAAGTGAAAGACAATTACTGAGTGATTTCTCTCATGTGTGGAATATAAATAACCAATGAAAACAAACTGGCAAAACAGAACAAAAATGCCTCAGACTTGATGAAAACTATGCTGGTTACCAGTGGGGAGAGGTGGGGTGGGGAGGGGATAGGGTATTGGCCTTGGAGCTTTGGTGGACACAAGTGAATCCACATGTATAAGTGTTAGGTGTGAAATTGTACTCCCAAACATTTTTGTAAACAAAAGGCAAATTAGTAACATTTTAATAGGAAATTAAATAAAAATGAGATAGAAAAAAAGATAACGCAGCAACTTTTTTCATTGAGCTGCATAGTCCTTATGAAAGAAAACTTATATAACTCTAAGGTAAAAGGCTAGTAAGGTAATTAAATTCTTGCATACTGGAGGATAACTGTTCTTCAGTCAAGAAGGGAGAAAAGGACCTCCCTGGTGGCACAAGGGGATAAGATGCAACAGTGTGAAGCTATCCGCAGCCACTGCAGCACGAGCTCAATCCCTGGCCAGGGAGCTGCCCACATTGTGCAGCAGATCTCTGTCCTATCTTGCCCACTACTCCCCTCAGCAGTGTATTTCAGTCAATCCGCCTATTCTGTTCCCCACTCTGTCTCTGGTGAATCCTCTCACACACACACACACCCCACACACCTCTGGCCTGTACCCCAGTTCTTGTATGCATAAATAAATAAATCTTTTTTTTTTTTTTTTTTTAAAGGAAGGGAAAAAATTCAGCTTTTTAAACAATTCCATTCTCAGGCTGGTGTTAAGGTAACCCATAGGCAGTTGCCAAGCTCTGTGAGTGGTCTGTGTGTCATTGAGTCCCAGATGTGGGAGTTTGATAGGATGATGACAATTCCCATGAGCACAACCAAAAAGTGGGCAGTTCGAGGAGGAGGTTTTTAACTTTTCAGGTTATTAAGTAAGAAAGAATTTTTAACTTCTCATCTACTGCTAACATCGTTTCATCAAAGAAAGTACATTTTATTACCAAACAAATAGTAAAAAAGAAGAAAAAGGACAAATGGTCTTGGTATTAAGAGTACTGTCAATTAACCAAATTTAGTTTTGATTATTTTTTAATGTTTTGCTATCAACTGGTGAAAATTGCAGGGGAAAGCCGCATTTAAGAAACTTTCAACATACCCAGGAGCAGCAAAGATAGCAAATGTGGAAGTTTGGGAATTATATCCTTCTGAAATCATTTCAAAGAATACACAGGAGCCCTCTGAACCCCACACAAATTGAGAACAATGTTAGATGTTCAAAATTCCTTAATTTTTAGTTTTTGAGGAAAACATAATTGAAAACATTTCATGTCAACTTTTTACTTTAAAGTTCATGGATTTATGTCAGATTGAGGGTTGAATCCATTTAGTGTTAATTTCAATTAACACAATTATAATTTTATATAAAATTAAAAGTCTATTTGTGGCATCAAACAAGATGCCATGCATCATTAAAAATGACACATTATTACTTGTTCATAAAATTCGGTCAGTGAGAACCTCATGCTTTAAGATATTTTCATAGTTATTTAGTCCAACTCCTTATCTTTAAACAAGATTGTATTCCCATTTTCGAATGAAACAATTGAGGACTAAAGAAAATTCTGATTGTGACAATCTAAAAAAATTTTTTTAAAAGATTTATTTATGCATACAACAACTGGAGTACAGGTCAGAGGTGCAGAAGTGGTGGGGGCAGGATTCACCAAAGATAGAGTGGGAGCAGAACAGGGAGATCTACTGAAATACACTGATGAGGGGGCCAGCAGGTGAGACAGGAGAGGTCTGCTGCTCCATGCGGGTCAGCTCTCTGGCTGGCCAGGGATTGAACCCATGCTGCAGTGGCTGTGGACAGCTTCACAGTGCTGTGCTCAACCCCTTGCACCACCAGAGAGGCCCAATGTAAAAAATTTTTGATTGGATACTCTCACTCTAAATTTACAAATGAGAGGGGGAAACCAACATAAATCCTCAGAAACAGATGAGCACCCTCTCCCCGCCTCAAAAAAAAAAAAAAAAAAGCTGGTAGGATGTTTAAGTGAATTGTCCAGATTTTCACTAATGGCATCCAAGATCTTCAAGAGCCCTATGATGCACAGCTGTAATTGTTTGAAGGATTATAAAAGCAGATTTTTAAAACGGGTTTATTATTGACTGTTACTTTTATTACTTAGGGGGACAGACTTAATTTCCCAAATCAAATTGCTTTGTATTTCTTATAATCTTAAAGTAGATAATGCATCTACTTTCAATTTAGAAAATTAAAAGACACTTTTATTTATTCTTTTTATACTGCCAAAGAAAACATTAGGAGCACTCTTAAAGAATTACATATTTTATAGCAACACTCTAACAAATGGAGGAATGTGGTACAAGATCTTTAAAACCAAAGTTAGTGATAGAAATAGTAATAGAAACAGAAGGTAGTAAAAAGTCAATTAGGTATTTTCAGAAAAATAACTATAATTTTGTAAGTCTTAGAAGTATTTCTTGGATTAGGGGATATTGAAGAAGCAATAAACTGAAAGTTGGGATGTACCATCTGAATTAAAGATATTTGTATTTGGATAGAATGTTGATAAATGAAAATATTCATGATCACATATAGAACAGGTTATCAAGGGCATTATGAAAAACTTCATGATTGCGTTTGGTATCATCAGTAGGAAAAAATAATGTAATGAACTCCCATCAAGGAGTTTTCAAGGTCTTGCCACATGTGCTTAATCTTTCTTTTTTACTTTGTTAAACTACTTTAAAGTAATTCACAACATGTCATTTTACCTTTTATCTCTTAAGAAATAACCGCAATGACGTTATTATATCAATCAAAATTAAAGAAAAATCTTTTGTCACTGTCATAAGCACAGTCCATAAATCAGATTTCTTAAACTGATTCTCAAGTGTCTTTATCTGGATCCAAGCTACAAAGGTTGTTAATCTCTTTAGATTGTCTTTTAAAAATTACTATTAATATCTTATACTAGTATGGTATGTTTATCATAATTAATGACCAGTAGTAACACATTACTAACTAAAATCTATACTTTATTCAAATTTCCTTTATTTTTACCCAGCATCCTTTTTGTGTTCCCATCCAGAACACCACATACATTTGGTCATCATGTCTTTGTGAGCTCCTCTTGCCTGTGACAATTTCTCAGACTTTACTGGTTTGATGACCTTGACACTTTTAAGGACTTCTGGTCAGTTATTTTGTATAATGTCCCTCAATTGAGGTTATCTAATGATTTTCTCACCATCAGATTAGGACTATGACTTCTAGAGAAGACCACATAGGTAAAGTGCCCTTCTCATCACATCATCCCAACAGTCAGCATGACTGACCACTGTTGATGTTGACCTTAATCCCCTAACTGAGCGGGTTTCTCCACTGTGAAGTTGTTCTCTTATATTTTTTACCTCATTCTCCATACTATAGTCTTTAGAAGAAGTCACTGTCTGAGGCAAACACCCAAGGAATGAAAAGTTATTATCCGATGGTCTCACTCATAGCAGGAATCTAGAAAACTTAAATAAGGGACCAGGAAAATGAATATAAGAAAGTGAAAATCAAAATCAACAAAAAACTATGAACCAGAGACACTTTTTGGGGGGTGGGGGCGGGAGGGGAAGGATTGGGGTCAGAATGGGGCGTTTGCAATTGTATGGGGGAATATAAAAATAAAATTTAATATTTAAAAAAAAAAAAAAAAAAAAAAAAAAGAAAAGTTATTATCCATCTCCTTGATAATTCTATAAAGTATTTGAAATTTTTCTGCATGAAAGATTTTGATATTCTTCCCCCATTAATTTTTTGAACATTTATTCAATTATTTATATATTCAATCATATGTCACTTTGGACTTGTAGATATTTATTTTATATATTGGATTATAATCCAGCACTGCTTTATTTTGTTATTCTAACTTAGCTAATAGGATCCTGGTTAGCTCCTCTGTCCTTTTAACACACCTCATCTTTTCCCCCCCACCCTTCCTTACTTTCTGCTACTACAAGATGCTTGTCTTCTACATTCTGTGCCCCATGCTAGTACCAGCCACTTCTCCAAGGAGCCCTGGTTCTTTCTCATGGGGTATGGTGTTAGACCCCATGATCTGGGCTCTGGATGTGCTTGTTGCTCAGGAGGTATTGTTCTAGGTCACCTCAGTTAACAGGCAAGGACATGTAAGTGTGTATACATATATACACATATCTATAAATATTTCTATATGGAGCCAGTAGAATTCATATGTTGTCTGTGATATTGTGATTTTAATAAATATTATAAAAATATTTTTGTACCTTTGTCCCCACTTTTGGCACAGAGCTCTTAAAACCACTGGTGTTTCCTAGGCAACCTAAAGATGGGAGGTTACCAGAGGACCCTACCAAGTGACTGAAGGGTTGGAATTTTCAGCCCCACCCCCAGCTTTCAGTGGGGGGAGGGGGTGGGACTAGAGATGGAATTGATGGCCAGTGGCCAATGAGTGAATCAATCATACCTATGTAAGGAAGTCTATAAAAGCCCAAAAGATTGGAGTTCAGTGAGCTTCCAGCTTGATGACCACTTGGAAAGTCATTCAGGGAGAGTGACATGCCCAGAGGGCTCAGAAGCTTTGTGCCCTACCTCCTTCCTTGTCCTATTTATCTCTTTCATCTGACTGTTCCTGATTTTATCCTTTTATAATAAACTGGTAACCTAGTAAGTAAAATGTTTCTCTGAGTTCTCTGACCATTTAGCCAATTAATCAAATCTCAAGGAAGGGATTGTGGAAACCTGATTTATAGTCATTTGGTCAAAATCACAGGAAGCAACCTGGACTGCAGTTGCCAGACACCTCAGGTGCAGGGCAGTCTTGTGGACTGAGCCTTTCTGGCATCTGATACTCTCCCCAGTGTCAGAAACTAAGTTGAATTATGGGACACCCAGCTAGTGTTTGGAGTATTCCTTGATACATGGGGAGAACCCACACACACACACTGGAATTGGTATTAGAACATTTAATGTCTGTATCGCACACTCATGAACACATGAGTCCATACTGATATCTCTGATTCTATTACCACATGAACCACAGAGCCTTTCCTTTGCCTCCTGCCATCTACCACTGTCCACCTACTTAAGTGTTTTTATATATATGATATTAGTTTTGATGACAGTTTAATAGTGATTTTCATGTATTTGAAGTTTTAATCTCAAAAGTCTCAAAATTTTCAAAAACTACCAAGTGATTTGGCAAGCAGGAGGTTTGGGTACTAGAGATGTATCCATATTTGTTTCGTACCTACTATGTGCCATAACTGTGTGCTGCAAACTTACCTGTTACCTCATTTTAATCTACAGTCCATTTATATGGAAGACCTCATCTCCCTACTAAGGATGATTAACATCTCCAAGACTCTTAGGATGAAACAATTTTTGTAGTACCACCACTAGTACTTCTAGAAGAAAATATTATGAAGTTTAGTATTTATGATTTTAAGTTACTTAAGGAAAATATTTACTGATGGTAAAAATTCTTAAGTATCATATTACTCCCTAGCAACTTCTTTTCCTCTCTGGAATATTAGGCATATTTTTCTTTTTTTTTTTTTAAGATTTATTTATTTATACAAGAACTGGGGTACAGGCCAGATGTGTGAGAAGGTGAGAGGATTCACCAGAGAGAGAGCGGGGAGTACAACAGGCAGACGGACCGAAAACACTGCTGAGGGGAGCAGTGGGTGAAGCCGGAGAGGTCTGCCACACCATGTGGGTATCTCCCTGACCGGCCGGGAATTGAACCCGAGCTGCAGAGGCTGCGGACAGTGCAGCACTCAACCTGCTGTGCCACCAGGGAGGCCCTAGGCATATTTTTCATGATTGTTTCAAAGCAGTTCTGCCCAAGGAGAGATGCAACAGATTGCAGGAGTTCCCAGTTTCTTCTGAGACTTATAATAACTATAAATTGTTATTTTTATGACCTCAGATATGTTCTCATTTTTTTTCCTCAAGGTGGATAATATAAATGCTGCTGTGATGGATTTGAAAGAAAAGAAGATCCGTAGTCTAAGTGAAGAGGCCAAAATAGGAGCACATGGGAAACCAGTGATTTTTCTCCATCCTAAGGACTGTGGGGGAGTCCTTGTGGAACTGGAGCAAGCTTGATTTATTTTTGCAAGAAATAAGTTGATCAGCCTGAAAAAAACTTAATCAGAAGGTACTTCATTGCTCCTGTCATTTAAAAGTTGAAAATTAAGAACTCAATTATAAAAAGAGATTAAAACATGTAAATAATATTTTTGATTTTTTTTTCCTCCTGATTTGGAGAAAATATTGATTATAAAATAATTAAGGAACATTAAAATCACATAAGAAATAAATATTTTGTGTTCTAAAATGGGGTAGTTGAGTATGGTATGTTGCGTGAAAGGGTGTGAGAGAGAGAGAGAGACCCTCACAAAGGAGTTAGGACAGATGGGAATTCTACCACCAAACCACTAATGCCTGATGCAGAGCAGTTACAGAAGTCCTGGGTTACATATTAGGGGCAAAGCTGCTTTTATGGATGTTTTGGACCAAGTTTTTCAAAGGAAACTGTTTAAGTAATTTTACATCAAAGTTTTGACCTTATCTGGAACCGATCATGTTCACAAGTTTCTTGTAAGCTGTTGTTTTGAGTCCTAGTGCTAGGTATAAAAAGGAAGTTCTGGAGAAAGTTTGGTGCATGATCTAGTAGGTGTATAGACAGCTAAAAAAAAATTTATATTTTTTTAAAAGATTATGCATACACGAACTGGGGTACAGGCCAGAGGTTTGTAGCATGAGAGGATTCACCAGAGACAGAGTGGGGAACTTAACAGGCAGATCGACTGAAATACACTGCTGAGGGGAGCAGTGGACGAGACAGGAGAGGTCTGCTGCGCCAGTTCTGCTGTGGGTAGCTCCCTGACTGGCTGGGGATTGAACTCATGTTGCAGAGGCTGCGGATAGCTTTACAGTACTGTGCTCAACCCCTTGCACCACCAGGGAGGCCCTAAAATATTTTTTTTTAATGGTAGACATAGAGAGGGCAGTGAATTTGTAGTTGCTTATCACCCAAGTGCTGGAACACCAAAACAAACCCCAGGGGAATATACAAAGTGTGTAGAAACCCATTGCCAAGAAGCTTACGGGCCAGTTGGGAAAACTACTTCATAAATTAGCTATAAATACTTTAAAAATAACATATGAGTGAGTCAAAAAGGAATATAGATCTTGAGGATAGAGTTATATCTGGTTTTTAATCAGACTTCTAAATGTAATAGAAATAAAAAAATATCAAGGATACAGATGTATGGAATGCATACATAGTGTACGGCAAAGTGGTAAACATCTTAAGTTCATGGAGACTGAATGTTGAGTGAATGGGTAGGTATGTATACACAGAGCTTATTATGGAAGACAAGTGTAACATCCAGTATCATATGGGTGGTTTTGGGGTGGAAAATAAAGGGACTTAAATGCTGGTTAAGTATCTGTAGTCAACTTGAAAAGATAAATGTTGATACTAATAGACTGGTAAACTACATGTATATATGACAATTCCACTGAAAATAAACAGAGAACACTCGAAATACACATGAATCAAAATGAAATACTAAATATTGTCCAAATAACTAACCTGAAGACCGGGAGGGGAAAACAGGGAAAAAATAATAATAAAATGAAAGACCTACATCTTGACATACCAATAATTACATTGAATGTAAATGGTTTTGGGAGACTGAATTAAAAACATGACCCAATCAACCATATGGTATCTGCAAGACACCCAATTCAAATACAATGATACTGGTAGGTGAAGAGTAAAAGAATGCAAAAGGATAAACTTTGCAAACAATAACCTGAAGAATCCTGGAGTGGCTGTATTAATATCAACGTAAGACTCAGAGTTGTTGAAGCAGTAGTAAAATCAAGATGGACAAAGGGCTTTTTATGGGCTTGGTGCCCTCTTCAATCCGATCCCCATGTTGAACTAGCAGTTACAGAAACTCCAGTCTTCTCTGGAGTTTCTGTAACTACTATGTCGCACAGGTTTCCCAGCAGCCACAGGGTGTGAGCATGGATGGCACCATCCTGTTGAGTTTAGAGCAAAATAGCGGTTAGTTCTGTGCCTTTTACCAGCTGGACAAGTATTTTATTTTTAAATGCTTACTGTAGGCAGAAAACTGCCTTTTGGTTTTAATTCAAATCTTAGTTGTTTAAATGCCAACCACAGACAGTTTCCTATTTATGGTGGTTTGACTTAGGATGTTTTGACTTTATGGTGATATAAAAGTGATACAATTTCAGTAGAAAACATACTTTGAACTTGACCTTTTCCTGGACCAGTGACTTGTAGTAAGACGCTCTCACAATGCGGGGCAGCAGCAGGAGCCACAGCGCCCAGTCAGCCACAGCACCAGCAGGAGAAAGAAGCCGGCTCCATAGAGCCTCCTACCGGCTGTTCTCCAGCCTCAGAGTGTCGCGGTAGCATCTCAGCAACCAGCGAAAACTCCATGTCAAGTCTTCAGAAGCCTTCAGATCCGGGGAGCTTTTCAGCTGTGCATGTGAGTGAGGGGTCCCCAACATCTACTCATTTTCACTTTCAGTCCCGTCTTCAAGAAATTACAAGAGAGATTCAGCATTTTAGTATCATTTTAGCATTTTAGGCTTAGCGTTAGATGATTTTGCCCAACTGTGGGCGAATGAAGTGTTGCAAGCAGATTTAAGGTAGGCTAGGTTAGGCTATGGCATTCAGTAGGCTAGGTGTATTAAATGCATTTCAAATTACAATATTTTCAACTTATAACTAGTTTATCAGGTTATAATCAAATAAAAAAACAAGAAAGATGTGTCTTCTTCTTTATTTTTACAAATCAAAAGAATTGGGTGTTGTTAAAGAGGAAAGCTGCCTTGCTTTCATGGAGCACAGCACCCAGAAAGTGCATCCTGAGAACTCGGAGGGAAGGGAAGCAGGGCTGCCCCCTGCTGCGTGCACAGGTGAAAGCCACCACAGTGGGTGTGACTGACAATCTTCAGAGACTAAACCAAGAGATTGTTTTCAGATGTATAACTAAGTAGTTCCTTCCAAACTCCTGTGAAGATGATCAGAGATTCAAGCTCAGAGTAGAAAACAGGAAATAAATATAATTTACTAACTGAAATTCTAATCATTTGCAAGAAGGCTGTGGATGACTGCCTGGGAACAAAAATGTTTCCTTATCACCTGTTCCTTTGGTTCCTGATTTCCTTTCTTTTTTTTAATTTCCTGTCTAAGAACTGATGCAAACATATTTCTATAGCTAAGTGGAATAAAACTATATTCTTTACCTAATTAGTTGCTGACTTTTAAAAACTGGCTGCATATATAAGCTGTTTCCCAATAATATAACCCTTAATAAACATTGACATGTGCTCAAGATTAATTTGTCTAAAAAGTTTGTTGCAAAGAAGTAAAAAACAAAACCAAATCCAGACCCCAGTGTGCTTTCAACATATATAGTCCATTGTCATCTTCCTGTCCAAATGTAGTTTGGGGCAGATAAATCAATATTAGGTGTTTGCATTATTATGCTCCATTATTATGACCACAAATGATTATGAGACAGAATTGTGTGGTGTGCTATGACTTCCTTCCCTGTGAAATGCTTTCTTTTCCCTTGAATAAATACTTACATTTGTGTTTGTTTCATTAGCTATATATGACCCCAAACCATCAACCATCTTATCCTATTTCAATTTTTGAGGTGTCTTTAGGTTGTTTCTTAATGGATGATATAATTTTCATCTTTATGACTTCTTTCCTTAAGCCTTTGGACCTACTCCAGTATGGGTTGAGCTGTCTTCTACACTCAGCTGAGATAATGGAAAACCAAAATACTTCCCTACCCCTGTACTGAGCATTACCACGGCCAGGCCAAATACCTTATTACTTACTCCAGGAAACACTCTGGAACTGAAGCAACTAAAATAATTTACTAATCAAGACTCACACTGGCTGATCAATCTCTCAGAAAAAGTTGCCTAATCTCCTAGTTCAAGGAAAAAGAAAAATATCGGATGGTTTCACTTACAGCAGGAATATAGGGGAACCAAACAAGACATCAGTGTAAAAAAATAATAACAGTACAAAACACAACAAAGCAAAAACAGACAGTTATAAACCAGAGACATCCTGCAGGGGAAGAGGCCAGAGAGGGATCAGAGGGAGGGAGGGAGGAGCACAGGGGACTGAGGTGATGGTGCACGGGTGCAGCGGGGAAGGAAACTATGGGGACTACCCCTGAGAGGGTGGGGGGAAGCAAACATTGTTTAAAAATGAACAATGATGTAAAAAAAAATTTTTAATAAATGAAAAATAAATAAATCTCCTAGTTCAAACCCTAAATTCCCTATAGGTAACCTCTGGTTTCCCCTTTGTTGAGATATTACTAGACTTCTGTCGAGGTGACTTTCTCTTTTCATTGCAGTAAGTCTAATAGATTTGGCTTGATCAATAGGTTTGTTTAATTGAATGTTTAATCAATAGGTTTCTGGAGGCAGTTTTTGAGCTCAGCAGTCAACAGCTGTTTCTCTGAGATTTTTATCATCATCTTGGAGGTTCCTTTTGCCTCTCTTTTGTGATGATCACACTTTTAAAAATATTTTGAAAATATTAAAAGTTAGATCATATAGTGTTTCGCTGTCTGATTTATTTCACTTAGCATGATGCCCTCAAGGTCCATTCATTTTATCAAAAATGTAAGAGTTTCTTCTTTTTTTAAGATTTATTTTATTCATTTATGCATATAAGAGCTGGAGTGTAGGCCAGAGGTGCGGCAGTGGTGGGGGGAGGGAGGGCCGGGGGACTGAGGGGGGATGTTGAGAGGATTCACCAGAGACGGAGTGGGGAGCAGAAAAGGCAGATATACTAAAACACACTGCTAAGGGGGCAGCTGGCAAGAGAGGAGAGGTCTGCTGCCCCATGCGGGTCAGCTCCCCAGCCAGGGATCAAACTCATGCTGCAGATAGCTTCATAGTGCTGAGACTTAACCCCTTGCACCACCAGGGAGGCCCAAGTTCCTTCTTTTTTTATAGCCAAATGCTGTTCTATCTATCTACCTACCTACCTACTTCTGTTTCTCTCTATACACCTTCTTTCTCCATTCATCTATCAGTAGACAGGTTTTCATGTCTTAGCTATTAGAAATAATGCTGCAACGAACAAAAGGGTGCAAATAACACTTCAATGTATTGATAATATTTTAAAATTTCCTTCAGCTATATTCCCAGAAGTGAAATTGAATGGGATTGCTGAATCACATGGTAGCTCTACTTTTATACTTTTATGGAACCTCCATACTGTTTTCCATAATGCCTGTACCAGTTTCCATTCCCACCAACAGTGCACACAGGGCGCCCTTTTCTCCACACCTTTGCCATACCTCTTGTGTTTTAGATGACAGCTATTCTAACAGGCGTGGGAATAACTCATTGTGATTTGGATCTGCACTTCCCTGATAATGAGTAGTGCTGTTGAGCCCCTTTTCATGTATCTGTGGACCATTTGTATGTCTTTTTTGGAAAAAAATGTTTATTGAGATCTTTTGCCCACTTTAAAATTGGATTATTTGGTTTTTTTACTTCTGAGTTCTTTACACATTTTGGATATTAGCTACTTATTAGACATGTGATTGAAAATATTTTTTCCTGATTCTATAGATTATCTTTTCATTTGCCCATAGTTTCCTTTCTTCTTGTGTATTTTAGATTTTATGCATTGGGTGTCATTTCCCAAAATATCATGGGTAGGCCCATGTAAAAGAGTTTTTTCCCCCACCATGTTTTCTTCTAGTATTTTTATGGTTTCTGGTCTAACATTTAAGTCTTTAATGCATTTTGATTTAATTTTTGTGAGTGGCATAAAATAGGGATCTAGTTTCACTCTATAGCATGTCAAAATCCAATTCTCCCACCACCATTTTTGAATCACACTGTCTTTTCTCCACTGGACATGCTTGACTCCTTTGCCAAATATTAGTTGACCATATATGGATGGGTTTACTTCTGGGCTCCTGATTCTGTTATATTGATCTATGTGTCTATTTTTATGCCAATACCATACTAAAGTTTTATGATATAGCTTGAAATCAGGAAGTATAATGGCCCCACTTTGCTCTTTCTTTTTCTCAGAATGGTTTTGTCTCTTCTGAGACTTTCATGGTTTCATCGGAATTTCAGAATTTTTTTCTACTTCTGTAAAAAAATGTTTGATTTTTGTATGTTTGTTATTATATCTGCTCATCTTGCTGAATGCTTCTAAGAGTTTATAAGTTTCTTAGTTGGTTTTCGTAGGATTGCTAAGGAGGCAGTCATACTGTCAGTGAATCATAATGTTCATTTAACTTGCTTTGAAATATTATTAAATATCATTTCTTTTTCTTGCCTCATGACATTAGATAGGAGAGAGTTAATAATGCTACTTAGTAGCCAAGAGAACAGAAATCATTGAATAACATGATTAAAATCATTCCTGATTTATTATTATTTATTCCTCAAGCATGATGCATCCTGTAGATTTTTGGTAGATTTATTAGTTAGGACTGCATTTAGCTGCACAAAAAAGAAACCTCATGCAGTAACTTAAAGAAACAAAGGTTCTGTTATTGTCACTGAAAATGTGCAGAGGAAGGCACATTTCCAGGCCTCTTTCCAGCTTCCTGATATCATCTTTATTGTGTGGTCTTGTTCTCGTAGTTACAATATGGCTGCTGTTCCTGTAGGTCTTGGGTTGCTTTCTAGGCAGGAAGGAAATGGAAGGTCAAAAGTCTGAGTCTGTCTCCTTTATCTGAAAAACATAGATTTCTCAGGAGTTTGAGGATTAGGCTTCCATTTTCATGTTTTTGGCTGCATCTGGATTATGTTACAGTCCTCAAGCAGTGAGTGTTTTTTACTGGCAATGTGCCACCTCTTCCATTAGTAAGGAAAAAGGGGGTGATGATGGTAAGTGAGCAACACATATTATCTACCATGGTCCCTTACCAGGTTATAAATTTCATTTATGTTCTTACAATTTAAATTGATTCTATTTGTTTAAATTTTAATTGATTTTATTTTTAGGGGGGAAGGCCTCAATTGAATAGTCCATATGATTTTTATTTTTTTACTGTGATAGATTTTATGATGCTAAATAAACCTTATATTTCTGGAACAAAATCTACTCTGTCATCTTCTATTACATTATATTATGATTTATAATAAGATATGCATATCTGCTCCCCCAGTTCCTGACATCAGGTTCCTAAAATGCGTGTAAATTCCTGAGCAAAAGAGCGCTATGAGCATCTATTGTTCTGAATATTGGTGTTTGCACCCAGTTCCTGACAGAGCACTTGAACCTATTAGAGTTCTTATCTGACTGTATTGATATGGTGAAAAGAATTTAGAGAGAGCTCTCATCAAAGATTCTAGGGAGGAAAGAACAACATTTATTGTGGATCACACAAGGGGGCAGCAACTGCCTGGAGCCACAGTCCTGGACTGAGAGGCGGGAGTCTTGGTCTGTCTCTCACTGGTGATTGTGGCCAAGTTTTTGTGGTTTTCCTATTAGCCTGTGCACTCAATAACAGAAGGTAACACCCAAGGGCCAGGCTGTGGGGGGCCTGTAACAAAACCCTTGTAATTTCCCAGGAGGTGACTCTGGGTGGGCCTCTGCATGGAGGCTGGTCACCAGGAAGACCAAGCCATGAAGGGAGGCTTAGACTTTTCAGGTCCCTCCCATTCTCTTGAGAAGGGAAAAAGGCTAAAAATAGAGTTAATGATCCATCATACCTATGTGATTACATCTCTATAAAAATCCCCCAAGCATAGGTTTCTGGGAGATTCCAGGTGGGTGAACACATCCATGTACTGGAAGGGCAATGCACCCTTCCCAATTCACAGGAACAAAAGTTCCTATGCGGGGGCCACTCCAAGGCCTTGTTACATGTATCTCTTCATGTGATGGTTCATCTGTATCCTTTATCATATCCTTTAACAAACTGGTACATGCTTCGGAGTTTTCTATAAAACAAAGGTATTAAAAACACTATAATATTAGCACAAAAACAGGTACATGGAACAATGGAATTGAAAGACCAGTAGGGCTGTTAGCGGGAAAAGGATGTCCTAAAGCTAATTCCGTACAGCCTTTGTGGACTCCATCCCCTACTCCAGACCAAAGCCAAAAGACACTGGGAACTCCAAATCCATCACCACCAAAGGGAAGGTGGCTGGGACCTGAGAGTGGGTTTAAGCAGCCAAGTGTGGTATAAAGCCAGACACATGGGCTTTGGAGGGGATCCCCCATTTTGGCTCCCCGCCAGCTCACAGCATCAGGCCAGCTCTGAGAGTGCCTTTGGATTTCTAGGTCGGCGGATTGGATAGGACGCATTAAAGCCTTTATTTCCCTATTTTCTCCCTGAGTTGTACATTTCCTTAATTCCCTTTCCCTTGTAAATAAACCTTTTATTAACTTTTTGTGTGTGCCTATAGTGGAGTATTCATAAGTCCCTTTTAAGCGCGCGGGTGAGGACCCACAGCCAGGCAACCTGTTTTATATCGGGGTTGCCCTATAACAAGGCCTCCCCTGGTGGCGCAGGCAGTTGAGTGCAGCGCTGTGAAGTTGTCCTCAGCCTCTGCAGCGCCGGTTTGATCCTGGCCGGCCTGCGAGGGTCGCACATGACGCGGCAGACCTCTCCTGTCTCACCCGCTGCTCCCCTCAGCAGTGTATTTCGTCACTCTGCCTGTTCTGCTCCCCATTCTGTCTCTGGTGAATCCTCTCACCCTCCCGCACATCTGGCCTGTACGCTGGTTCCTGCATAAATAAATAAATAAATAAATAAATAAATAAATAAATAAATAAATAAATCTTTTAAAACAAAACCCAAAACAAAAAAGAAAGCCCAAAAAACTAATTTATGATAAAGCAGCTATGACCATAAAATGGATAATTGGCAGTCTCTTTAATAAATGGTACAGGGAAAATTGGGAAACCACACATAAAATAAACTCCAAATGAATAAAAGGTTTATTTTTTTTTAAGATTTATATTTTATTTATACAAGTGCTGGGGTACAGGCCAGATGCGCAGGAGGGTGAGATTATCCACCAGAGACAGAGTGGGGAACAGAACAGGCAGACT